GGCGCGATGGACAAACATTTCTCAGCGTTTAAACCTACGAATACGAAAGCAACACAAACGTGGAACATTCTTTCGATTAAAGAACGACGAGCTTGGAAAGTGGATTAAACTAGGTCGATTATTATAGACAATTGCAGGTATTATTGTTCGAAAAATGTACACTAAAAGAAACTATTGAAAGGACTTTGAAAACGATCGAACTTTCGTGGATGAAAATTGTAAAATTGGCATTGTTTGCCAATGTAAATGATCGTTGCAGCGTTCCTTCGAGATTCTCTGTAATTATGAAAGGAAAGGTGGACGCGAAGATGAGAAACGAATTTTTAATGCAAACCAGCGGAACGCAGAAACGTTGGAACAAAGTCGAGGAGGATTATAACGAGACGCGTCGGTGTGTGGGTATAAATACGTATGCCACGTTCAAGTACAACATCGAGGCGAGCCACGATGAATTGTTTCATTTGCATTGGCCGATTACTCTCGGAAAGTCGAAGCATTTAAGTACATGTACGTACGTTCATCGAACTATGTGCGGGCACACGGCTATCGAGCACGCGTGGTTTCGTTCATTAACCGATTACCATTTCCAATCGGGCAGCCTTCGATTATTTCATACCTACGTAAGCCACTCTGTGCTCGGTTGAATCGACAACGTTCGAAATCCTCCAAAACCATCAGGTCGTCCCATAAGTTTGATATCCACGAATTGAGAATAAAATTTTTAATTTGATGGAAAAGAAATGGAAATTTGTCGGTTCGGGGGATTTTAGAAATTTTCGAATAAGTACATCGAATGTTTGTGGTATTGAGAAGATGTTCGAAGCATGATTCGATAATGAACTAGAAGACTGTCTGCTCCAACGTTCCATGTCGGATCTTCGTCGTAATTGATTTACCGCTAGATGACTCGAGGAACTAGTAGACGTCGCAGAGCGGTATGCAAAGTATCGATGGATCGATCAACGCTAAAACGCACGAGAGCCAATATCGAAAGCTAATGCATAATTACAACAGTCGTTCGATATAGTGTCGCATCTGGGGACCAGATACGACGGTGATACGACGGATTCTACAGGCTAACTACGGTCACATTCGTAGCCATCGCTCGAGCCAAAGGATACATGATCGACTCTTGGACTTGGAAACCAAGACATCGGATAGAATATCAATTTCAACGAGGCGTAACACTCTCGTCGATTTCCCTATCGAATTCAACTAAATTTGATCGCAATCTCGATTAACCTTTGTACAACGAAATAACGAGAACAATAATAAGTTTTCTCTCTAATACGTTCTCAACATATCTTACATATTAACATCAAACTAGATAAGAATTTTAGATACGTTCGTCACACGGTTTCAGATTAGAAACTAAAAAAAGAAAGAAACAATTCTAATTACAAAAAAAAAACAGACTCGATGCCCGATAGAGATCATGATCCTCCTTATGGGTATAAAAAAATGTTCTGCTCGAAGACCAACGAGGACCATGATTACTTCTCGTATGTACAAACAAAATTATACAGCAAAGTACACGGTACTTTGATCCAAAAACTTCGCTCTCTCCGAAAAATTATTCTAAGGGAAAGAATCGGAAAATAACACGATTCTTTTCTGTTTCTCATCGAAAAAGCTCTATCTAAAAAATCTTAAACGCGCGTAGAAGTGAAACTTAACGACGATATCCTTTTTTGTCGCCGCGTTTGGGAAAGATTAACGAGGCCAGCGAAACGACTTCGATTGGCGACGAAAAATAAAAAATCCTGTGGGCGGGCTGAGCGTTCAATGAATGCAGCCAGCCTTCAGAGGTCGAGGCATTGTGTACGCGAAAGCAACGAACTTCATCAAGGCTAACTACTTTGTATAGTAACGAGCATGAAAGGCTCGTCTACCTGCATTTCGTCGATCTGGACGCGTCTACGTTTCGAGCCAAAATCAGAGGAATCTGGTCGCGACAGACGATATTGCCTCGAGACACGCGTTCGATCATCGAACACAAACAATCTGCATTCAATTAAAACATAGCTAACTCAGCTTACGGAATTTGATTAGAATTTAAATAAAAGTGCAGATTTATTCGAAGGAAGTAGAACTTAGAGAGTTAGAGTACGTCGCTACGTGTGTTCACTATCAAATATATTTAGCTATAATTTAATGAAATATCTAACACGATATGTCGGTCGCGATACGTGAATGATAGTACAGGGACGCGAATGTTGGCCCTTTATTGCATGAATTTCATTTTCCAACGACTCCAAAAAGAAATTATTTCCTCGACACCTACGGATCTACCCTTTTTCTCGATCGTTCGAGCAGCGAATTTAAACTGGAGGAGTTTCAATGTTGCTGGAACGGAACTCGTACGATCGAGCCGCGTTCGAGATCGCGATAGTCGCTATTTAAGTTGCATCACCGTACTAAAATTACGCGATACGTAAATGGAGAGTGTTCGACAGATGGAAAACGACGTTACAATTGCATCGAACCGTCTGCCGTCGTAATTTTACGACGCGTACTTCTCGCGAGAGTAATTGTTTCCTTATCAGCACGCATCGAAAGCGGTTACACCCTCGCGAAACTCGTTATCTCTTACGTATTTCGACGACAATGAAAAGAACGATGAAATAACAGATGAAAAGATATTCTGCGTCCATCGAAAACCAGGAAAATTGATTAAATTGTTCCCACGATCGAGATTCAATTTAATATAAACGTTATTTGGTTCGAATTCGTCTACTTTTTATTACGATCAGACACGTGGAAAATAATAAAATTTCGTTCGCGATATCGATAAACTCGGAGCTTGATTAGACGATGAAACAAATTGAGAGATCGTATCGAATGCATCGTTTGAAAATAAAATTTCATAAATTAATAAAATGGCTCGTTCTAATCACCACGTCCATGTCCTAATTATTTTAGATTCTAGTAACACCAACGGGACAATTTCCACCGATAGACACTCGATGATAATCATTTTTATGAAGAAGAGAAAAGTAGTTCCGATTCGTGAACAAGGTCACAGCCTTCTTCGCTTAATATTATGTTTAAGAGAGACACTTAGACGAATATACAGAGACAGATAGATACTCCATAAGAGATTCTGATAAATTCAGTTGGCACTTTAGTGCAATATATCGGCGAACGAATCGCTAAACTACTCGACTATTCCTCGGACTAAAACCTTCAGAATTTTCCTGACTGTACTTTTTCTTATTTCCAATGAACGTTCGAACGATTATTCAAACGCGTTGTATCATTTAGAACAAATGGATCGGATAATAGTGCTCGAATAAAACGACTAAATTGAAAGAATTACCTACTAAAGCGCTTAAACAATTTCATTCCTTCGCTATTTCATTGTTTCTATACTTTTTAATAGAAAATACTCTCCGAGAAAATCTCTGTTTCTCGATAGGGCGAAGCTCATATTCAAAGATGTGGTTCTCGAAGTTTACATAGAAAATGTCTGACCCTGCAATCACGCATCAAGTAGAAGAATACCGTCATTTACCCGTCGCGTAACGTCGATAGAGAGAAAATATATATTTTTCTTTTTACAGCTACTGATTGCCGATTCCGCGCATTGTGTGTCGATCGTACCGATTCCCAAAAGCATAGATCGAACGATCCAGGTGAACTCGTGCAGAAATGACCGCGAGGATAAACCATTTGTTCGTTTTTTGCGAGTGCACAGCTCGTGTTTTGGGATAACGGGATTTAGTCTCGTCGTGAGTGACTCTCTACACGCGAGAACGAGCTGGCGATAACATCTGAGAAGCAGAAACACTATCGTGAGCACAGCCACAGATGAGGAACGTCGGCTGAATGGCCCGACGATTAATTTACTACCGATGGTCCTTCTTGCGCGCTCGATAACGCTGATCGTACGTGTCGATAGAAAAACAACCCTTCCCCACGAACAGATGTTCCTTACAATGTCAATTTTACACCCCAATTCCAGGGAGAAAAGGAAACGACCACGTTTCGTGTAAAATGGTCAATTACGATCATTTTTGGTGAATAAAATCGAAAGAAACAAACATTTCCTTTCGTCCCCAGAATGATCAAAACATCCTGTGAGAATCCTATGCAAAATCTTTTTATCGCGTGCTTGATTGTTAAGCGGATCTTCGTTCCATTGCAATTATAAACTTTCCTTTCTTCTTCGTTTAAGTACTGTGTCGGAGCTAAATAATTATGCAACGCGTGCACAACTTGGCTACTCGATCTGCGAAGAACAGAACGATGAAAGAAACTTTTCCTTGCTATACATGTAACCCGATATCAAAATGGCTTCATGAGGATTGCTCAAAGTCTACGATATGCATACTGTAACAATCGACTCTGAGAATGGAATGTTGGCTGATGAAACGATATCCATCAGACTGCCAACGGCGCTAACGCGGAGAAATTTAAATTGCCATCTTGGCAAAAAACACGTAATCGAAACAGAAGAAAAGGAAAATTTGACCTTATTTAACAACGAGAAGGACCTAGAAAATGATTTAGATGTAAGGTAACTGAAGGGTTAACATGGTAAATGGCTGACCCTAGTGTACAATGTTCGAGCTAATAGAGACTCCCCCCAACAAATCCCTTGGAATCAACCGAACATGCACGACAATGACGATAGCTTAGAGTAATTCCTAACAAGATCTACCCAGATATTCCCATAATATCCGTCCTACGGTATTACGCATTACCAGTTAACACCCATATCGATCAAAAACATCCTCGACGTTGCGTCTCTATTGTTTCTAATCGCTGAACCCCCTCAGCGATTCTCTCGATGTCTTTTTTTGCGTCCGCGAACCTCTGACGCAATCTTGTTCTTTTGCCAACCTCTAACGTATATCTGCTGCACTGATTTCTACGAGTATCCAAGTACTCGTCCTTGAAACGACTGGTTACCGTGCCAGACTCCTACCAACGTACACGCTGTATTTGTTAAAAAAAAAAATCTTTGTTCAGATTACGAACGACACTAAACGCTGAACGACGTGCAAATGTCTCTGGTACGCTAATCACCGGAGATTACGCGTTTCCTACCCGAAATGGCTATATGCAAAATAGATATCTGTCGATAAACGTGATCGTTTACGTTCGTTCAAACGTATCGGTTATTAATGGTATTGTACGCAATCTCCTTCCAATTGTTTCGCTCTTTGATATCAGAATGCACGGTTTTTAAGGGAACCTTTGTACGCAGTTATTCCTGAATAATAGCCAGCGCACGGCGAGCAAACATGCTCGTCTTGTCTCAAAGTAAATTGGTCGTTAACTGCCCAATCGTAACTTTTACGACTACGGTGGAGTAGCGCTGCAATACTGTTACGGTCATACTACTCTAATTCGCCCCGTTTCTCTCCTACCATTTTTTTTAATTGCCTCCAATATCTCAGCGCGAGTTAAAATCTTGAAATTTCATGTAAAAAATCTCGGATTAATCAGGATTAAAGTTGCGCGTGTAATTCCAGGTGCAAATCGAATGCAAACCGAGGAAATTTGTGGAATTTTACTTCGGCGAATCTACTTTCAGGTATTTTCTGTTTATGAAGTTCGATGGAGGATCGGAGGAAAGTTGAAATTTTACACGATATACGCGGCCTTTTTATTATTGTACAAATCTTCCGGCGGATTTGGCGAGCTAAAAGCGCAACGCTTGATCGATTTTCGATAGAAGCTTCCGTCAGAAGAAAGGACAAAGGTAATATCAACTGCTATTGCGTTCTGCAGTTGATAAAACTGTGATGATAGGAACATTTCCACGTCCATATGTTTCCCATTAGATAGTTGCTGTTCGATATTATCGAGTTATTCTCACGATAGCGTACATATTACTTGCAAGGAGTTATTTTATAGGATTTTAGATGGTTAAAAATATACTTCATTCCAGACATCACAGTAAAAGCCTGCTCTATGCTCTCCAAGAAAAAAAACTAAATTATCTAAAAATTTTAAAAATATTCCCAACGAAATACTTAGACTGGCGTTCGATCTAATTGTTAAAAATCTATTAACGTGATATCGTTTTTGTATGATCGTTACAGCGATGGAAGCAACAACTATTCTACTGTGTGCAACGGTATTAATGGACGCTGAAGGCGAAGCGTTATATGATATGAAACAATAAACTAACGCAATTGACCGCTTTTCATGAGCAGAATTGCATTTGATCTATGTTCAATGAATAATTAATTCCAATCCGAGAACGTAAGACGGAAAGTGACCATCGATACAAGCTGGTTAGTTCGAATCTATGGGAGCTGGCAGAAGATCCAATCGCGTTTTTACACGAATCTCTGTATATAAAGTAACGCTAGTTAAATTTAGCAGATCGAATCGCAACGATAATGCGAAGCTTCTATGAATAGAATTCTAATTCCTCAAAAAAAACGATATCTTTGGTACTAATATAAATTGAGAAGAGAATCGACGGAAGATCAGCAACTATAAGAGACGATTGTTCGAGTTTGACTAGCTTCGGAATGATTTGTGAATACAATAACCCCCACTTTGATCTTATCAGGAATTACGGGACACCTTGTATAGATAGGGACGCACGCATGGTACGCGGAAAAGTGTGCCTATCGATAGAACTCGGCTTCTATTTCCCGCTACGTTCTCCTTTTTCTCCCTCTATCGTTTCTATCCTTCTCTTTTCAGCTGCAATTTCGATCGTAAAGTTTCGTCTCGCTCGTAAAGAGGACAAAGTTGAACGAAAGTGGAAACCACAGTACGTAGTTGACTGATATTACCACAGACCATAGATTTATCCTCTCCCATCGACCAACATCTTGACCAAACCACCAAATCGAATCGATACGTATCTCTATGCTCGCAATGACCCTGTGCGCGGCGTTTAACCGCACAATATTTCTATCAGATAATAATTAAACACCCACCACGATTATGCCAACGAGCTATTCGTAGAAAGTTAATATGTTTGCTCTGTATACGTCCCTGTATCGTCGTAAAATCGTAAAATCGTTCTCCCGTTATTGGTGTTTCCTTAATCTCACGTTATTCGTTAATGGTCGTAATTTACCGCGAAAGAAAGTAATCTAAAAAATCAACAAACGCGTCTTTCGGCAATATTCGCTGTCGCTGATAAAATCCCGGTGCCTCTATTATCCGACGAAATATATTTCATTCTCACGGTACGCGTTCGTTCAATTGTTTCTTCTCCTTTTGTTCGTTCGCGCGATCAGGATTGTCCGTATGTTTACATTCCGTACTAAAAGTGCAGCTCTATATAAAAGATAACGTTGCTTCATTTGCGTACAGCAACTTAAGGCGACATATGAATTACTCTTACAATGTATCTATGTACGAACGCCGGTGGTCCTCTATTAAAAACATTCCAAAAATGAATCCTCATTTGCTCGTATCCCCCCTCCCCCACCCTGCCGCCCAATTTCATAAATACTCTTTTGTCCCCGTCCCACACGCATACACACACTCTCTCTCTATCTTTCCCTCCCTCCCATTCGCTCTTGTTTTGTTCTCCCTTTCTGTTTCTCTGCTCATCTCATTCACGCTAGGTACAATAATTCAACAACGAGCATCTGTAGCCGGTATATAACGAGTATTTTTTGTTATAAGATTCACAATATACTATAATAAACGTCTCTCTCTCTCTCTCTCTTTCCCTCTTTCGCTATTTCCCCTCCGATGTTGTCCAAAGCGGGCAATCGATGAAAAAAAACGAGTCGTATATAAACATTACTCCAACGGAATAATCATCGTTCAACGACTAGCGATATGAATATGGGATCGTATCGTGACAAAATTTTCTCAACGACGAAGAAGAATTCTTTGTAGACAAATAGACAACAATGCACGACATGACAATTGATTGTTGGTGAATTATGACTACTCTCAAGTCTTGTAAACGTATGTGCTAAAAGAGGCAGGACGATGAAGAAGAGGGGCGTGGTGTAAAGGGGGCCTCGGGGAACATTCATTAAGACAGTGACACTATTATGTACAAAATATAATTCCGGGCTAAGTGACGTTTCCGATATCGATTAATAAATATCGAGAGTAAAACTTTACACACGCCTCCTCCTTAAACCGGACAGTAAAGCCACCTTTAGGGTACACACGCATGTACGTATATGTATATATATTCATCGTTGACTGGAGGGGGGAGAAAGATTATCTGATGTAAAAAGTAGCGAATGGCGATGGCGTGTACGCAACAACCGAAATGTAGTTTTCATTGATATATATATTATACTTGTTTGTCCCTTTCGCTGTCTCGTTTTCTTTTCTTTCTATATACGCTCGACAAACGTCGTTTTACTATCGTTTCGTGAAAATAACAAAGCGCAAAATTTGCCATCTCTGTTGCACTTCCACCCCCCACCCGTCCCACCGAAATCTTTTAATGGTATCATTTTCGCCTAAGTTCGCCTCCGAGCTTCCTCGTACACGCACGCAATCATACACTCGCGCTCACTCGTACCCGTATTCTTTCTCTCTTTCCCGTTTCCATGCACGCGATCTTCCCTTGCACTTTCGCTCCTGCCCTCCTCCCCTCGCACTCTCTCTTTCTCTCTCAATATTCCATCTTACTTCTTCATCTATCTCTTTCTCTCGCCCAAAAAGCGACCAACGAGCGACGAACCATCGCGTATGAATAAATACGCGACACGTGTATCCATCTTCTATCCATACAAGAATTCAGAATTCAGCGAACTCCTTGGCGCACTTCTCCGTCAGCGAAATCCTGAGCGTCTCCTCCTCGTAGTCGTCGAAGTTGCTCGTGTCCCCGGGGCCTTTGCACTTGGGTATGAACGGCGCCTCTATTTTCTTTTGGAAGACTGCTATCCAATCGGTACTGGCGAACCACTTGTGACCCTTGATGTCGTTCACGCCAGCCTTCAGGTTCCCGTACCTTTTCGTGAGATCGACTTGCAGCAAGTTACGTAGCAAGTCCTTCAGATCGGAACCGAAATGCGAGGGAAATCGCGTCTTCCCGGCGACGATCTTCTCGTAGATCAGGATCGGCTGATCGGCGAAAAAGGGTGGATAACCGGCGGCCATCTCGTAAACAAGGACACCGAGCGCCCACCAATCCACGGCCTTGTTGTAACCTTTGCTCAGGATTATTTCAGGGGCTAGGTATTCCGGCGTGCCGCACAAGGTCCATGTTCTGCCCTGTACCTTTTTCGCGAAACCGAAATCCGTGACTTTCAGGTAGCCCTGAGAATCGATCAGCAGATTCTCCGGCTTCAGGTCCCTGTAGATCAAATTTAGATAATGAAGATACTCGAACGCTAGTACGATTTGTGCCGCGTAAAAGCGCGAATGCGGTTCCGAGAAACGGCCGACCTTCCGCAGATGGCTGAACATCTCGCCACCCGGCACATATTCCAGGACCATGTACAGATACGAATTATCCTTGAAATGAAACCGCAGCGATACCAGAAACGGGAAACTGATCGCTTGCAGTATCCTCTTTTCGTTCAGCGTGTGCTCGACTTGCTTCAGTTTCACGACCTTTTGCTTGTCGAGTATCTTCATGGCGTAATACTCTTTGCTCGGTTTATGTTGCACTATCATAACACGTCCGAACGAGCCGGTACCGAGAGTCTTGATACGCTCGAAGTCATCGAGGGCAGCGGTGTTCGTCGGGTTCTTCTGCCACTTGTCCTCGAACTCCTTCTTTGCCTTGTCGAGGAACTCCTTGACGCTCTCGGCAGCGTCAACCTTTTTGTTCGAGGACGTGGCATTGTTGCCCATCTTAGCAGCCGCGCTGATACCCGAGCCGGCCAGGGCTCTACGCAGCTCCAAAGGTTCGCGAAGACAGCGTCTTCGTCTTGGTTGATCCTCTCCAGCAGCCGAGCCTACCAAGGCTCCGCCAAACCCTGGCCCCTTCAAAAATTTTGCTATCTTCTACGTTACTTTTGCCCGGTACCACCTGCGCCGTCTTTCGTACGCGTTCCCTTTCAACCGTTCCCTCTGTTCTCGTCGAAACCTGTCGGTACGATGCTGACCCTAACCAGACCCACACACCTCGAAAAGGCCACTCACACTTACGCAGTAACAGGGCACACGCGCGAACCGCACGGTGAATACACTTCTACCGACAAACGACTTATCCCTTTCGTTTTTACTTTTTATCGGTTCGAATTCACAATAGGAACCGACTCCTAGCACTCGATTCCAATTTTACTGGTCCCTTGATCGCACGACAAAGCGAGACCGAGCGATTTCGCGCGGAAAAATGGGTCAGCATTAATCCTCGTCCGTACCTAGCGCCATCTTTCCTGTCAATTGTACTAGCCCGATGTTGCTGTCGTTCTCTACAGCCGTCTCGATCTATCCCTTACTCCCCCTTTATTTTTACTCCTCTCTTGATTCGTGTACGTCTGCGACGACTACCATCGACGTGCCTCGCTCGCTTCGTTCGGCAAATCAAAACACTGCACACTGGTTGATTCACGGGCTAAACGTACCAAGCGGCAGAATCGGTGACGATTGTTCGAACGAGGGTCGAACGAATCGAGAGAACGACGTTGATTTTGATCGTTCTCAACCCTCGAACGCTTACGAAACGTCGTCTGCTCAACTTACACGGCACACACACACACGGAAACTTTTTACTCGGCTTATTAAACGAACATCACAAACGGTTATGTGTCGCGTATCCCCGCGATTGAATATACAGTACGCGTTATTGCACTAAATACACCAATTGTTTTGTTATACTCGCGGATTTACTTTGCGCAAAGTAAAACGAAACAGGCGGCGATAGCGGAGGTAATCGGTACCGTTCCTAAAGATGGCGACGCGGCTCTCTCCGCTTGTTCGTTCGGGATTTCGCACGGATGCGAAAATGACCAAGTACCGCTTCGGGAAGCAAGAGAGATACTGTGCTGCACAGATCAGCCACTGCTTCGACTTGTCGCCGACAGATGTAGCACGGGAACGTTTCACTGGTTTCTCGGGAGGTGCTGCCACCATGCGAAAGCGTCCGCGCACTATTAATTCAAAGCAAGCTGTTTTCCTTTACGAATCGTCCAAGGTTTCGTACCGGATCGTCAATTGTTTCTACGACTGTTTATGTCACCGTCTCGATGGGGAATGTGACTCTTTTTGTCATCCGAGAAAAAACAGTATGTTGTGTTACGAATATCTTCAATTTTAGGTCGATTCTCTTTCATTTTTCTATCACGTTCACGAATATTATTCATATTTTCAAGTAAAAATCCAACCAGAGTTTTTAATTTACTCGAACTCTGTATAAACTACTCTGGAGCAAAACAATAATTCCTTTAACGAATTCACGTTATCGATTGCTTTGATCGATACATCGTACACGTATCAATAATTTCAATGCATTATTTACATAAAAATCACCTGATACTTGAACAAACAAAAATGTAAACACAGGTCAGCATACGATGTTTCTATTTATGCCTTGTAGCGTTCATACGTGTACGTATGTACCCTCAACTTGGATAAAACTTTTGTAAATCTAACCTATTTAAAAGACCATTGAACTAATTTATCTTTCTAACGACTGGAACATTTTTTCTCATGGTTATTTTGTTAGAAACTAATCCCAGATCGAGTTTATTATCAATTTGGTAGTTTCGTTGCTATTAATAATAATCGACCTGTTTTGTGGTATTGAACCGTGGTATGTACACGGAAGGTTGAACACCCGCTGACCTGTGATAATCCTTTGGCGATTAGTTTCTAATTGTAGATAAACATATAGGCACAATTTTAGAGCAGCAGGTACGGTCGAGAAAGCTAGGTGGAGTCGATGGAGGACAGGACGAACCGGTTACCACCGAGTCAAAAAGGTACGACCAGGTCAGGCCTTTCGGATACACATAGTATTTTCGTGTATAATCCCGGCACATTGCACGCCAGACTAGGTAAAGGTGGCAAAAGACATGTCTAACGAGGTTACGTTCGGATATGTTTCTTCCAACAACCTCAGTTTGTTTCTACCCTATGGGATGCGCGCGACCACGCGCTCTATTGATTCCATGACCTGAAGCTGAAAGCGGTGTGCCAATTTGCCGAAGGAAAGTAGAATCGACTATTTACTTGCATCGCTTATTTCTTTCCAAACATTTTTATAGCCATGCATTTCGATTTATTTAGATCCCGACCGATACTGCAAAAAAAACCGGAAATAAAATTATTAAGAACCGAGAATCGTTGACGAACAGACTAAAAGCATGCACTATTTATATCGATACATTAATATTTAAAACGATTATACAAGTCGTTAAATTTTTAAATATAATACCACATGCATTTCGCCAAGATACGAACTTGTTTTAAACATATAATATCTTTTTGTAACAGACACTTTCTAATACGCAAAAGTAAGAAAACTAGCGTAACAGGCTACAGTGTAGGAAATAAGAGCACATCAAGAAAAGTGGGAATTTAGTCCAGCGAAATGAAAATTTAGATGCGTGATGCTATCTTTAGTTTGACACTGCAAAGCCAGTAGAAATATAGGTTACTGTCATCGAAATAGCTTGTGGCTGAACACTTCCACTGACCCACTAAAACGAAATTTAATTTCATCAAGCAAAGCTGTATGTCAACGAATTTCCATCTACTTCCGATTATAATATATGTATTTAAACATCGCGAAAGTTTTATATCGTATACTAATTAATATCGTAAGAAATTTACGAATTTAAATTAATAGCCCAAGGACAATTAATCGAACAAATAGCAAATTCATTTTATTCGCGATAATTTACGCAACGAAATGTCTAAATAAATGTAAACGTCATATGTTTATTCTTTCTATGAATATTAAAATAAGAATGTGTTGGAAACATTAAACATTCGTGGTAGAAAGTTTCATTAAAATCCCTATACGGTTTGGCATGAATGCGTGTTTAATGTTTCATTGTGTAAAGGATATTTGAAAAGCATCTGCTTTGCTCGTCTTCACCTGCACCGTACATAGCAGCTGCTTGGTGTTATCTTCATGCTTACGTAGGCTCCTGGCACGTGGTATACACGGCAGGGCAAAAAATACATTTCTGAATCGACTAAACTGACGCGTTTGCATGATTTTTGCGCATACAAAAATGTATAATCCATTTTACATTCGTTGGGGTATAAACGATTATCTGAAAGCAGTATTTCTCCTCTTGTTTTAAAAATTATTAGAAAATAATATAATAATAAATATATGTACTATTTAGCAACCTGATATTACGTACGTAGATAAATATAACGATTTCAGTGAAATCAAATATACCAATCGTATCGTATCAAGCCTACTTTCATTAATGGCTGAAACTGCATAACCCTCTGTTTCTTCTAAAACTAACGCTACAGAGAAACAATATAGTATCGTAAAGGAAAAGTAATATTTTATGTTTCACGATAAAAGCAACCTGTAACATGGACGTAAATGCAGTGGAGCCTTTCGGTCGGGTGCGTGGATCAACCTGAAAGCATCGCGCACCTTTTAATATACACCGGAAATGGGGCCATACGCGAAACTTCTAGAACTTTCCAAACTTTTGTTTACGTTTATATCTCGTCTATTATCTTTGGCGTACATTAAATATCACTAGAATCTAACCGACAGCTAACATCGTACACAGAATTTGATAGTTATTAGCAGGAAGACGATGCGGAACAAAATATAGGTTCTTCAAACAATACGTTACTAGCGCCGGAAGTGCGGGGATTTTTTACGAGTTTCGCAAGGCGGAATCCAATTGGTCAATGTGCTATTTGGAGGGGCATTAACAAAGCAATAGTAGCGAAGTCACCACTACTACGAACCTTAAGCCTCGTAACTATTGGTAGCCTTAATTAAATGTATTATAACATACGTTCGTAATATTATGTATTTAAAGTGAAGTATAACTATCAACAATATGAATCGTATGTATTAAATATTCTTTTCTGGCTTTAATATATTTGTACAAGAAACTTCATTGGACTCTGTAGTAATCATAGTTAAAACGTAGCGGCAAATTTATACTGATTTTCAAGCAATTTCTATTATTTAATAAATCGAAAACAATAGGTATATTTACCAATTTCCTTGATAGCGGTTTAAAGAATAATTCCAGTTTCTGTAGACACATTGTATTCATATTTTCGAAGCACTTCAAATCAAATTTACTGTGAACGTCCTAATAAAGGACTGATTCATGCGCCATCTGTAAACGAGCGGGAAAGAAAAGTGTTTGAAGGCCGCCGGCCTGCCGGCCGGGCCGAGTAACTTGGGTCTCGAGCGAATCAGTGTGCGAGTCTCTCTGCCATTTGCGCGTCGGTACGCGACTCCGCGGTAGTGGTGATACCAGAATTCTACGCTGCTTACCGGTGCATAGAAAACTCAAGCCTTATTATTAAGTGCGTTAGCTACCTAAATACTATATCGACCACACGATTAAATTGATCAGCATGGCGGATACAGAAACAAAGTGAGTACTACAGATTATTCTATTGATTTATCGTAAGAAAATCACATGTTTTCACCAAATACACTTCTGTAATGTTTCGTTATCGAATAAAGTGTTGGTGGGCTAATGTTCCAACCGTTGCATAATTCCTTTCCTCATTCATGCGTTCGGTACAGATTCTAATTGAATATGGTTTTCTTACTTTCACAATTTTGTTTCTACCGTAGTTGATTGTATACTTTTGAAAGCGTACCTAAGTTTGTAAGAGTATGGTCACGAGAAAGGGACAACGAGTCGGAAGGGGGGGGTATGCCCTCTCTACGTGATATTCTCAGCTTGATTCGTAAGACGCGTTACGTTCTCAGGATTACCTGCTTTTGCCACGATACGTGCTCTACTTGTAGAGTCGCTTTTCTGATGGCATCGTTTACCTTTTTATTTTTCGCCACTTGTAGCTTCACGTACATGAAACGACGACAATTGCAAAACGCGTGTCAGTTTTGTTTACATTTTTCTTGTTACCACTGTCTCATGCGTGTCCTTACAATTTTTATGATCAAAATATTGTTATTCTTATTCATAATACATTTGCTATAGTTGTAAATTTAATATGATTACGATTTAAATATTCTTTATTATGACATTCTTTTAATTACCCGATGTTAATTGCGATATAGGTATTTAGATGTTGAGAAAATAAAATATCATTTTCGTACACATGTATATAAAAGAAATCTGAAAATATTTTGCGTAAGATTGGACGCGCATCGCCTTAAAAAGAAAAGGCACAGCTTATTGATCTGTTCTCCCTTACCGACCAAGTATGAAAATCCTAATAATACGCATTTTCATTTTCCTTTTAATATATTTTAGAGGAAGTATATCGTGTTTCTAATGATGAATGTCGATACTACTAAGATTTATTTAAGTCTCCGACGCTATGGGAACGAATATATATATATGTGTATACATATATACGTATATGTTACGTTGATGTATATTTACGGTCCACGCATCTACGATTTGCCGCGCCGAAACATTCTGTATATGTGTGTTGCGTTACGTACGTGTTTTGTATGGTCTGTTAAATGGTGAGGGGTGGTGAGAAGGGGAGACGAAAGCAGGATATCAACATCGCTAGGTGTCGCCACAGTTGGCGTCCTATCTCTATTTCTATCCCCGATCATTCCATCTTTGTCTATGACTGTGTAGCATAAACCAATACCCGATTTTAAAAAATTAAACATGTCCAATATTTATTTTTAACTGCAGAATAAGCCTCGTTCGTTTAAAAACATTTCTCTCTTCTTAGTTGTATCGAAATACAACGCAGCTTTCATCTGTAAAATTATAAATGACGCTATTATTATTTTAAACGAATAAAATACGTTTATATCATACTACGTATTATGCGTTACGAAAATAATTAAAGAGTTTATATATTTTGATGTTTATAGGGACACCAAAGTTGCTACCACCCCAGAGAAGAAAGTTGTGGAAGAAGAAAAAAAAATAGTTGAAGATGATGATGAAGATTCAAAGGCATCTGAGAATGGGGAAGCTAAGGAAACCAAAGAAAATGGCTCGAATGAAGAAAAAGAGTCAAATGAAAAGGAAGCAGAATCAACAGCAGAGAATGGTGATTCTACAGGTACAATTAAGACAATGTGCTAGTAAAATATTAATATAGAAAATTATAGAAATAATAGAGTCAATATTACAAAAAATGTTACCCTTTGTAGATGCTCCTGTTGACAGCTGCTGTATAAAAAGGAAATCAACAACTTTAAGTGATACAACAGAAGATACTACCACTGATGGTGCAAGTCCTGAAAAGAAAACAAAACTTGAAGAAAAGTGTGCTGAAACAGAAAGCAATGGGGAAGCAGAAGCTACAGCCTAATATCTTTTACATTTACTGCAGACTTAATCTATAGATGGAATTTTAACAGCTAACCGATAAGTCAAACCAGCCAAAATTTGTTATACGTGCATTATCAAGATAGACAAGCACTAAAAGAGAAACTTTAACATTATATTAATGACTTTCTGTGTTCAGACATTTGTGTGTTTATTGCAACCATTTTCGTGAGTCTAATTGGCAGTAACATTGCGTATATCCAAAGCATCACCATACATCTTTATTTTAAATTACTACCATTCATGTTTCCTATGGTTTTCCACACTGACATCCACATACATATATATTCACTTAGTACTAGATTTGTGAAGTAAGAAAGATATAAATAATATTAGAAATAATATATTTCTGATTCATGAAGATAGACGACGGTGTGGTGCTCGCGAAAGATATTCATGGAAAGTATTCCATATAGAACTTATTCTTTCTAATCCACAGACATGAGTATACATAGACATCTCATATCAGATATAGAAGAAACAATATTTTTCTGCAAATAAAAATACATTCCTAAAACACAATATATAGCTCACCCACAAATTATTAACATTTATTGACGAAAATTAGAAAACGAATTGTATTTGTAAATTCTGACATATTCGCAGTATACGTAATATATGTATATATATACATATAACTGATGTACAATTCAATCCGTAACAAATAGATAAATTACCACCATGTATTTAAATACGTTAATATTAATGCAATATATAATTTAAATGGTTTACAATTTAAATTTTAATTATTTAATAACAAGTCTGTACTTTAATCATCAAAATTTACATCATATCGTTTAGTAATCCTTTCATTGCAATAGCACATAATGCAATTCGGAAGTAACTTTCAATGAAACACTTGACAATATGTAATAACTTACGTTTGTATGTATAGATATGTTGGTGAGCAAAAACGTTTAATGTTAAATTTGTGGTAACAGCAATCAAATATGCTGCATTCATAACTAATGAAAAGTTACATATCAAAATCTTCAAATCTACGTGTGATTAAAATATGGTAACTATGTATGTTTGTAAAAAATATAAAAGGTCAAAAAGCAAAAGCAATTTAGTATATATCATTTATAATATTATACATACAATTGATATTATATTCTGATAAAAACTTTTTTGTTACTTCTAGTACAAATTATTTTCATACAATCAGAATCATTGTGTAATATTATTTCTTGTATAATGAATACCTACAATTTAGCAACGATTGTTAAGATTATATTAAAACATGTTCAATGACGAAATAGTTGATTTAAGAACATTGTTAATATATTTATGTTAGACTTCTGTTTCATGTATAAAAGGGGGAATAATGCTAAACAAAAAATTTTTGTACATACCATACAAATGATATATACAGAGTAATAAAAATTCATTTTAAGTTATTATCGCATAATCCAAAAACTCAATAGTATAACAGTGAAAATAAATTGTCACAATTAATTCTACAATAAGCAAATCAATGTGAAATCTTAAATTGAAAACTGTAAAATGTTTATAATTAGATTTTACGGATTTGTAAAACTTGAATTAATAGAGAAACTTTTTCAAATTAATACTAAAATATACCTATCAACTGTTTTGTTATATTTCTTTTAAATATGAAATAAAAACTTTACTTGACTTATTGAAATATAAAACTGATTATGAAATTTAAACGAATATGATGAATTTGCCTACATCGATATAAAACCGGTTACTATCCTTTTTGATTGTTACGAATATGATTACATAATTACGTTAACTATTTTACAAATAAAAAAACATAAGCCTATGATTACTGCCTTTAATATTTAAAATTACACGAAGTTTAACTTAAAGAAACTTTATATAATCAAGAAAATTTAATTGTTTTTCTACATTTATGACCAAAAACGGACTAACGCAAAATATTCGCGACAACGATAGGGAAATGTTCATAACAACAGCAATGGCGAAATTAGCATGCATGCTCGCACCAAAGAGCGAATGCTGATGAAAAAACAAAAGCATGGTCTTTATTTGGTGATGATTGTTATTAACTATTAAACTGTACAACTATAAAATAGTACATTACTACTTTATATACGTAAATAATAATTTGTATCTGTTCGAGACACAACCCCATGTCGTTTCGTCTCTGTCGCAGTCATGTGATTCTGTTTAGAAGTAATTCCGTCTTAATTAGCAATATAACAAACGGTTTAGAATAATATTCAGTGTCATCTATAGGAGAAAATAAAAGTTTTAACGAATTTATAACCGGTGTATAATGTGCGTGTACTGTGCCCAATGTAGTGTAACTAGTTTTTATGTTTAAATGTTTATAAATAAATAACGTATTTGGAAACTAATTCCCTTCATCGCGTTATTTATATAATCGTACAAAATGAGTACGAAACCTATTTTTTTCAAACCAGGTAAGTATAATTCTAAATTTCTTACCTAAACAAGTTTTTATAATTGTAGCTTTAACGTTGATAACATTATCTTATTTGTTAATCTTGAACAATTTTGAAAATACGATTATTCATTTATTATATCATATATTAGATACAAATATGATTGTAATATTATTATTATTATAAAACATAACCTTTTAAGCTATTAATATATATTTTATATACTGTTTCCAATAACAATTTATATTTCATCGTTAATGTTATAGGAGATAGCATGTGGCAAGAAGATAAACCAGACATAGATGTCCATTCCTGTACACAATTTGTTTATAATGCGCATCATTCTCTTGCACTTGATATGCAACGTCAAAGATTGCCTACATTCAAGTATAAAAGTCATATTATTTATTTATTGGAAAAGTATCAGACATTGGTCTTGATCGGAGAAACTGGATGTGGAAAAAGTACACAGCTTCCTCAGGTATGTCTAAACTTTATAAAATTGAGTTTATTAAATTATGAGATAGAATTGAAACAAGTAATACCATTATATGGAAAATTCAGTAGAAGTATTAATGTTATTTCATATGAAAGTCATAAGTTTGTATGAACTTTTTCCATTGCCCTATGTCCCCCATACACGCTATAAAACACTCTGTATATTTACATATATATTTACTACATAGTATGTCACAAACAATAAATTCAATTATTGATTGCTGACAATCATGTCTTATCAAGAATAGATTACAGAGATAGATAGTAGATAGTAGAATACATAGATAGTAGAATAGAAACATTTGAGAATGAGTTGCTTATAAGAATGTTATATGTAAATATCACAGAGTACTTAAAGCAACAGTTTAAATAGTAGAATATAGTTATAAAATTATAAATTGCTAGGAAAACAGAGCTTTTTTTTTTTTATCAATATACATAATTTACAATGATCGAACAAAAAATAATGCAAGTATGAATTTTATCATTAATACGTTTAATGTAATTGGAAATTAAATGCACTCTCGTAATAACAGAGTAGGGCAGAATAAAAAAAGAAAGAGAGCCGGTTCTCCATCAGAGGATAAGGATAGTATGTCCATCCTTTTCCAAGCATATGCCATGGCGTCATATGGTGTGCATAGCACATAAGTGTATTGTACACATATGTAATATGTAGTACCATAGTAGGGCGAATTGAAAAAAAACCTAGGCAAAAGACGCGAAGCAATAGCATCGGGTTAAACGCAAGCAATACATACAAGGTTCGCAATTTCGAAAGCGATAAAATACGATTACATTATTAAAAAACATATAAGATGTGTGCGTTCGCGCAACATTGAATATTCAATCGAATCGTGAAATAGCTCGACGCGTAACCGACCTTGCTGTTGACTATTGCATGCGCCATTGAAACTTAAATCATAGGGTAAGGGGTTAAAATGTTTAGCAAATCGTAAAACGCGCATGCGTGCGAACATTAAAAGTTCTATGGTTTCAACGCATCGCCATTCTATTGCAGAAGCCAAGAAGTTTTGACGGTTCACTGTGGTTCACTGTATACTTTACGTGCAATATGTGTTAAGTAAACTTTACCGTTTATTATGAATTACGTAAAATTATTTGGAATAATTTAGTAAACAAGAATATCATGAAATAACAATTTTTATAATCAATCGTTGAACCGTTATTGAACGTTTAAGAGAAATTGTGTGATAACAGCGTGACTAAAATTTTGTTACGAAAAATACTTCCATATTACTCTGATTAAAGTAAACTACGGATGAAAAGCATAACTGAGAATGTTGCATAAAAAAGAGAGTAACCGTCGTATGTTCATCGACATTAATTTATTAATCGAACAAAATGCTAAAATCGAAATCTGTAAGGTAGCATGTATAAACATGTGAAGCCGTTGTATCACGCGGCCATTCGTAAATATTGCAGCACCTTTCACTGCAAACAGAGATATTATTCATAATGGTTGTTTGAAAACCTGTGAAATATTGTAACGTGAAAACGATGATTTATCGAAATCATGTGAAATCATGTGATGAGTACAAAAATTCAAAACTATAATTTAAAAAAACTGAAAATTGAATATTTAAATTGACATGACGATATCGTTATTTAAAAATACACATTTCTCAGTTTCTCTTAATTCATACATCACCGAAAAATATATGTGATTACACAAAGTATATTTGAACAATGAAATCTTTGTTAAAAAGTTAACAACATTGTAGAAAAACAATGTAGTAATGTAAAGGAATAAGTATGGACATGTGATAAAAATAATTCTAACAGTGCAAAGCAGTGCCAAAGTCATAGAGCAAAATGTTTGGTACAACAACCTTCGTAAGCAGGTCACTCCTACCAATTTTGATATTATTGACATTATACTTCCTTGGAATGGACATTTTACTATATTCTAGAATACAAAATTATGATATACGACCAACTTCAAATGGTACACGATATGTTTCAATTATACCCTGTGATTTTAATCCATTGTGTACAGTGACTGTGAAAGGATTAATGCTCGACCATCCAAATTATTTTCTTCTAAGCCCGCTTGTGGCTATCATGGACAATCTATTACACATTAGCGATTCTTGGACATGGATAACACCAAATGCAATCAGTTGTTTTCACGTGTTAATAGCAGTGATGGCTGGTAAATGTATTTCCAGTGATTCATTATCTCATAGACGCTTAGGTGTAATACTCTTTCAAGCAAGAACATGGTTGGATGATCTAGATGGACACGTTGCTAGAAAAAGAGCAAATATCGATGGGGAACGATCGGATGTTGGTTCGACTGGTTATATCGTCGATGGTGTTTGCGATGCTTTGAGTTGTGTTGTTTTAATTATTTGTCTGTATCAATATCTTGTCCATAATTCAAACAGACGTGGAGGATACGATAAGCTATCACAGCTTCCTGTTTCTTCAGTTCTTGAATCTGGAAACGTAACCTCAAAAACTTCAAACACAGCACTTCGTAATATATTACTTATGTCCGTCCACTTGTTCTTGACCAGTGCTGCCTGGAATCGATATATATCTTTATACCAGGATCTTCTTGAGACTGAATATAGAACACCATCGATTAGTAGGGAACATCTTTACGCTAGACAGACAACTATATTCAGAGGTTTATCATTTTGGATAATAGTCCTTTGCTGGAAATTTATAAATTTTCATGCTGTCATAGATTATCTACTTTTGGCAATATTTTTGGATCGAACACGGGAGTATATCAGACTTATAAGATGGCCTTCGTACGTGGTTATATTGCTGCTTGTTTATATAACCGAATTTCATTTTCTACAGGCCTATGCATATGTACAAGGTGTACCATTGATGAAGAGATAACTTCATCCGATGTTTTCTCCCAAGGATGACAGTATGAATCTTGGAATAACTCATTCCCTACATTTAGTAACCGGTGATACATAACGATTTGAATAACTCTTATACATTAAAATTTGTGAAGTCATTTATCCACAAAAATAATATTTCAACAAAATTATTTGTATTTTATATTTTTCTGCGTGTATTTTATAAAAATGCCTGACTGATCTAATTGCTTTCATTTGTATTTGTACATTATGCAAACGTTTAACATGGATATAAAAAGAAAAAGAAACATGTTTTCAATTAATACATTCTATTTTATTTGATGAAATATTGTTTATTGCACCAGACTACTTCCATTTACAAAGCAGTTCTGTTCGTTTGTTTAAAGAAAATGGAAAGTACAAAACAAATTAACTAACCTCTCACTCGCGTTTGTATAGCTAATTTCTAAAGATTGTTTCTAAGACTAATCGAATTCTTTTTGTGTCTTCCAGGCTTTGTAATAAACAATATTTGATAAAAATATATAGAAAGTATTAATAAGGAACATGGATATGTATATGTAACCTTCACATAGTGTATGAATACGAGTGAGAGAGGAATAATATATAGTACATAACCTTTAAATGCTAAACCGGTAATATTTTAGCTTAATTCAACTTGTAACATTTACGTTAATGTGATTGTTGTATCGATGATAGTTTGCTAATGTTGTTATAATATTCTAACAAATGAAGTTTTCATTTTTCAAGGTAATCAAAAGTTCCGACAAGTATTACCTTGTACATTTGTTTTAGAAGTAAAACGTTGTTAAATGGTGAATGATGTAGCGATAGGTGCGACGTAAATAAATGGGACGAGGTTTGTTGAAATGTATTTTTATTACTATACTCACAAATTGATTCGAACGATGCCATGTGCCGTGGTTACACATGACCGATGCTCTCGGTTCTGTTAACCTCGGCCATGTAACGTCGTAATTATCAATTCGGGTACTTTCGTGAATTTTCGTGTTTGCCAAAAGTTTAACGACCTCGCGTCGTGCTCCTTTGTTTTTGCAATCCAAGCGTTAGCGACAGCGAAATGCATACGTTATGTTTCGCTGTTGCCAACGCACGTTTAGCGTTCAAATTTTTTGTTCATGTAGGTAACTGCTACATCACTCTGCCAATGGCAATGCTAAGTATCGATATAATATGTATACATATATGCTATTTACATACATCTACTTGCAATTTTCTAACTAATTCTGCTACTGATATTGCGGGTAATGAGTCCATCCAACTAATAATTTAAATGTTCAAGCTAAGTGGGACACCCTTTATATGTATATGGACTGAATAATACATGTTAATTTTCTATTTTATACACATATTAATCAGCGTTTGGCCTTTACCTACATATTTCGATGTGATCCAATGTCACGAGTTACCTAGTTGTAGCACTTCTATGTTTACCGAAGTTACATGGTAGGTTTTTAACATACATAAGCCTTTATAACGAGCTTTCGATAAAATCCGATATAAATATGACATTAAACCCCGAAGACGTAACACGTAATATTCTACCGCTACTGGATTATCCATATTAACGTTAAAGGTAGCAGATAGATGTTGAGAGTGTAGAGCTTCACGTTGAACTTAAAAAGTTGTAAGCACAGTTATAAATGTACTAATCGAGTTTCTATGAAATATAATCTTTATCGACCTGATCTATATTGTTAATTCACTCGCCCTTGTCCAGTTTACTGTAAGAAAAATAATAAAAAAAATATAGTACAGATAAATAGATCGTTTTGTGTAACGTTATGAAATACAACAGACATATGCACGTTTATTTTACAAAATGATTACAGTATCTTCTTGAAGCAGGATGGTGTACAGATGGGAAAATAATCGGAATCACGGAACCGAGAAGGGTTGCAGCCACCTCTTTGGCGAATCGTGTTGCGGACGAACGAAATTGTATTTTGGGCACCGAAGTCGGTTATTCTATACGTTTCGACAATTGTACGGACGAAACAACGAGGATCAAGGTATCTTTTCGTGTGTTAATTTAATTAAGATAAGAAATACAGTAGTGCCCACATAAGTGACCAAGCTCGATGTCGGTCCGGAGCTTGGTCACTTATGTGGGCACTACTGTAATTTTTGTTAAAATTAATATAAGATTCATCGCGTTAACAGTACATGACAGAAGGAATTTTACTCCGGGAATTAATGGGCGATCCCTTGCTGACGAGTTATTCCGTCATCGTTATAGACGAGGTACATGAAAGGACCCTCCTCACCGACATCATCATGGGACTATTGAAGAAAATAATGCGGGTAAATCGAATAATATTAATTCCATACAGATCGATTAAGTTTTAAACGCTTTGACAATCTTCTTTTTTATTTTCAAAAGTAAACAAATGATCTAGGTGGTCTGTTTTAAATGCTACGTTCTGTATTAAGAAATAATGTTTGTTTCAGAAACGGAAAAGCTTAAAGATCGTCGTTTGTTCCGCTACAGTCGACGCGGAACAACTTCGAGATTTTTTTAATACCGGTACAGTAAAAGACACAGCAGTCATAATGAACGTAGAGGGTCGACTCTACCCAGTAGATATTTACTTTGTAAAAGGTATATGGACGAACGTGGAGTGGTAGACAAAAGTATTTAATATGTAAAACCGAATGCCCGAGATTATACTTTTAAATAAACTGGCAAGAGTCCAAGTATTAATAAACAGTTTTTCATAATGTACGAATACTTTTGTCCTCTATCGTATGTGTATTTATAATTAACATGTAAGAATTATTCATTATACGCTCGCGTTATATTACAGAGCCGGTGGCTAATTATGTCACCAGTGTTGTGGACACTGTTTTGAAAATACACGAACACGAAGAGCCTGGGGATGTTTTAGCGTTCCTTACGGGCCTGGACGAAGTGGATCAAGCAGTTTCTCTTTTATCGGAGCATGCAAAACTTATAAAAGAAGGGAAACGTGGGTAGAATTTTGCGCCATATTGTTGCTTCTCCAATGTTACACAACCAAATGGTATATAGATAACTATTTTTAACTATTTTTCTCTTTTTCTAGTGAAACTTTTACCCCTGGCCATGTATGGATCTCTTCCAAATTCAGAACAGCTTAAAGTGTTTTGGAGAGCCGCCAAAGACACTCGCAAAGTAATAGTAGCAACGAACATAGCAGAAACATCTATCACAATTCCAAACGTTGTCTATGGTAATTCATCTTTATGCGTTAAAGGTTATGTACTATGTAACTGAGAATCTTTACTTTATATCTAGTTATCGATTGCGGTTTTGTCAAAGTTCCTTGGTTTGAAGCGGAAACTCAAACGAATTCCCTTGTTATCGTTCCTGTATCGAAAGCTTCGGCCAACCAGCGTGCTGGTCGAGCTGGTCGCGTACGATCAGGGAAAGCATATAGGTAAACATATAGATAAACAATTATGTTTAACAAAATTTCATGAAACTTTTTCCGTAGATTGTACGTGGAAGAAGCGTACAATGAACTGTTTGAGGCAACGCCACCGGAAATGCAACGCTCTGATTTAGCACCCGCTATATTACAGTTGAAGGCTTTAGGCATCGATAATGTATTGAGGTTCAATTTCCCTTCTGCTCCACCCAGTAAAAATTTGCTCACAGGGCTGGAATTACTATACGCGTTGGGTGCAATTGATAGTAATGGAGAATTGACGACACCATTAGGCGTAACAATGGCGGAGATGCCATTGGAACCTGTTCTGGCAAAGTCTCTCATCGTATCAGGTACAATTTTTTTGTAGATATAATGTCATCTACTATTTAAAATAATTTCTTTTATATGTAGGTGAAATGGAATGTTCCGAAGAATTGACAACTGTTCTCGCCATGCTACAAGTACAGAACGTTTTCATAAGACCAGCTGGAGGCCAAGCTGCGATAAAGGCCAGAGTGGCGCATAGAAAATTTGAGGTGGAAGAAGGAGATCTTTTAACGATGCTCAATGTCTATACCGCTTATGAGAAGAATAAAACATCCAACTGGTGCCAGAAACAGTTCCTTAACTACAAAGCGTTACGACGAGCCACGGAGATTCGAATGCAAATGCATTCCATGATGAAGAGATTAAGTATACCATTAATTTCTTGTAATGGTAAATTTAGACTAAAGATCAAATTCCTTCGCATAAGTTAGTTAACATTTTCCAATAATTCTCTTTAATATTTCGAAGGAAACGTACAACAAATATTAAAATGTATAACAGCTGGACTTTTTCCAAAAGCAGCATATTTACATTATACTGGCGTGTATAAGACTGTACGTGGCAATAGGGATTTATACATACATCCAACTAGTTGTTTATATACACTTCAACAACCACAATGGTTTGTATATGAATTTAAATATTTTCTATTTCTGTATTAACATTGTGCACGTTGTTTTAAGTTCTCTATTTTGTTTTTTCAAGGCTACTTTTTTGCGAAGTTCTACAGACAAATAAAACGTACATGAAGGACATAACAGTGATACAACCAGAATGGTTATTAGAATTAGCACCTCACTTTTATGAAAGAACTTCCCTCGAAACTGTTTAGTATAATTTTTATAAATTTGTAATAATAATGAAAACGAAAATTAATTGAATTATAAACATTAAGCAATTTTTTGTACTATTCCTATGTATGAGCGTGTATTATTAATACGATTGAGTCTAAGTAGCTACATGAATTGTTTAGTTATTACGATATAGACGTTATTTATACAAATTTTTTAAAGTGTTTTATATAAATCTTATGAAGGATTAAATTTTATATAAAAAGTCGCATTAAAAACTTCCACCACAAATGTTTTAGAATAATGTTGTGCAAGATATTACTCGTCAATTTAATTTATTTATAAAATGCAGTATCAAGGTATGTTTCTGTGTATTATTATTAGAAAAGTATAAAACATTCCTTATGTTTATATTAATAAAATCAAAGCACATATTTTCCTTTCTTTTTATTTACCTTCTCTTCTACCTTTCCTATTAATTCCTTAACTTGTTACATTCTAAAGTATTATAATCACTTAACACCACTATAAATACTATTCATACCTAATTAAGTTCTTCTCTATACATTATTTCATGTAATTAATTAGTTATAATATCAGGGATTCGAATTCAAAAAATTGTGCCAGGATCACTGAATGTTAGAGGAAGTATTCGGAGTATAGTTACCCCCACTCCTGCTACTTCTGATACACATAGCCTTGATTATTCATTAATAACTCCTTTTCTGGGAATAAAATATGAACTTTTAGAATTGAAGAATGTAGTATAGACCCTTGGCTAGATTCAAGGATAGTTTTTAGAACCATCTCATGCGTTATTAAATAGTTATTAACAAATATCGGAAGTCGGAACATGTACGGCTGCATCACTGTCTGCTTTAATCGATGAATTATCAATTTTTCAACAATAACACGCATATTTTGGCTATTAGGGAACCTAGTAGACATCCCTGACAACATTTAAGGACCAATTTTACTCCGCTCCTCCCTCTAATTAATTAGTTATTAGCGATAGATCCCTGAGGTGTCGCGTTAAAAAGTTCGAGGACGTGTGCCGACTTCCCGATATTTGTTAATAACTATTTAATAACGCATGCCATTGCTCTAAAAAGTATCCTTGAATGTTGTCAGGGGACTCAACTATATTATTAAACTCTAAAAGTTCATATATGATACCCAGGAAAAGCGTAATTAATAAATTATCGAGTCGTAGTTCATTGACAGCCGTGATTTATTGCAATGGCGGGGGGGGGTTCCTATTGTGGTGCCATCTAGTGCAGAACATTTATGTTTGTCGATTCGTTCTAATATTGGGCAAAAAAGTGACCAACTACGGTATCGCCATCTAATATCAGAAATTCGAACTCAAAAAATCGTCCCAGGATCACAGAATGTAGGAGGAGGTATCGCACTTTGGATGCCATCTAGCGGTGAAATAGTGTACCATCGCTCGACAAGTTTCAATGTTCCGCAACTAGATGGCGCCACAATAGAGACCTCCCACCATTACAATAAATCGTAGCTGTCAATGAACTATGGCTCGATAATTTACTAATTACTCTTTTCCTGGGATTCAGTCGTTAACTTTTAGGGTTTAATAATATAGCTGAGACCCTTGGCAACATTCAAGGATACTTTTTATAGCCGTGGCATGCTTCATTAAATAGTTATTAATCAATACCGGGAAGTCGGCACAGGTTTTCGAACTATTTAACGTGACACCTAAGGGATCTATCGCTAATAACTAATTAATTAGAGCATGGAGCGGGGTAAAATCGGTCCTTAAATGTTGCCAGGGATGTCCTCTAGGTTCCCTAATAGCCAAAATATGCGTGTCATTGTTGAAAAGTTGATAATTCATCGATTAAAGGAGACGGTGACACAGCCGTAAATGTTCCGACTTCCGATATTTGTTAATAACTATTTAATAACGCATGGCATGGGTATAAAAAGTATCCTTGAATGTTGGCAAGGGTCTATACTACATTCTTCAATTCTAAAAGTTCATATCTTATTCCTGGAAAGAGAGTTATGAATGAATAATCAAGGCTATGTATATCTGGCGGAGGAGGAGTGGGGGTAACTGTACTCCGGATACCTCCACTATCATTCTGTAATCCTGGGACGATTTTTTGACTTCGAAACACTGATATTAGATGGCGATACTGTCGTTTGTCAATTTTCTGCCGAAATATAGTATCGCCATCTAACGTCAGGGTTTCGAACTAAAACTCCTACTCCCGATATACATAGCCTTGATTATTCATTAATAACTCCTTTTCTGGGAATGAAATATGGACTTGTAGGATTGTAGAATATAGTATAGACCCTTGGCAACCTTCCAGGATACTTTTTATAGCCATGGCAAGCGTTATTAAATAGTTATTAACAAATATCGGGAGTCGGAACATTTACGGCTGTATCACTGTCTGCTTTAATCGATGAAATATCAACTTTTCAACATTTACAGGCATGTTTTGGCTATTAAAGAACTTAGTAGACATCCCTGGCTACATTTTAGGACCAATTTTACCTCGCTCCACGCTCTAATTAATTAGTTATTAGCGAAAGATCCCTAAGGTGTCACGTTAATTGTTCGAAAACGTGTGCCAACTTCCCGGTATTGATTAATAACTATTTAATAACGCTTGCCACGGTTGGAATAGCTATTCTAGAATCTTGCCAAGGGTCCATACTATATTCTTAAACTCTAATAGTTCATAATCCATTGCCAGGAAAGGCGTAATTAATAAATTAAGGAGCAGTGATTCATTAAAACCGGCGAAGTATTGATTTCTGCATTGTGGCGCCAACTAGTGGCGAAAACAATGTACTATATGCTTTCTAGGCTTTTAATGAATTGTTGCTCGTTAATTTACTAATTACGCCTTTCCTGGGATCAACTGATGAACTTTTAGAGTTTAAGAATATAGTATGAACCCTTGGCAAGATTTAAGGATACCGGTTCTAGCCATGGCATGCGTTATTAAATAGTTATTAACAATTATCGGAAGTCGGAACACTGTTTGTAACCTTTTAACGTGACATCTTAGGGATCTTTCGCTAATAACTAATTAATTAGATCGTGGAGCGGGGTAAAATTGGTCCTTAAATGTGGCCAGGGATGTCCTCTAGGTTTCCTAATAGCCAAAATATGCGTGTCATTGTTGAAAAATTGATAATTCATCGATTAAAGGAGACGGTGATACAGCCGTAAATGTTCCGACTTCCGATATTTGTTAATAACTATTTAATAACGCATGTCATGGGTATAAAAAGTATCCTGGAATGTTGCCAAGGGTCTATACTACATTCTTCAATTCTAAGAGTTAATAGTTTATAACCAGAAAAGGAGTTATTAATGAATAATCAAGGCTATGTATATCAGGAGGAGGAGGAGTGGGGGTAACTGTACTCCGGATACCTCCACTAACATTCTGTGATCCTGGGACGATTTTTTAACTTCGAAACACTGATATTAGATGGCGATACCGTAGTTTGTCAATTTTTAGCGCAATTCTTAGCGCAATATTAAAATATGAATCGCTTCCAATAATTGTTTATAACTAATCAATTACGTGAAATAATGTATAGAGAATTTAATAAAATACTTTAGAATACTTTAGAATTTAAGAAATTAAGGAATTAATGGGAAAGGTAGAGGAGAATGCAAATTAAAAGGGAAGGAACATATGTGTTAAGGTTTTAATGTTTTATTAATATAGGAATAAGGAACGTGTTACGTTTTTCTAATTCTATTTTACAGAAACATGCCTTGATACTGTGCCTTATAAATAAACTAAATTTATGTGTAATATTTTGAACAACATTATTTTAAAACATATAGCAATGTACACTTGTAGTAATATCCATTTCAACAACAAATATCAATTGTAAATCTTACACATATTACACTCTCAAGATAGGAATCTAATCTAATAGAATTCTATCTATTTTATATAATAAATATATATTTATTTCATAATGGAATATACCCACTTTCTTTTATAGTTGTACGGTTTAACAGATCCTGTTATTTGCTTGCTCTTTCAAACAATTGAGCTTACTATTGACTTTTGTACCTACAGAAATAATTGTATGTAATTGTTTTTGTAAATGCATAATTAAAAATAGAGAAATCATACTCATCTTTGTAATAAATGGAGTTAATACAATGAACAATGCCAGCGATCACATTCTGTGGGACTGCATACCTTATGAAGGAACAATGGAATAAGATGACGCCAGATCTGAAAATTAAACACATGTCAAACCTTTACACTGTATTAAAACATTCTTAAAATATTAAATTGCTTCTGATGCATTTTTATTACATTATAAACTTCCAATTAAGTCTAGGCATAACCACCAAAGATTAAGTAATAATAACTTTAGAAATACATATATGCACATCAAGACTGATTAAGTTAATTATAAAAATGTAAATTCTATGTACTAACCAATAGGATACATAAGCCTAAGAAAGCCTTAGCTGTTGTTAATAAATAAATAAATAAAAGCAAAAAGATGTTTTTTTTTTTTTTTTTTTTTTATTAACGACAACTAAGCCTCTTTCAGGCTTATGTGTCCCTTTCGTTGGTACATTGACTATACATTTCTTTCTTTTTTTTTTTTAGTAATTGCACTTGTAAATGTATGTACATACCTTGAATATTAGCCTACTTAACCTATTCAGTTTTAGTTTATTTATAAAAAAAAGATATGTTTCGATCTATTGTGTTTGGGGCGCTATCTAGTTTTGGAGGGAAGGAACTATTTCTCGACAAACTTGGACGTTTCGCCGTAGATGGCGTGGCGAAATATACTTTCCCGCCATTATAATAAATCACTGCAATAATTTACTAATTACTCTTTTCCGAGTATTATTTATGAATTTTTAAGGTTTAATAACATAACTGAGACTCTTGACAACATTCAAGGATACTTGTTATAGCCATGGCATGCGTTATTAAATAGTTATTAACCAATATCGGAAGTTGGGACACTTTTTCGAATTTTTTAACCTAACGACTTAGAGATCGTTAATAATTACTTAATTACAGCGAGAATCGTCGCAAAATTGATCCTTGAATATTGCCAGGGATGTCTACTTTGTCATGTAACAGCAAAAATTATGATTTCGATTATTTTTTCCTTTCTAGAGAAGCTAGAGAAAAAGTTTATTTGATCTTTTTAAATTTAATTCTTCCTAAGATTTATATAAAACATTTTAAACAATTTTTAGACTCGATCGTATTAATAATGTGCATATGTACCTAGATACGTTTATGTTGTGCTATCTCTTATCCAGCATGGCCAGTGCTAAAGTCAATGGCTATGGAGTAAACACTAAGCAACGTAAAAAACTAATCCTTAGACATTAATATAAATTTAAACATTTGAAGGGCACCTTATTTACCTTGTCGGTGTTACACAGTTTATTTAGTTTTTGCTACGATTGATTTTACCGGAATCAGAGATTACTGCGCCTTAAACGTTTCTTCTAAATTTTTGAAAATTTATAATTGAAGCAAAATACGTGTATTAAATAGCTTTATATATCGGGGAAAAACAATTTTTAATGGAAAGTTTCCCGATATAGATCCAGTTTAAAACGACAAACACTTTGTACTACATTCCGGATGTGATATTAACCTTAATTTATGATATTTGCTCGAGAATAAAAAAACGAGTATAATGGCTAAAATAGTCGAATCGTTGAAGAGACTGAGTGTTGAGCACAGTACGCGAAAATACGACAATCGAAACGTTAAGAGAAGAAGCGAATTAATATCGTCGATAGAGGAGACAGTATCTCTCGATCACAATTACGTCCTTGCTATCTGTGGTACACAAAGGTATATCTTCGTATTATTATAAAACATTTTACGTTATATCCGTAAAGAAAAGTATACAATTCCTTAATATCTACTGTTAAAGAATTACCTAAATGATTTGAACTTTTAACATATAAAAATATCAGTGCTTTATATAAGAATTGATATTTTATAGTTGGTATTAAATAACTGAATAAACAAATTGTGAAAATATTTATTTTTTCAACTGCTTCAATTTGTACATGATAATATTTGTTTATTCAATCCAGTTTGAATTATTCTGATGCTTTATATTGTTATACTTGGATTGACATAAACTATCCAATTTACATACATTTAAAAAGTATTTTTAAAGCGTTGCATATATTGTTTCTTATGTACAGTGACCCAGAATTTAGGATTGGTACAGCTCTGAGCGATCATACATGTGTAATATATTCTGTCGGGGAAAGTTTAAGTCAAACCATTACATTAACTCATAATCAAGCACCTATTGTTGGTATTACATTTAGTCCTACTTCTAGAAACATTTTTTACACAGCAACAAGTAACGGACAGATCACAGCGTGTGATTTACGTGCCAAAGGGAAAATTATTGCAGAATTTAAAGGTACACATTTAATAAAAGATTTCAAAATATGTTGTCAAATTGATTTGCAAAGTCTACATCTGTGATCCAAGTACATAATGTGTTTAATATAGAATTGGGCAAAATGTAATCAGATTACATTTTTCCTCAACTGTAGTTTAATACACTTTTGTTGCTTACAGACTGTATGGAAGATGGAAAAATGAAACCTCTATGTAGTTTTGATGTAAGCCACGATGAAAGACTTGTAGCAGGTGGTACTGAACATATCGGAGGAGATGCATTCATTTTATTTTGGGACACACGAAATACTAACTCAAAATTGTATAATAAAAATAATCTACTTGGTGGATACTGGGAATCTCACATGGAAGATGTGACGTGTTTGGCATTTCATTCTAATAAGCAGGACATTTTAGCATCTGGTAGCACAGATGGTTTAATTAATGTCTTTGATCTTACACAGCCATCCGAAGATTGTGCACTAACTTATTCCTTAAATACCGAGTCCTCTGTAGTGAGTTGTAATTCTTAATGAAATTTTAAATGTATTGGTACTGCAAAGTAGAATAAAACTATTTTCATTGGACATACATATGTTTTATACAAAAGGATAGGATAGGATGGTTGAACGAAGATAATCTTTGGTGCACAACACACACACATTCACTACAACTGTGGAACTGTGATGGAGCAACTCCGTATACTAAATTTGAACGTAACAACTTAGCACTCTCCCAGGTTGATATATGCTAGATCAATTATCAATTTAAAATAGTTGAAAATAATTTGTAAATATAAAAACTATAAATAGATTACATAATTAAAATTATTCATTTTAGATTAATGATCCAGACAACTGTTACATTGTGAAATTTCATGCTTCGAACGCGCTCGGACAGCCATTTCTTATAGCTGGCACTAGCAGTCTTAAAGGGTAAATTGCTACATAATTTAAAAACATGGTAAAATAAAATAATAAAGCATTAAAATTGCATATATTATTAGTAGTAGGGATGTGCGAGTAGTCCGAAATTTGGGCTCGAATCATCATGAAATCAGCGAATTGAAACAGAGCTCGATACATCTCGGGTTATGTCTAAAATACGCTCTCATAATGGTCCGAGCCTGAATTTCCCGCTACACTTGTCATTTTCATATCTTATTAAAATATTGTAGGGAAAATTTAAGATGCTTGAACGTCATAAATGATCGATTAGAAGTATGTTACAACATGGTGGGGAATAAGCAATTTGTACGCGACAGTTGGCTGCATGAAAAGGTATAGTTTTAATATACATACATCTAAAGGAAAGTTAATTATTTCATAATACTCGAGTAGAAATGTTAATGTTGTGATATGATTTAACAGAGTGGTTCGTTGATAACGGTGGGCGAAAGTGGACTTATAAACATATGGAGGCAAACAGAAACATCGCCTAAACAACAAAATTCCAGCCACAAATTGGTGGCAAAGTGTGGTACTGGCAAAGGGCGTGATCGTCAACACAGGACCAAGCCATACTGAATAAAAATGATAGGATAAAAATTTGTAAATGCATAAAGAGTTTTTATAAGTTAATGTAATAAACATAAGAGAAATATCACGTAACATTAACATAATCGTACATTTCCCTCACGTTCTTCTTTATTACAATAACGGTTGTATGTACATTTATAATAAATAGATATTATTTCTTTATGTGGCTAATGATTTAACAGCGATTTATGTGTCAATTAAAAAATGCAGCAAAACATGTGTATATAAATGCTAAGGAATGTAAATCACATACCAGTGTGTGTGTGTGTTAATACACACACGTGCGCGCGCGCACACTTATGTATGTATGTATACATATATATATATATATATATGAGATTTTCAAGAGGAAGAAAAATATTATAAATATTTGTTTACTCTTGCCGAGTAACAAATTAACTGCAATAAATCGCCTTACAGAAAAATTATTTCGCTTTGCAATGTAAGGATTTATTAAAATAGGAGTGTACGATTTGCATTTGTCATAAAATAGACATATTTAGTGTATTGTGAATAAATGGTAATCTTGATAAAGTAATCAAGCAAATAACACGATTATAACAATTAATATTAGCGTGACCGATATAACGGCCAGCAGCTTAAAAGTGTTCCAACTCTAAGAGAATTAATGTTGATGCATCGAGCGAGCGCGTCTTAAAACAGATACGCGTTCACTTATTTAGATATTATAATTTTACATTAACGTTTTCAAAGACGATCGCAGTAGCGAGTATCACAATGATAACAGTAGATATAGTTTTAGAGTAAAATAGTAGGTACAGAGTAAACGTACAAAAATACTTCCCATGAGCATCAGGGACGTAAAGATTCGCTAAAACGTGGAAAACCGCGTTACTAAGAATTCTTTATGTCCTTTCTTAAACTTATGCTGTCGTGTGACATCAAACGTCTTGGATGCCACGAGACGCATGTAGGCCGCCGCACTACTCTTTAGTTGTTATTCCAATTTGATTCTTCGCGTTACCCTGAAGATGGTGTGCGACTTCATTATACAAAGAAAATCTTTAATAACAACGAACTTTAATTGTATCGACATAGTGGAACGTTCTTAATACATACAAAGAATACATTCTTTAATATTTATATATATATATATATATATATATAAGTATTTAAATATCTATCTGGAATGACTTTTTGGAATTACGCTTTAGTGTTAAAACTTACTTTGCACATATGTTTCATGTTTCCCTTATAATGAGCATTATGATATTAAGAACAGTTTAATTTATATTAAGTGTTCTTGAAATGAAGTCGAACACTCATCCATGAAGGCTACTAACAGGTTAATATAATATTATTTATGAGCTGATATATGCTCGGCATTGTTAGTAATAGACTTGTAAGAACTCATTAGTTATGTTTTTTTTTTTTCACACTTTACATATCTTATGGAAATACTTTTTAGAACTATTGTCACCACGATTGATTGAGACGAGCTGATAATGTTAATTATGTTTTCTTACGAGGATAAATTAATTAGTCACATGTTTTATCATTCTGCCTCGACGACGCTGTCCTTTATTCGATCATATTGCACGCTACAGCATCTTGTGAGGCAAACACATGAGACCTCTCTGTGTGTGTATGTGTGTGTCAAAATAAAAAATTCTGATTTTATTAAATTTTATTAATTTTTGTCTTAGCAATGATTAAATGAAGTAACGGAATTAACATTTTACACGTGCAGTATGATCATAGTTTGTGTAATACTTTCTCTGAAACAAGTTCCTGTTCCACAAACATTCGAAAGCTTTGTTCATTGAAAAAGCCTCGCATAAATAAAATACTTTAGACAATCGCGAAATATTACTGATCTTACATAATGCAATAAATAAAATAACTTGTAGATAATTTAAAAAGAAAAAGAAAAAAATGATTGCAGAGTAATAATAATGGCAGTGAAAAATCTCGAAGCAAAATATCGAATATGAAACATTACTTGAATGGTTGTTTATTCAACTGAAATTAGCGACAGTAAACGACTGTTTTTGTTAAAGGAATGATACTATGATACTAGAAAATCAACTTCGATCTGTGGCTTGGCACACATAATAGCGATTCATCATTATTGTTAATAATAGGTCATACCCGTCGTTTTAGCACGTATTAAAATACTTTTAATGTTATTGTATAAGAATAGCTACCGCGGTTACTCATGCATTCATACAAATACGTGCATACACACCTACAAGTGCATACATGTACATTCTTGGTAAAATGAAGTTGTACACATACGCGTATATTCATTATTATTTTCATTCATATGCACGTATATTCTTTCGCACGTTTGCATTCACATACGTACGTGTGACATCATACATATGCCATGAAAAAGTATATATACACATTTATGTATATGAATTCCTAATATAATGTATTTCTCTATCTTGCATTTTTTAGCAAGCAGCAACAGATTTGCTTAAAAGATTCGTCTAAAATCATGTCTCTAAAACTGTCAGTCAGCTTAATAACATAACGAGCAAGAATTCAACAAGATCGATTGATCCTCTCCCACCAAGCCCGGCCTTTTAATACTTTTTTTTTTTTTCACAAACATTTCTGAGCACTAACCATTATCTTTTTTTAGTCCACATATTTTATATGTATTCTTTTTACGATAGATTTCATGAGATTTTACGTAAAATTATATTATTGCCCTCAATAGCAGTTAAAAAGTAACATTATTCTTTGTCGATTTATCGAGAATAATATATACGTTTTTATTGACAGTAACGCCATCATTACGGACACGTTAAATGCATCACTTGTGTACGTATATCATGTTGCATTCCGATATACAACACGATTAAAATTGTTAGCAGGTAAGGATAGAGAAAAATGGAAAAGAAATGGAAAAAGAATGGAAGGGAGGGGGAGGATTGTCTATAAACTGAAAACGCGAGCAGAGAAAAATTGAAAGTAACAGTAGAATAGAAGATGTTAGAAATAATAAACTCAGCGTTATTACCGAGAAAATGTTGAAAGTCAAAATGACTTTACACGGCTTCTAGGTTGAGCATCTTTTGATTGATTTCGGGAAGGAGTTAGCGTGGATGTCGGAGTAGCTTCGCCAGTTGCAGGACGAGAGGATCGAGAATGCTTTCGACCAAAACGAAAGAGTCGTCAGAAAAAAATTACCTCCTCTTCCAAAGGTTGTTGCTGTTCAGTTCGTTGGTGTTGTTGATGGGAATACTCCGGGGGAGATCGTGTAATTCGCAATGAGCGGTTCGAGGAATGAATTTGACTTGTACTAGCATGACTGTTGCCCAATTCCGGTGAAGAGTATGCAGAACCAGTCACAATTGCTGGACTGCTTCCAGTCCGCGAGTGTCGGTCTGGACTATTGTTACTCGTGCCTCCACTCCTATTATTTGTACAATATAAAAATGATTTTAAACGAATGACCAACGTACATTATTTATACTGTTGTTTGTACCTAGTATTATTGTTGCTTCCGCTAGCAAGTTTTAAAGGCAGCTGCTGTTTCACTGGAAGATTACTTTGCACTTTCTGCTGATTAGTAGCGCTAATTAAATTTAATGGTATTCGCTTAGCATCCGGTTGTGATTTTCGTGACTGCACTGTGTCAGTTCCTTGAGTCATATGGGATAAATGTATAGTTGCAGAACCAGGCGCGGACCCTGTAACTAATGTCATTCCTTGACGCTCTAATGCCTCAAGTCGTCGATATAATTGATCTCGTTGCTGTGTTACGTCTCGCTGTTCAGCTGCCAATTGTTCCCGTTGCCTTGCCAAATCGGCTCGCTCTTCCTCGAGTTGCTTTTGCTCTTGCTGAGACGCTGCTCGAAACGCTGCTTTCTCACGACTTAATTGATCTTGTAAATTACGTAACTCTTCTAATTGGCGATTCGGATTCGGTCTATTATTCGATTTACCCATACTTCCTTCTTTACACGCAGCTAACTGAGCCTGTAAGCTATCGATTGTCGTCATTTGATTACTAATTATACAGAACAGCGTATAAACGTGATGAGACAAACGAATCGCTGCCCACTGTTGATCTTTGTTCGTCTCTGAATCTTGGCTTGCTTTTTCATCTGGACTCTCTTTCATAAATTCACCGACTTTTGGTAGAGAAATTACGGAATGAATCGCAGCAGAATCTCGTAACGGATATTTTTCCTAAAAAAAGAAACTTAATCAGTACAGCGATGCACAGTTAACTATACTTAGATTTGGGACCCAACGGCGAAAGTTACACGTGCAGAGCTTGTTTTTAACTAAAGACAAATTTATGTATTTACTTTGTTATGATCAAAACCCGCAAATGTTTCAGCTCTTCGTGGAACACAAAGAGCAGGCGGCACATAGGCCTCGCTATATCGTTCACCTGCAGAACTTAAACTTCTTGACAGAGTAGCACCACCTGCACCAAAAGACAACGAACTAGCAAGTTTTGTTGCTTCCTGAACAGTTACAACCACCTATAATGACAAATGTTTCTCTTAATTTCTATCCTGTTTGTAGAATCATAAAAATATAATAATAATAAAAATTGTAACCTCCTGCCATAACTGCGTGGTATCAGTTCCTTCACTGTGAACCAGTCTAGTATAATCTGGAATTTCTTTCTCAATTTTTTCTATTCTTTCAGTCTCACTACATTCATTTCCACTCCAAATGTTTGCTGCATGTAAAAGTTGCATTTGTAGATTGATTTTTTCTTCAAGCAAGAGTGCTTGTTCAGTATCCTTCTTTCGTAGTTCAGCTAATTGTGATAATGAAGAACAACAATTATTGATAATGTAGTTAAGCTTTAATGAAACTGTACGATTAACAATAAAATACTATGCGTACCAACTATTTTCAGGATATGTGATTCTTTAGTTTTAACCAGACGTTGTTTTTCCTCGGCAGAAAGGAGCGATATAGAAGACGAACGTGTATCTCTCAATTCATTACTACTATTATTTTCAGTTAGTGCGTCAGTTTCATTATCAGGTTCTTGTGGGCAAGCTTCCACAGCTGATCTAATTGCTTGAATCCACAAGTGTTTATCTTTGGGTTTCTGAATTTTCAACTCAAACATTTCAGGTTCAGCTGGATTGCTACTTATTAAATAGATTCCTCTAGACTCTTGACCCGCTTTTTCACGTACTAGTAACTTTTGTAGTGATACTATACCAGCCTTATTGTCAGGTACAAAAAATGCATACTTCTGATCCCTTTCGGCCAAGAAAAATAATATGTCAGAAAGAACAACTACTACAATGGCAGTCATTTTTCCACGACCTTGCATTAAGTATGCAGTACCTTCAAATTTCAAAATTCTATTAGACTCCATAATATATGACTTTCTGAATTTCTCACCACGATATGTTGCAACAGATTTTGCATCAATCCTAAATAAAGATAAGAAGATCGATTGCAAGTAATGTTAATTAAAGACAGATCAAAAATATCGTTTTCTTACTTGTTATAGATCTCTAGTTTTCTAGCCTCTCTTTCTTTGACAGCTACACAAGCGTCCACATCTGCTAATATGTCTTTTACAAGAACTAAAGCTTTACGTAAATCTTCACCTTCCTCTTGTACAATACCCGTTTTTATAAGTGGTTCGACCAACAATGGATACTTTGTTAAACGCTGGGTGACAAACAGGATGCACTCAGGAATTCCTTTCTTCTTTAGCAAAGGATGCGACTATGTAGACAAAGATACAAATAATTGAAAAAGAAAATGTTAAATTCCGCAATGAGGATTATTCATAGTTTCTAATACCATACTGTATTATATTATAATTACCTGGCATTGACGCACGAACGATGCAAATTTAGGCTCATGACGCAAATGGTATTTGTAAGCTTCAACAGCGTCCCTGTGACGACTACAGAATTCTCCATAGGCACTCTTCATACGTTGCGCATTTTCACTAGAGAACTGATCAACGAGTATATCAGCAATCGTAGGAACAACGTGGTTTGAGTTCTGTCGTTTGCGTAATTTTTGCAAAAATCGTAAATGAATATCGATGAGATCGCGTAATCGTGGAAACATGCGTTCTACATCCCGCTGGCTCAAACGAACGTGACGTCGAATGCCTTCCGCAAAAATTCTTTCCATAGCTAGAAGTACTAAACAATGATGCTTTTCCGTAAGAACAAATTCGTAAATATGTTCTTGTCTTTTTACTTTCCGCTCGCAATTATCAACAAGTCGTAGAGCAACGCTATGCCCAATGACAGCACTCCAAGAATCAGGTTCTTCTTTAGCTAGGCCCAATTCAGGATCTAAACCTTCAAGATCGGCAACAGTAAACTGATGAGCATCATCTCCAAAATCGAATTCCTCCCAACCACTAAAACATTTCGTTAAATTATTTAATCAATCATTTACAGAAGTATTAATGGCGCTTCACATAATAGAATTTAATTGAAAAATGTTAATTAAATTGCGCACAAACCTGGACATATCACGATGTTGTCCGTCCCCATCTTTTTCTTCATTTATTGTTTGGCTGAAAGGAAAATATAATTTTATACGTTAGAATATTTATTCTTTTTCTTTATAAGAACAATATTATATTTTGCTGAAATAAACAATATTAAAACTGGTTTTACCTTTGGTATTTTAATGCATTTTTTTCAAATATTATAACATATTAATTACTCGAACGAGAATAACAAATTACAGCATTTTTACTATTATTTTTAATATTACCTCCTATATAAATGTAATCTGTAAAGCAGCACCTAGGTTTTATTTTGTGAGGGTATGTATGTGCGCGTAAAGATGTATAATACGTAATTTTGTACATATGTCCTGTATAAACCAATCACGCTTACGTCTACGAAACAATATGAGTTATTGGAACGATAATAACTGCTTCGTCGAAGTATTGCCAAGTTTAAAGACGACAGTAATGTTAAACTACAAATAGGATCTTTAGACATTACTATAAACGGGACTTAAAACGAATAAGAGGATCATTGATGATAGATGTATGTTCAAGAAAAATATTCATATTCAGGTCGGGTAGGGGCTATCCCGAATGCAATATAAAAGTTCCAAACCATTAAATACTTATTCAACAGAATAATACACTTATATTAGAATGTATATGAAGAAATCAAGACCCACAATTTGTTAAAATACTTAAAAAAAAGTAGATGACTAATATATTTTTTTCCAACCCGACCCAATATCTCCGGCAAAATGATATTTTACATGAATGAAAAATGCTGAGAATGAGCTGAGAAATACATTTAGAAACATATAAGAGATTATAAATAGAACTACAATTTTAAATATGCGGGAATATTAAAAAAAGAAGATAATAGAGAAATCCAATCATTTGGAAACACGAAATGCTTATGACATTCATTCTAGATAATGCTCGATGAAGTAAATGCTTAGCTGTTGAATAACTGTGAGCTTATGGTCTATAATTTTCGTGTGAAATTACAACGAGGTGTGTACACAAAATGTATCATTGAATGAACATAAATTATAGAAGCAAGCATATCAGAAGCATAGGCAGGGGTAAGGTGATGTCTCTTCCAATACAACACAAGGAGACAATTCAATCGCCTTTTGAACAATGTGTGCGAGAAAAGAATCGAAGAACGATAGACGCGAATCATCCTACTACAGTGTAGGATTAATACACGAACAGAAACGTACGAACGCTTCGACAGAATAGGAGGAACACATCAGATATCTGAGACTTACTTGACTCCGAGCTTAGTAGCAACTCGCCGCCAAGGGCTGTAGCTTGTCACGGTTTTCTTGCTGTTAATTTCCCTTTAATCGCCGAACAATCGATCGGTTTGACGTAGTTGCACGAGAGGGAATGCACGGGGGAAGGAAAAAGCACACACTGCATTAGGGCAACTTCATTTTGCCTTTTGTTTCCCCTCCTTCTTCATTTTTCTTATTCTATCATGTTTTCAACTTTTACGTATAAATTGTTTAATACACACCTCTTTATATGTAAATATTATCTTTTGGGAAGAATATTATAGCCTTTGCCACGATATACATATTGTAATAGCATAAAGTATGAATCGTTTGTATATTGTCTTTGGTTAAATAACTTGATAAACCATTATTATCAACTTAAAATAGCTGTTACTTTTTGTTAATATCTCTGCTATAATTTACGTTAAATTTATATAAGCATTATTAGAATGTTTAAAGAAGTTTGGGCGTGGTATTTTGTATGTTAACCAACATGTATATGCAAAAGTTTTTATTAGTGATGTTAGAGACGCGAGGATAAACACGCTAAAGCTTGCCATACTATCGGCTAAACTGCAAAATTAATTAGAAATAATAAGCTTTTGAGCCAGCCAAAGCTTTTGAATAATAAGCAAATATACAATACCCCTTCTAACTAGTCATCTTTCGTACTATATATAAAAATTCAGTAAAATCTCTTAGAATAAAACATAAAATGTAATCATCTTGATTGCTAAATACATATAAGTATTGATGTATTGGATCATTTTTCGATAATTGACTATATTGTATTATCAATAAACAAATAATGATAAATGATTGTGTTCATTATATCGGATGACATATTTTTACAGAAAATCTAATAAGCAATAGAAAAAAAAATATATGTATAAAAGAATTTAAATTCCTTGCTAAACTTAAACGTGTGTACGTATTATCTAACTTATACATTACTTATATTGCAAATAAGAGAAGTTTATTAGAAACTCCGAGTTTAGACCTAGCCATGCCAATTGCGTGCGAATCTTGAACCACAGATACGTAGATCCAATGCACAAAATCTATTATTTTTGTAGTACAAGTTATTTACCTTCCGCTGCCAGATGAACTTGCTAGAGGCAATGACGCGGTAGAACCTCTTTTAACATTAGAGCTATTCGAAATGGTAGATATGTTCGATGCAGGTTTGGTGGCAGCTTTGCTAGAATGATGTTTTGATTTAATACATTCTAGCACTAGTTGATCCTTACACCCTTGACTTTGATGTACAGATACTCCACAATCTGGCACAACAAAAGTATTATATTTACAACTAATTTACAAAGTATTTACAAACAGAATAGTATATTAATTGTTTCTTACTGTCGCAATGTAGAAGTGGCTTATTTGTTGATTGTTTCATACAAACATCACATAATAAACTTCCCTGAGATCCTGCCATTATTGTCGCCCATAAATGTTGCTGTAGACTAGTTTTTTTACCACTTTTATCCTACAACGCCATTACAATTTTTTAAATTACTTGTAATATATTTAACGTATTTAAAACATCTGCATTTCAATATTTGACTACCTTTTTTTTACGAAAGAAAATGGAAGCCCCCCGTTTTCTTGTAGTTTTTTCTGAATGATGATCGCCGTACACTGTTCCACTGAAAATTGCAATTATATATTTTAATCATTATATAATTACAAATCCCATCAAAATTTATAATATGAAAATTATCACAGCAGCAAAAGTCTACAAGCGTTGCTATGGTGTTTTTGCATAAAGTGATTGAAGTATATCTAAATTATAACTAAATACATGTATAACTAAGCATTTCATGAAGAAATATAATACACACAGAAGAATTTAAATAGTATTTCTGTATTATTTCTTAGTAATTATGCTGATACAAACCAGCCACTTTCCTTTGTATGTAGAATGTTAGTAGAATATTTTGTACATAAATAAAAATATAAAATACTTACTCAGTCAGGAATTCATCAAGGGATATTTGAGCATTTGGAGTGCCTTCCCTATCTTCGTGGAATTCATGGCTGTTTGTTGGATGAAGGTCCTCGGTTTCAGTCTCGCTTCCACTACCCTTTTCATTTCGGCTGTACCATGCAGGATGGTAGGAAATTGTCAAGTACAAACACAAAGTATGCGACTATTGTGTAAAAGATATTGCAAATCAGATATTCTCGCGTAGTATACCACCGAGAAATAAAAGCGCCATAAAGATAAAAAGATATAAGTCGATCAGAATATAAGAAAAACCATTAAACGAGTAAGGTCTACATTAAGATTGAAACAAAAATGATTATCAAATATACTAGATGTAAAAAAAAAACCTTTTCCACAACTTTAAAATGTAGATAGTATAAATATAAATTAGCGCTTTGATTCTTGTATAAATATACTTTAATTTTTAAAAATTGAAAATGAAGTAATTTCAAATATAGTAATAGATGGTGCAATCATGCTTAAATAGTTTTATCTACATGATACAAGTTGGTGCAAGCATTCTTAGATGTATGCATATTTCTAAATCTGTTTTGAATATATTCATAAGTCATGCATTTATGATTTTTAAGTACAAATTAAAAAATTAATATTCAAATACAATATGTACATGAAATATGTGCATTGCCTTGCATATTACTTGTACCAGGGTGGTCCATACATCAAACAATTAATTATTATTTGTTGTTACTATAATTGTATTTGAATTTCAATAAAAAAAAATCAAAGTTTTATAGATCACCCTAGTATATAATAAAATATAAAGATCGCAGGCTAGATCATAATAGTTACAATATTGTTTTGTATATTACAAATAATATCAAATTTTAATATAAGTTACATAAAATAAATGTAAAAATAAAATTAATTTGAAAATTTCATAGAACAGACAATTAAAGGAAATCATATATGCACTGCTCTTTCATTGATTATTGATCTAGCTTTACGATCTAAAATTATATTTAATTAACTTACACTGTAAGCGATGGTGTTGTCCTGGTTACAGACTCTGCTAGATGAGCATTAACTTGCGGTGTAACAATTGAAGGCGTAGAAATAGATTTCTGGAGAGGTAAACGAGAACCTGTGACACCAGGCATTAAACCACTATTTTCCGCTAATCTTTGACTACCTTTGAATCGTTTTGAGACTATCTTCTGATATTCACTCTGTTACAGAAAAATGTTCAATGTATTTCATTACAAACAAAACATTTTAAAGAGTTTGTTGATGTAAACTTCTTTTAAATTACCTGTTCTAGATCAGCTTCATTGAGCGAGTGAGTGCTTGCTTGCGATCTGCATGCGCGACTACCAACTCCTACAGGTCTGGTACATGGTTTTCCATGTAATTCTATTTCCATTTCACTGTCTAGGCTACTTAAACTAATACTGCGCTGTCGCTGAAATTGTAACAAATAATCATTGAATATTTTAATAACAAAAGAGTATGAAAAGCATTGGTGAAACAAAATGAAAAAAGCAATAAAGCAATCGTCGTGTCCATCCAAAAAATGCATAACAAATAATGTATTTCTTCAAAAATGTATCAGACAATATTAACCATATTTTGTGCTTGCAGATGATTTTGCCCAGAATATCTGCGGCGCCCACATCGAGTATCTTCCAAATCAGTCCAACTGCGTCTCCTGTCTATACCCTGTGCATTCTGTGAACGAGGACCTACTGATGGAAAATGTGTAGGGGAACTATTGGTAGAGCAGTTAGCAAGGAGATCTGGATCAGATCCTGTATCATTATTACTCGAGCGTGGTGCAATCTCAGATGAAATTAAAGGACACAGAGAAGGACACGATGAAGTTAAACGTTGCGGTACATCATTGTGGGATGCATGATGATTATATCCCCAGTTGTTCAGCGTCAAATCTCTCATACGTTGAATGCAATCATGGATTTCATGCAAATGTTGTAAGTTGTCCTCTGCAAGGAGGTGAACCAATTGTTAACCACAGAAGCACAAAATTTAGCATAAACTGGAATTAAGTTCAATACAATACAATGCATCACAGTAAACGGATAAAAAATCAAGGAAATTTACCCAGAACAGGATAGTTCTTAGCAAGACTAGGCGAATGAGGTGTGACACTAATAATTGGCACCAATGGATTAGGCTGAGTTTGAATGTTAGAGCCGAGTGTAAGCAATGGGTGGTGCTGCTGGTCATCAGTCCCTTCAGACATAGTGATAGCCGTTTTCTCTGTATTGTCTTTGGTGTAGTTGGACTCAGCAATTATATTTCCATGTAGACTTAGACTACCAAGATCTCCATTAATGAGAGGTATACGATCGCAGTCAGAATGCGATGATCCCAAATAATCAGTTATTACATCTTCTTCGCTATCCTCCCCACTGTTTGGACACTCATCTATAAATACATTAAAAATAAATCAATTATAACTATATAATAATGATACAATGAAACTAAATTCGTAATTTTAGAACACTTAGTGGTCAATTTGAACAATGATCATTAAAACTAAAAAATTATATGAGACAAAAATAAATTACTCAAAAAGCAAGAAAAAGATTATAAAATAGCCTAATTATTCCAGAAAAAGGATAAAACTCGCGTGCGACAAGGAATGTCGCATTTTATAAACTATATCGAGATATGAGAAAACCGATATCGAAATGTCCTCGTGCCTATTGACTGCAAAGGGAACAAACAGAATCTGCTCCCGACAATCGCAACAGCCTCCCGCTTTCATGTTACAGTAATGTATAAAGACGTATTCAGCGAAAATCAGGGCAAAATATTCCATAGCACGTATCTGCACAGTTCATCTTGCAATATACAAGCGTTAACATAAAACAAATGTTTTCGGTATTTTTATCAATGAGAAAAGGAGAAATTAGAAACGGTAATTTTATCTTGCCGCGTTAATACTGGTCAGGGATAATTCAAGGCCGTCTGTCGGTTCTTGCGAATTTGGGCGTAAGGATATCCGACTTGAATCGATCTAACGTTAGCTGACGTTGGATAAGAATAAGATGGGTTTTTATAAATTTGATCACCTTGATTAATTAAGCAAACTTCCTGTTATACTTAATGGAACAGTTACACGGTCAATTCACCGAGCAAAGAGAGTTATACACACGCCAATAAACTGATACAAAAACACCAAGGTTTTAACGATTACTGTCGATGGAGATGTTCTATCAACAATCATATTCTATTTTACCTACACGATGACTCGACGAGCCCTTTATTGTCATCCTCGTATTAAGAATAAGTATATATGTTCAAGTCGTGCCAAGTACTTTTCCAGGAAGCAGGGGATAGACACACTGTTGCTTTTCCCCGTAGCTCCCGAGCGCGAATTGATCCGTTGGTCCGCGCGTGCCACCCCACCTTCGTGCACCCCCGATCCTTAACCGACCTCCAACCTTCAATCTAATACCTTTACTACTACCCTTTTTGGTAAATTCATCTCTTGGTTCTGCGTTCGTAAGTTCTACTCTTGTGATAGTGTTCTTTTCGGCAATTTATTAAATTCTATTTTTACGGAGTTTATATTAATCGATTATTAACATCGTAATTTTATCAGAACTTAATCCCATTTTTTTTAAGATCATTCTTTAAAACTGATACAAACATTATATTTTTACTAAATTTAATGCATTAAGAAATAATAAAAATTGCAATAAAAAAATATTATGTAGTTATATTGTAATTTTTATATTTACTTTTTCCTTTTCATATATTTTTATTTCTATTATATAATAAATAACTATTAATCTGTAATATATTTGTTTTAATATTTATTTACCATGGTTTCATAATAATGCATTACTACTCTACATAAATTTCATATTTTTTAAATAACTTTATTGTATTACTTTTAATACCTAAGAGTATTGATAAAATGTATAATTTTAGAAAAATTGATGTACTGGTTTTATTAATTTTATATTCATGACAACACCGCGTCCATTGAAGTATGTAATCTCAATATATATTCCATGAATATACCAAAGGGAAAGAAGTTTTCTTCCGTTAAGAAGAAAAAAAGTAAGAAGAAAGAGAAAATGAATATACTATGCAACTTTTTAAGAAATTATGCAAATCAACGAGGTTACAAAATATCTACATATGTTATACTATTAATACTATTATACTTAATGTTATTGATATTATTTATATATTGATGCATTGAAAGTTACTAAGAATTGCTTGTAAATTCAAAAACCTTCATGTATACGAATTGGAAAATCAAATACTACTATTTTGTACAGAATATTGAATACATTGATATATACATAGAGAATGTACAATCATTCAATTTACTTTAAATTATATTTTCATTACCAACGTGTATATAATTCATTCAATATAAACTCTACATACCCATTATGTAAATAATAATAAAACAACAAACACACATATTTTTAACGTAGATTACTAAGCAATTTTTGGCACTTATAGAAACGTTTATTTCCATTAAGTAGTAATGCTTTAATAGGGCTCAAATACAACAAATTACATATGCAACATAAAGGTGTGTGAAAAATAGGATGTTAATAAATTAAATATAGACAGGATATTAACTCTAAAGGATATTATGTTCCTTTTTAAACATTTTATTGTGTACAGTAAAGATATCAATTAATGTATATAATATCAACAGATAAAGAGTAGTCAGTAAAATGGTCTTTGTGTTAGTAATAACTTACCAGACGAAAACGGAGCCAGTATTTCCTGCCGTTTCTCCATCTTTTTTGTTTTATTTCCGACGGTTGAAGAAATATTTAATTTTCCCAAGAGCGGAAACTGAAACATTTACAAACATTCCAAATAACACTAAATTACATTGCCCATTTCGAAAACATTTCACGAAATCTCAAAAAACTGGACAAATTTAATGTAGAAAAATTAGAAAAAAAATTACTAACCAAGAAACATGTAACACAAATAATATATTTAAAATTCACAGTTAGAAAGAAAAATATCGAATGTGGGTGAAGTACTTTATAATTTTGATCGAGGCAACGAACACATTTTCTTGCCAAAGGAAGCCTTATTGACAGGTAAACGCACGAATTGATTACTGCGATTATTAAAAGTTATTACTCGACGTCGAAGAAGATACGTACCTAAAGCGTAATAATTTCTATGAATCCATTAATATTACACGTGGTTTATTATATTTAGCTCCTTCATGAGGAAACAAAATGTTGTATCTACCAATCTGTATCATGCAGTCAAGGCACGTCCACCATTTTGTACTAGCCCAGTGCTGCCCAACATAAGCTTCGGAGCTTACCGAACTTCCCCCACTTTGACATCGTTACTACGATACAAGAACGCTAATTGATGCCGCGTAATGTCTATGGATAAAGAGCATAAAGAACTCCATCCGTCGACATTACTGTATAACCGAAGAAATAGTAAAGTTCTTAAACTTTCTCCGTTCAAAACGCCCTGAATGGATCAGTGATTTTGTTACGACAATCTTACTATTTTAACAACTTTTCATAATACCCCTAGATCAAACTAATAATTCTGTTTATTAAGTAGCTAAATGTACACAATCGTGCTTAATAAATATTTATTATTAAATAAAAACGGATAAGTTATAATAAAAATATGTAAATAAGTTTCCAGATTACTTCAGCAATCCACAAGGCGCGAATCCCCTTTAGATTCAAAATTTCCCTATTGTAACACGCAACTGGTAATATTTGACGAACTTAAAAGAAAATATAGCTTAGATACCAATAAACTGAATGTAAACATTTACACTTAATCTATCTGTATCTAAGCTGTTGGTATATACCCTACATTGTATCATAATATTACTATTTCATACTTTTATCCATAATTTTTTAACAAAGCTCTAAACGTCATGTGTTTAAATACAATTTTAAATCCTTATCAGTATGTAATTCTTACCTTTAAAATAATTTAAATAATAAATTTTGCATAATATGCATTGTTTTAAATTACGCTGGTGGGTTTTTTTTTGTTAAGAATAGTAAGGGTATTAAAGTAACTTTAAATTTAAACATTTGCCCGTACTGAAAAGATCTGGTAAAAAAACTAGTGAACATCGAAATGCATCAGTGTCAATACGAAGAACTGTCAAAACTTCGAAAATGATGATGTTTTTTAACGAGTTTATGTATAATTAAAAAGAATAACTGTAATTGAAAGATATAATCAATGAGATAAATATTTTTTGAATGAGAAAAATTGCATTTCAATATCATTCATTATTGTTTGCTTAAATTTTGAAACAATTTAGATAACCTGAAAATACATTACAATTTCGAATATAAATTGTAGCTTTCTACGTTACTGTATTTTACTGTGTCTTATTTTATACTTTAATGATATTACATCCGCGGTATTATGAAGTTATACAATGGAGGTTTCGGAGACAACAAACCTTATTAAAGATTTCGATTTAACCCTACAACCTCGTATTTTTCCACGATATAAAACTTGGCTTCCTCTTGCTACACAACAGGTAATTATCTATGTAAAATTGTTATTGTATGCTTAATTTAAACATAGTTGCATTTAAGTATATACAGTACAAATTTACAGTAGTTATCAGTGATGATGTTATGTTCAAACTTTTAAAAATGGAACAAATTGTTAAGCTAAACTTTTAAATGACAATACATATTCATGTAATTTTGCAAAATAATAATACTACTTATACATTTAATTATATTTTATGTATATACTAATTAATTTGACGGTGTACATCATTTTCAGTTGAGGCTTAGAAATCTCATACAAGTAATAGGATACAATTTAAAGTCAAATGGAACTAATGACATTTCTTGGTTTTATTATACTCTACATAGAACATGTATGTCTTCTCCTATATACACAAGTGAAACAATTGATAATGCAAATCCAAGGTGGTCAAGTCTTGAAGTACCAACTATACATGCTACCGGTTATTCTACTGCCAGTGGTGAGCTTTACAATCTGTTAGAACCTTCAAAGAAACTGAAGACTTTCCAATTGAGTTATTATTCATTACTTCATTGAAATTTATATTATAAATAATATGTATTTTTTTAACAGAGGTTATCATAAGGCTATGGAAAAGGATGGTTATAGATAATACAATGACTGATGTAACTGTATTTACATGGGGCATATCTTTTACTGGCTTAGCATACATGGGCCCAAAACTACCAAATACCTTAGAAACTGTGCTAAAAGAGAATTCTCTAATCTTTCAATTTCATGCTGGTTTTTTTACACCACTGTATTGTTTTATCGAAACCCCTGAATTAAAAAGATATCTACATATCAAAATCAACACGTCTGAAATAAAAGATAGTTACACTGTGAGTAAACTAAGCAGCTTAAAAATTAAAATGGAGGCATTGATGCACCAAACAGTATTAGTGCAAAGACTTCGGATACGAATAGCTTCTGGGGATAACTTTCATACTCCGAAGTACTTTCAATCTTCATTAAATAGATTATTTCAGCCTCATAAAGTAAATAAGGAAAAGAAAGCCGAGATAATAAAAATACGTAAGGAATTAGAAATGGCTAGATTTAGAACAAAATTATTGGAACAAGAAAGAACAAGGAAAATAGGTGAATTAAGAGTGCTAACTCAGTTGCATTCTAATATCATGGAAGAAAATCAAGATTATGGTATCGATTACTATATAATATTATTTATTAATTTTTCAAATTCAAGTAAAACGATTCTAAATTACAAATTTGTGTCTGTTACAGGTTTGAATTTGATGGAAATGTTTAGAGAACTTAGTAGAGATATAGAAAGATTACACGAATGGCGACAAAATCAAACAGATACGAGAGAAACATATTTTCAATTGAGTAATCAACTTGCTCATAGAAGGAGACAATTAATTTCGGAACTAAGTTTAATTTATCCTATTACCCAGGTATGTATGCAACACTTGACACAAGAATATATTTTTCTAAACATAATACGTCTAACCCTCTTTTTAAATAATGGAAGCGTAAAATATATTAATATTTTTATTATACAGAATGGAAATGGAAAATTTCGAATACATAATGTACATCTACCTGATAGCGAAGATTTAGAATTGTCAAATGATACTGAAGTAGCTGTAGCATTGGGATTTGTTGCACATACCACACAAATGATTGCTAATTTCCTTAATATACCCACTAGATATCCTATTATACATTATGGATCACGTAGTAAAGTTATAGATCATATCAAAGAAAATCTACCTGACAATGAGAGGCAGTAAGCATTTTATTTTTATCTAAAAATCTTCGTTTAAGTGACATAAATAATATACCTTATAAAATTTATCATATTTTTAGATTTCCATTATTTGCTCGTAAGGATAAACTACACTTTCGATATGCTGTTTATCTATTGAATAAAAATATAGCTCAATTAAGGTGGTACTGTGGCCTTCCAACAACAGATTTAAGGGCAACTCTTTCAAATCTCGCTACTTTGATAAATATTAGACCAAATCCATCACAGTATGTAATTAAGCTTCTGTTTTAATTAAACATCAATTTACGAAATATTTTATAATCGTAAAATTGTTTTACTTTATAGTTTGGACAATTCAAAACGAACATATTCTATTTCATCCCTGGATATCGAAGTTGGAAATGGTAAACAAAATATACCACTAACTCCCCCGATACAAAAAATAATTTTTGAAAAATGTCATCGAGCTTCGCGATCTATGAACCAATTGAAGAGTATAAAATCTTCTCTTGGTTCTTCTTTGGATCAAGGTTTAGATAAACCTGTACAGCCCCTTGTTTTAGGCAGTCAATCAAAACGAATTTGCAAATCGGAAGACAGTGCCATTGACAATAAAACGTTGGTACTAGCAAAAGATAGATCGAGTAATAGCAGCAGCGAAACCTTAAATAACGCTATTCTAAGTAATATCAGTGATAAGAATGTCGAACTCAGCACTAAAGTAAATAATGAAATTGTAATAGAAAGTAATATTGAAATTATGGTACCTACATCTGTTTCTACATCGATTAACGCTATAGACAATTTGGAAGGTACGGCGAGCATAAGAGACAGAAGCTCAAATTCTATAAGTAGTTGTGAAATGGCACTTACTAATAGTCAAAATGGAGACGATAATTCAAACGATAATAATACAATTAAAAAAGACGAAACTGAAGAATTTATTTCAATCACCAATGAAATATTAAAAAATGTCAATGATGTTATAGATAATGCTTTAAAAAACGGAAAACATAGTGAAGATTATAATTCAGAGAATGAAGTTCCACAAGATTGTGATAATTCTAGAATGGCAGATAGCGAAAGAAATTATAATATTCATGAGCGTAGTGCAGGTGCTATTGAAACGTCAGCATACAATAAAGAACATTTAGCTACATCATGCTTATCATTAGACGATATAATGTTATGCACTTATGAAGACACTAAAAAGAAACAAAGGACAAGTTCTATTTGTAGTTACCCAGAAGAATATCCTTCATCAAAGAATACTGTATCACAAAAACAATACAACTTAGAATCAAAGTAAGTTTTTACTAGAAAAAAAAAATTAATTCTTGCTATATCTACAACACATAAAAATGGTAAAGAAATTCTTTTTTTTTACCATAGGAAAGATAGGATAGACACTTTGTACTCTAAAAATTGGTGCCATAATGATGGAAAAAGAGAACCATTGGTAAGTTTGCATGTAAATTTTTATCGAAATATTATTTTCTCTTACTAATATAATATTATTTTCATTATTTTAGTTGGAAACAGAATTAGTACAAACAGCACAAAAATCAGACTGTTATTTGTACGATGAAACAAACAAATGTGACTTTGAGACATCAAGTGACTACATTGACATTATTAAGCGTAGTTCAGAAAATGTGTATGCACGCACTGAAGCTTTAGCTAATAAGAAAACCAGTTTTAAAGTAATGAAACCACGTCTGTAAAATTTACATTCTAAAATATAACACAACACTGTTATTGCTCTAATAGTTAATATCTAAATGTACCAGATCCTAGTAAAATTCGATGCACAACTTGCATAGAAAAATTAGAATTGATATCTACTACTTAATTACATGAAAATCTGAAACAAAAAGAGTTTCATGCATTTTTCCTCAATTATCGAAATACGAAACTCTGCATTTATCTACTAAATACCTTGTTTAGAATTTACTAAAAACTAAAAGGAAAAAAACATTTAAAAAAAATAGATGAATTATATTTGTTATGTTTTTAATATCTATTATAGGTTTATGTTGTATTTTATTAGTTTTAAAACTGAAAATTCCGAAATGCAACACGATAGACGTATGTTTCTAGTACTATTGTATTATCCATATGTAATGCATTTAGATATTCATGTATGTACATACATACATACATAAGTGTTCTCAGTATTGTGAACATTGACTTCGACTTACTGCTGATAGGCGTAATTTTGTGACGGATCAGTTATTTAGTTCCTTTGTTAATTTGTTTAAGTTAGAATAATTGAATTGTTTTATTTACAATTTCCTGTTGGATTCTAATAATATTTAAACATATTTTAATGTACTTTGATAATAATTATATTCAGTAATATTTGGTTAATAATTGTAGCAGAGAATTTGGATTTTTAAATACAATTTCCATATTTTTGTAGATAAAAATACTATTATCCATGCAAACTACATATGAGAGGACCAATCAAAGTATTAAAATAATTATTGCTTGACAATGTAATTTCTGTACTAAATTTGTGCAACTTTCGTAACAAAATATTACAGTGTAAAGAAAACAGAAAAGTATGAGATATCTTTTTATGATGAAATACAAAATGTACAATGTTTAAATAACATGATATCGTATTTTATAATGTATTTATTGTATCAGTGTAAGTATCTACTTTTTACTGTGTTATCAAATATTTTCTATAATGCGATTACTTATTATAGTTAAGTATGTTATGTTAGTAACTTCATATACAATAATTACTCTAAGATAAATTATAAACCTATGTACGTAAGAAGTACGTATTTTTATTCAATTTGTTAATAGTTAAATAGTATGTATATACCTGATATATGTCGCATTATAGAAATGCCTATAAAGTATAGAAATATTATCGTCATTGTAACTATTAAAATCTTTTCATTTTGATCGCATTACTGAGGGTAATTAATAGAATTTAAGATATTTTCAACATTCTAGTATTTTAAAAAACTATACAATGTAGTATTTTATTTATAACAATGCAAACAAAAATATGTTACTATTTCTTATGAAACCTATGGCAATAATTTATTAAACTTACTATATGATTTCACTGTTATATTTATATACAAAAATAAATGTCAAATGGCCATTGAGTATATATCCAAAATAAAATAATGTAAGTTTGCATACATAAAAATATTCATTCAGGAATCTTATGTACCGTTTTATCAGATAATATTTTTATTGTATTGGCGGTACCTTTGCAAAAATCATCGCCTAAATCATCCGACGAACGACGTTCAGAAAAACAGACTTGCGAGATATCTCGTCCGGGGTGTTGTATGAATCATATTACATCACGGGATTTTTCGTCCATGGTTACAAAACTATTAATACCAGTCAGTTTTGCGCTTACATCCCACAAGCGCAGTGCTACATCAGGGTCTAGTACTTTTTTTGAAAAATACTGTTTACAATCACGATATATATTGCCGCTCTCATTAGATAAGGAAGGCTCAATCGCACAGTATAACACAGTTTGTGCACCCTGTGAAAAATTATGAATACAAATATAATGAAAGTATTAATTAAAAAAGTATGTACAATATATAGAGATATTTATTACCTGATTTGCAGTACGTAAAAACAGTAAAGCTACAGGTGAAAACATTATGTAATGAAACCAACTTCTTTTAACGTTTCTGAACAGTCCTGTGTAAGTGAATCCAGGACAAACCATGTAAACATTAACACCGCTATTCTCAGTTCGTTTTGCAAGTTCAATACCAAAATAGGTATTTGCTAACTTTGAATTACAATAGGCAGGATTCATACGTCCTTTAATTGTCACCTCTTTCTCACCATTTAAGTTTGAGAAATCTATTACACCGAATTCAAAGAGCTTAGACGTCACGATCACAACCCTATCATAAATAAATTACAATAAATAAATAATAAATTTTATTCATGCTTTTTATGTTTTATAACGCACCTGCTCGGTGCATTTTGTTTCAAATGTTCTAAAAGTAAATTCGTAAGCAGAAAATGACCTAAATGATTCACACCAAAATGAATTGAAAATCCATCTTCTGTTAAAGCATGTTCTTTAGCAGGTACGTATACTCCAGCATTATTAATTAATACATGAATTTGAGTAAAATTTCTTGTCACTTCTGTAACAAATTCTCTGATTGATGAGAATGATGCTAAATTTAATTGCATTGGGACCTGTGAAGACAACGAGGTACACATACAATAGTATATATCACTAATATATAATAAAAAAGAAAGAAGTTATAAAATTATGTTCACCAGTTCTCCAGTAAATATTTGAGAGCGTATATCAGATATAGCTTTGCGAGCATTTTGTAAATTTCTACAAGCCACGATAACCGTAGCTTTTCTTTTTGCCAATTCTTTCACTGTTTCTTTACCAATACCTGAATTTGCACCAGTCACGATAAATACCCGACCTTGCAAACTGTCCATATTCTTATATCTTCCCCAAGTACGTTCGCGACATTTTCGTAGTAAACCAATAAATAATACTATTGGTAAAATTAAGTAACACCATGATGATACCATACTTAAACGTTAGTAACAAAGATACTAGACTGATCCCCGGGTACACCGGGGACACCTAACTCCGCTACCTCGCACTATGCCGGATCACGCACAAATGAGCTCGTCACCAGCTCGTGAAGTTTCGGGGAATCGACAAAGACAGACTGATGCTCGCCCTCTTTCTCGATTCTCCGAAGCTGCCCGAAGTGAGCGCGGTCGCACTTCGGACCGTCTCGTCACAGTCGAGAGAGAAAGATTCACATTTGCCTTCTCACTCTTGAACTGAAATTCGATTAATCGACTTCACGTCAACGATATATGATTTCGAATCTCAATTGCTCAGGCATTTTTATTTTCTGACCTATGTAAGACCTTTGGTCAGTAACTATGCCATGCGTACTCTTCGGATATTTAAATAAAAAAATGCTTACACAGGATGAGCTAATTGAAATGGAAATAGTTACAATGCATATTTATATGTATTCTAATATTTCTTTTATGAACGAATGAATTGCGAAACTTTGAGTATTGTTTCGTTTTCTAAATTAGTCTTACTTAAGATACACTTTAATATATGTATATACTTTACAAATTATATTCCGATACAAGAGCGACTATTATAACATATTAGTACCATAATAATAACATTTATTATGAGAAGCTGCATTAGACACTAAAAAGCTCAGGTTTCCCATTCCTATCTAGATAGTTACAATCTTAACGTAGATAATGAACACAAAAATGTTTGTCATTGTTTTAATCAAATAGAATATACATTAATTTTGAATAATTATTAAATTGTTCAGTTTAAATAGAATGAACCTTAATATATGATGGTATATTAACCCTTTGGTAAGCGCACCTGATGGCGTTGATGTTATGAAATTTTAACTTTTGGTACAAATAGATAGAAAAACATTCAAATGAGGAATAGAAAAAGGTCCGAAGTCGATCCGATCACTGTACACTGGCACGCTTGCCAGAAGGTTAATATATTAATATAACATAGTCTAAGATACTATGTACATTCAAATACATTTATATATAATTTATACATCCATCCACACACAATAATTTTTTTTTAAACGATGCATTTACAGTGATACTTGAGACAGAAATTTAATATAGTGCTTATTCTTTTCAAACTTTGTATCACATAATTCGTTTTCTCTTTCAATTTTGAGTGTAAAAAGTTTAAATTCAGTTCTTACTTAACATTGATATATGTAAATATTAATCCATTATTTGTAAAGTATTCATATATTGCAAGTAATGTGCTTTATATCCGATACTTTTAAAACTATAAGAGATAGAAATTTAATTATTATTTGGTATAAAATACTTTCCTTATACTTTACATAGTCAATTATAAATACTGTGTTCAAAAATTTAAGTAAGCATAAGTATGCAGGAATTTTAGAGGCTGATGAAAAAAGTAGCTGAGGAAGAGGAAGAAATGCAACGGATGTTAGAGGCTAGAGAGATAGTTAAAGGATAAAAAATTGATGTTTTATGGGATAAAATTCAAAATTATGAAGTTTAACATAGGGAGTACATTAAGAAAAAGAGAAGAAGGGAAGGAATGGCTGAAAAAGCTAGAGAGAAGAAAAGAGAAAATATAGGGAATTGAGGGAGTGAGTCTGGTGGATTAGATGTTCTTCCAAAAATAAAGGTATAAGTATGTGATATGTGGGCCAAAGATAAAGGAGTATGTATTAGTAGATGTAAGAATATGTATATTCCTTGTTTAAGTTAAGTTTTACGTTTGTAATTAAATAATGTTTATGTTAAAAATTTGTTATATACAACTGGTATATATTAATTTAAGTTGCAGGAAGATTGTATGTGGAGCGGTCTCTTTGTAATCCAATTTTGGAAAACAATATCTATGAATCTATCTATCTATCTATCTATTAAATTTTATATAAATTATGGTACAGTAAAAAACTCATGACACTTTAAAGAATGTTTTTAACGCTTTGAACTCTTTTAAATAAATAATTTAATAGCTGATTTGTGAATGATTTGTTTATATGAATAGCTCTATATATGCATGGTGGGGCATTTAAAATTGGTTAACTGAATAATTTACTTAATTTTCTCAATAGAAAAAAAGAGTCAAAGCTATCATGAGCCTATTAAAACTGAGCAACTTTGTTTGACACATTTTTTTCTATTGTGAAAAGCAAACAAGTTATACAAATGAACTGTTTTAAATGCCCCATTCTGTATACATATACTGGTTTCTAAATGTAACTAATGATTATTAGGCAGTCTACATGCACATATCATATAATTCATATTATAACTAAACTCTTTGTGACATAAAGATACCTCTACTTATTTTAATCTTACAGGTACTAATGATGCATGAGCACTCATATAAGCATATTATTGCCATATACACAGAAATTTTATAACTCTATTATCGTGGGTTGTATTCTTTATTAACAACATAAAATTTATGTTTTTTACCAAATAAACCCCATATGACAGCAACGTTCTCGATGATCAAATTGAAAGGAATTGTTGATACTGCCCCACATATGCATAGTATGAATCGAGGAATACCAAATCGATATAAAGAAAATGATTTAAATACTCCAAAAACATACATATAAATATTCACTGCACCAATGAAAGTGCACAGAAAATCCATAAATTGTGGACAAACAATAGGATAAAGTCCAGCTAATATAACATTTGAAGTAGAAAGAGGCAATGTTACCCATGCATAACAGGATATGCCTAGAAGTAACTTTTTACTCAATGGAATTGCTTTGGAATGTACGACAAGTAATATACCTTGTAACCATCTTTTTCTTTGTTGTACAAAATCCCATAATGTAAATGGTGATTTTTCCCACATTTCACCATCTATAAAATCAAACGTGTATCCTTGAGTAAATGCCTTCATTGCAAAGAAACAATCCTCCGCTACAGATCCATCCAATCCATTGTTGAAAGATACTTGTCTTTCTGCACCCATCTATGACAAAGATATTTGGTAAGTTTTTACTATAATTCAAATATCAGTGTAAGTTATGCAATAAAAGATTACCTGAGTAACAAAATAAGAACCTTTCATACTAAAGAATGGCTTATGAAACATAGTGAATTGTAATCTTAATTTTCCCATATCATCTGCTACTCTAAAACTGTCTGCTAAAGTGGTAATCCAATTAACAACATCTTCATTTGCATACGTTATTAGCCCTTGTCCAAATTGATGTTTTCCATCCAATACAAAATTCAATATTCCACGGACAGAATTTTCAGTCAATAAAGTCTCTTCGTCAAGGTGCACAATCCAATCATGATCTGCTAATTCATTTATTGAACTTTCCAAGCAATACTGCAAAGCACGTGCTTTGAACAAAGCACCACTGCTTGTACGATAATTTGGTGGTACAACAACTTCTCTAACTCTACGATGAAGAGGCAATCCGACTGGTATATCACTTACTACTTCAATTTGAAAATTCTCTAAACCTGTTTCTATACACTTGTCTAAATTTTTCTTCACGTTTGTTTTAATTAAATTTGGGTAGTTTCCACGTGTCACTATTCTAATACAAATGAATGGTGCAAGTAATGGTGAACCTTTTAATACAATTTTATCTGGGAATGCATTGTAAATTGTCAACCCAACGAAGTTAAATAAAACTTGAGGAAAAGAAAGAAATGTAAGTGTTCTTAAGAAGTACAAAGTGAATGCACCAACAAATCCATATTGAACCCATGGGTCTAATTGTTCTTTCCTATCAATGCCCCAACTAAGTCCACCAGTAATTAATTCAAGAACAATTATAACCATACATAATACACAACAGTGTAAAATGTGTTTTGTTATACTGTTCAGCATTATTCCTGCAAATTATAAAATTAAATAAATTAGCAATTACAAACATTATATGTACACTTCGCTATGTTTTTAACATTAATCAATGTAATAAAATTTTCTTATAAGTACAGCTAATAAAATAAAACTTTTTAAATAAATGTAAATTAATGTTTATTTTTTATTTAGTGTACAAGAAATTAGAAATAAATATAATAATAATTAGTAATAAATTCTCTTTATATAAGAAAGTATATTGTAACTTAATGAAAACAACATAACCTTATTAGCTTGTACTTTTAGATATGTACATTGAAAACTTACATAACATATTAAACAATAGTAGATATTGGTATTGATATCACGGACAATCTCAAATTATAACTTATTAATCTAATTTTCAGATTCAGAGAGTGATAAATTACTTTGTAAATTTTGATACAAATATTATATTAAGATTCCTAGTAAATATATATCATTCTTCCAATTTGTTCAAATTCGATTAAAACGATGTTTCAAACATTTCGTTACATGTACCTTTTCTGTGCAATCAAATTTAATCCGATATATTATTCGAAAAAATCTTTTCTCGGCCCATTGCCCTTGGCAACAGGTGAATACAATTAGATGTCACATCAAATAATTACAGACCGACACGAACAAAATTAATTTTTATAATTATAATAGCACTTGTTTTTTATTGATTTTCGTTAACTCGGAGAATTATTTATATTCACACATTCTTTAAGTCTATTTCACTACTCAGGTGACTAAATACTGACAAAAGATAACAAATCTAAGATACTTGTAAATCGATTTTTTCACTCTCAACTAGTAACAATGAATGTATTTAATTCCGTTAACAAAGAACATTAAATAACTATCCTCCTCAGATTTTATTTCAGTTTCACATATATTGTAGTACTTCAAAAAACTAAGCAACGCGCATTTTTTATATTGGCGGTAATTTAATTTAAAGGGAGTGAAACAAAGCCCTAAAAGCGTAGTATGTAATAAGAATAATTGGAATTTCTCGCGGAAGTACTGAATTCTCTCGACTTTTAATGTATCCCCAAAATGATTTTATGGAATTTTCCAATTAAATTATTATACAAATATATTTTAAAAACTCGATAGGATTATCATTGTTTGGCAAAGTTCTATCAATTACTCCAATAAGATTTTATTTATCAAGTGCTAACTTGATCCTTACGTTTCTTACAGATTAGTCATCTAGAGTGAAATGGGCATTTTTAATATTTGAAAAAAATACCTATTTTGTAACATTATACTTTGGCAAGAACATTTTAATTCCTGTCGTTTTGTAATCACCGCGGGTACAAATAATTCAACGAGTCAGTAACGAGAACAGTGTGGTCGGATTTAGCATAACTGAGTGCATCGACGGTGACACTAGTAACGACGAACGTTTCTTAGCGTTTAACGAAGTGGCGGGGAAAGCCGGCATATCCTACCACACGAGCCACATGTTACGCCAGGTCAACACTTCACGCAACTTCGGGAAATCGATAAAGAACGTGAATGGGAGCCTTTCTCTGAATCTTCAATGAAATTCTTCGTCTCTCTTCTCGCTCCGTCTTGCTTGGCGGTTGAGTGATGTCTTCCGTGGGCGCGCCAGGGGGCTCCGTTTTTATACGACGTTTGAGACGACTGTCGACCAATCGGAGCCTAACTGGCTGCTGATTGGCACGGGAGGCTGCTGCTTCGCCGAACTAGTTCTGGTTTCTTTGAACATGAACATAAAAAGACTCACACTTCGTCTTCTTTCTCGATTTCCCTTTTAGTTTGTAGTTTACATATACACATACTCATGCTGCAGTTGTTTTGTATTTGTTTTACAATCGATCATGGTACCAAAATCCATCTAAGTATTTAATTTTTTAAATTTATTAATAATTGTGATGGCGGAATCCAATCGTATGTACTTGTGAAATAATATGTTAACATTACAACCATTGTATACTATTGTTTCTTCATTAATAATTAGTATTCATTATTACTTACAGAGAATGTATGTTTAACGTTGCCTAAAAATATAACAAAGCAAATTAGTACATGCAAAAACAGTGAACAATATATCATAAACTTTTTGCAAAACACATTGCCATCAAATGACAGTAATTCAATTGCTGATGAATTAAGAAAGGTACAATAAAATATATAAGATAAAGTATTTAAAATATGCATTAATGTATAATTATTTTTTAGTCATTTATACTCAGTAAACATAAAAATAATTGGAACAGAAAGAAAAGATGTAAAGGGAAATTATTAACAAGTAGAAAACGAATGCAACTTGGTTTGCGTAAAATTGGTTATAAGGATGGCATGAAATATAATGATTTATTGCCATTAAATCAATTGTGGCTAAACTATATGCAACAAATGTTAGGTGACAAGTTTTTTAGTAATGTACCAAAAGATCCTACTGATTCTAATTGGGAAACCGTTAATCAACAATTAATTAAAGCAGATTTCCATGGTGCTGAAATATCAGTTGTAGGATCAAAATGTCCTAGTTTAATCGGGTTACATGGAATAGTTATTCAAGATAGTAAAAATACTTTCAGAATTTGTGGAAAAGATAACATTATTCGAAGTATGTAAATTATTTCACATTTTCCTAAAATTAAATGTTATTCAAATATTACATATTGTAATATACATTTCTTTTCAGCTATACCTAAGGATGTTATTATTATGAATATTTATTTAAAACAAATAAAACTGGAATTATTTGGAAAAGATATTTCCATTAAACCTGCAGACCGTACAATAAAAAAATTGAAGAGTGGTCGTATATATGAATTGTAAAGATATGTATTATGTGTAATGTGTGCATGTGTAAAACATACAAACACAAAATTGTGTACAAATACTATGTAATTTATGTGAAATCAATTACAATTTATAAAATTATTAAGAAGTAAACTCACCAAACAATATTTGTAATCTAATAATAAACATACATTTTATAGAAAAATATAATTATATCCAATGCATTTTAATTTATAGTAATGTAATATTTTATATGTTTAATTGTAAATGTTTTACTTAAAAAGACTTATTAAAATTGATAAATAATAATCTATTATTGTATACAAAAATAATATCATAAAGGGACTTTAGAAAGTGAGTTTAATTTCAATATGCAAGAATATAAAATTAACATAAAGGAAGTATGTATCCAAATCATATTACTGTTTATTTTAATAAATTTAAATGTGGTTTTGAATTGATATATGTATGTTTGTATAGTCAACATCAATCTTAGTATGTTCCAAATTTATTAATATTTTATTATAATTCGTAATATCCAAACAATGATACAATTACATTACTATTTGTTTTCAAAACGGCATTAAATACACTTTTTAATCTACAATTTTATTCATTACATAATTTCAATGAAGATGAAGTGATTATTAGGAATGTTACAGATTCTCGTTCGCATCATCTAATTTTAACACCTTTATTTAATACATGCAGCTAAAATTACTGCACTCATTACATATCAAACGAAAGTCATTTTGTCATGATAGACAATTATTGCAACAAACATTGTTCAAATATATTTGAAAATGTTCTGTTACATTGTTATATTATAGTTCTTCAACTTCCAACTTTCGTTTTATACTTATGAATCATGAGAACAATTTATAAGTGAATATCTCAATTATTTTAAGATCTGTGACAAAAGAAAATGTCACTTAAAATGTATTATGCAATAAGATTGCTCTTTTAGGAACATTGAATGTAAGATGTGTTAGGAAAAATGTAATTTTTCCGGTATATCTTATACACTGATCCTGATCTGTTACTAGAGCATTTTATACAGACAATGTGTAACGAGCAGAAACGTTAACAATACGATTCTGTCAGTTTCTACATATGCATTGGAATATGACCTCTCAACATACATTAATATTTGTATTATAATTTCATTATACATTAATACAATGATATAACGAATAATACATCCGGATAGGATGATACTATACATACATTATATAAACCAAATATAATAAGTAAAAAAAAACTTCAAATTACACTTCTAAAGACTAAACACGTTAATAAACGAAAGTACAATTAATTTATATGTCTTAACACCTTCAAATATTTTTACAGACGTTACATGCTTTAATTTAACGTATACAAAGAAATATAAGGTAGTAATATTGTAAACCAACATAAACAAGTCTTAGTACATATATCCATACATCAATATGACGGAATTGTTAAAAAGTTCGTTCTTTTCTAATGGATTAAATATTTGCTTCGTTTAGTAAGAGTATATCAGAGAATTATCTTCATTATCGGTTTTTTTTTTTTTTAGCAGAGTATATAACAACGTTGCTATTCTATATTTCATATTTTGGCTGCCAGGCCAGATACTAAATTTTTATTTATGCAAGCCACAGCAACGACACAGACACTAAAGTATACACTGATAGACAGATAAACGCGTTTTATATCTCACTATATTAAGTTTCTAGATACATTATAGAGAGTTTAGACTTAGCTTCGTTTTTTCTTGTTGTTATACTGATGTACTGATATATGCCGCTTTTTTTCTTTATTTTGCTAAGTATTTTGAGGCTCATACAGTTAACTCTGACAACAACTTTTTAATGAATCTAAACAGATTCATTTTCCTACTAAAAATGATATATTAGAATATTTTTTTACCATTTTCCATGAATGGATACAATCATCAATTTTGGATTTTTGTTTTTTTTAATGGTCATTTACACATAATTAGCCAAATTTTTTTTTTCCTTTTCTTTTTATCTTTTTACCAAAGAGGAAGCACTTTATAATTTCGTGACATATTTATTAAAGTGAAACTTACAAGTATTTTTTAAGACCATTAATTTTACGTTACCTTAAACTAAAATTCTGTTCAATACTTAAACAAAGGCACGTACGTACATAATACATCGATATATATGTAAAACTATGTAATGATTACTTTGCAAAGTAACATGAAATAATCAAATTTAACTTGAGAAAGTTTCAATACAATATGGATTACTAAAATTAACTATTGCATGTTTGCTTAAAGATTCATGCATGATGCATACTTGCAAATTATGTATTTTTTTAATATGGTTTTATTTTAGTAAATAATATGGTACTCTTTGATTATTGTAACAGTAAATTAATCGTTTTATAAACGTTACCCATAAACTAGAAATTCGCGCTTAAATATTTTGTAATTTACTCTGAATTTATTATCTTTATTATATTACAATTGTTTCGCAGCAATGCTTTTCTCTTTAACGATATTGTGTCAGCATTTAATAATAATTATGGGCTATTGAAATAATCTTGTTCTACCTACATATTATAGAAAAGTAGATTTTGTTGATCTCTGTTATTTAATGCGTTGCACATTGAATTTCACATACCATAACCTTGGTATGCTGCTGCTGCAGTAGGCGCATAAACATTCTGTGGAGGTGCACCATATACACCTTGTGGTGTATAACCAGATGCCATCATACCTGGTCCTGCCGTTAGCATTAACTGAGGTTCCGCTACAAATATACAACGTATATAATTGTAAAATATATACATACATTTTATAAAAATGGGTACAACAAATACTTACGCATAATCATAGGCTTGTGTTCTTGATGATCAGTTTCTTCAAGACGTTGACTTTCAGCTTCCTCCAGTTTATCAACCTATTGAAAAATACATGAAACCGCTGCTGTGATTTGCGCAACATCATTAGTTAAAGGTATTTGAAGTTGCAAATAGTCATACCTTAGTAATATATTCTCGTGCGACTTGTATAAGGTATGGCATGGCAAAGTGTAAGATACGATGTCTCCATGCAAGTTCTAGAATAACATCTGGATGAAGCAAATCATAACAGTGAAACAGGCATGCTGCAAAACAATCTTTCGACCCTCTTTCCAAGAACCATTCTAATAATTCTTGGGCAACTTCGGTATTTCGAGATTCTGCTGCGTATTCCATAGCATCTCTGTTTGAAATGCAAATATAATAATCAAGAGAAATAAATAATAATTTAAAAAAATAAAATTTACTAGTATTTAATGAAACTTCAAATATGTTGATATAATTTACCTAAATAGTCGATCTTTCTTACAAAGTTCCACTGATTGTTTCCATCTATTATTTCCTTTATACAAGTATGCAGCAATTCTTCTGAATTCAATCAATTCGTGCTTCTCCAATTGTTGTGCTAGTGCGATATTATCAAAATTATCAAACGCGTCGATCGACGTTCTAAGACCTTGATAATCTTCCTCGTCAATAAGTAGACCGTTTAATGCTTCGTTAATTGCTTTGTTGTTTAAAGCTTGAACTGATCTTAAGTATGGTTTTACAAGTTGTAAATTCCCTGTCCGTTTGAAATATGCAACTCCTCTTGTATGATCCATACGTGGAGCAAGTACGAGTAATATATCATTCAAAAGTAGAGGTTTATATTCAACATAAAACTGTATAGCTTTGTAATAAAGTTCGACATTTGCCACTTTAGTAATCACATCTTTAAAATGACCTTCTCGCCAGGCTTCAGTGGGATGTTGCATCATTGCAAGTACTGCATTATCATATTCTTCATATTTATCATACAAAAATACAAGTTCTGCCCATAAATGTGCCTGTTCTGCTGCACGAAGTACCTGTTTAATCAATAAATATAAAGTGTACTTTTTAGTTAAATATTTCTAAATAATACATATTTAATAGTATACCTTTGGTATATTAACGCGGGACCAGAAGAGTTCAAGATGTTCTCTCATTCGTTGAGGTTTATATTTGCTATAAAGTATAGCTAATTCAGTAAACATTCCCATATGTGCTCTTTCAAGTCCTAACGCTGCTTCTAAGAGATTAATAAGTTCCTCAAAATGTCCTCGATCTTGGTAATAATTAATTAAATCTTCAAGTTCATCAGCATGTACAACTATGTGTAATCCACACATTTGTGCTAATCTAAACTCTCCGCTATCGACGCAAGCGAAACAAACTTCTTTCCATGTACGAGTTGAATTGGCTTTACGAGCACTATCAACGGCACCTTGGAATTCTTTCAAGTGAACGAGCGTAATAGCTAATCGTGCAAAATTTGATACGTTGTTGTACAAAAGTTTAGCAGCATCGTACATCTTGTCATCGAAACATCTGTCGCCAATCTAAACCAATCACACAATATAAATTAATGTTCATAAATATATAACTTTTTTAAAACACGTGTGTATTAACCTTTTGTATATCAGCATGATTAGGGCCGGAAATAAATTCTTCAAGATCTGCAAGTCTGTTAGTTCTCGCATATGCATATATTAATTCGCTTTCTATGAAAGATTCACGTGCTTTCTTGCGAGCCATTTGCAAGTAACGTACTAAGTCCTCCCAGTGAGAAGTTCGATGAGCAGTCTCCACTACATCTACATATGCTGATGGATCATCTGCTTTAATGAAACTGTCAATGGCTTCTTTAACTAATCCTTGTTGCAACTGTGCTCTAGCTAATTGAGACCATACTGGCGGTTCATTACACCTACAAGAAACGAATTGATAAAAAACAAAATTTGTAATAAAACTATGGTTATTAAAAATTATACTTTACCTTTCAGCAAATTCATAAGCTCTGTCTAAGTTGTTAACTTGCTCAATTAAAACTTGAATGGCTGATGTATTGACGTCGAATTTTTTAAAGATAGCAAAAGCTTCTTCGTACAATTCATTGTTAATAGCTATATTAGCAATATCCGGAGCATCATAGTTATCCAATCGATTTATATATTCCATTACACGCGTACGATCAGCCTTTATTGCTGTTAGAATTAAAAGATTTTGTAAATTACGATGATCGCTAAAAACACTACTATCGAGTACAATTTTCTCAAGTAGTTCAATTAGCTCGTTTGGTAAGTCAGCAGTCATAAAGGCCTTGACAGTAACTGATATATCTTCAGGATCTTGAGTTTCTGACAAAGCTGTTTGCACAACCTATCGATAACAATTTCAGTAAAAATAAAATATTGTTGAATACCTTTGCGAAGTAATTACTTTACCTATTTCATTCAATGTAAACTAACCTGATCTATTAATTGCCTTTTGTACGGATTGCTTTCGAGAAGAACTTCCGCCCACAAATCAGGATCTCTGCGCCGTACCAAGTATCTTGCTTCACTTTTGAAAAGACTATTTTCGTTGCATACGCTTATTAATTCCCGATCACACTGACCGCGCTCATATGCAATACATGCTAAATGTGGATCACGTTTTTCACAATACTTGCCTACTACTCTACTGTCATAAAACTGGTTTTCTCTACAAAAACAAAAATTAATTAATAATACGAAATTAAATTGTGTGTACCTTAAAAAAAAAAATTATTCTTACGGACTTACTTGAGAAATCTTTCAGGGTTATTGTTGCTATCAATGTATATTTTTGCTAGTGCATTATGTGTTGCAGGCTCAACACAACTTTCATGAACACGAGATTCTAGCCATGGAAGTAAGAGTTTTAAACGATTTCTTTTTTCAACTTCTTCAACAAGTTCATCGGTCGAAAATTGCCCACGCACAACTAAAATTAGATTTTTTATTATATCCTCTGAACAATCAACATCCAATAAACCACCCACCACGACTGGCAAACGTGATGGATTTACCTACAAATGAACAATATTAATTTCATTTATATGCAATTAAAAAAAAAAATATCATTTGCGTAAAAATTATTAATTTCACTCTAAATTTAAAGTATATTAATATTGAAACTTACTTTTTGAACATAAATTTCAATGTACTTTTGTAGATTATTTCGGTAAAGATAAAGTACAAGATCATGTACAAAATCAAATCGATCACACACAATTATCAAAGGTAACTGATCAGACAATTTTGCTTCCTTGAGAAAGTTCTTGACACGTTCTGGATTATAGCAATTACTCTCTCTACAAATTCGTTCAACTTCTTTAATTTGCCCAGTTTTACAAGCTGCTTGGATATATTTAAAGTGCACCTCCTGATCTTGGCTGAAGTTAACAATAGATCCCAAGAAGTAAAATAATCCTTCATATGATTTAAAGCTTTCAAATAAATCTAAAAGTAATAATAGAATTAGCTATATAAACTGACACAAAGTGTAAGATTAAAATAATGTTTAATATGTATAATTAACATAATAAATACCTATTAATGCTTTAGTGGTCAACTGTTCATGATACTTTGTTGCAATTTGAATACAAATTTGTAAATTTTGTCTTATATTAGCAGTTAACATTGCTTTCAAACACTCTAAAGAATCTTCAACAGATAATGTTCCAAAAAATCCAACAAGCCAATCTGGTGATAGTAAATGTGTATGTACAACAGCTCTTTTAATGTCGTATAAATCAGTGTAATGTTCCAAAGCGCGCTGTAACAATCCAGCTTTTTCACATAATTGCGCGATATGAGCTCTGTCGTAATGAGTAAACATTTGATTCCCTAAGATTGCATCGGCAACTTGTGGAGCAGACATCAAATTCATTTCTAAAAGACGTGTTTGTAAAGCTCCTTCGCTTGGCCAATTATTTTTTAAAGCATCCAACAAAAATGATGTACATTGCTGTACCATGTTTTGCTCCATAAATATGTCCACAATCTACAAAAATAAAGAAATACTCATTCATTTTAGAAAAAAAAAAATATTATAATTTAAAGTATTCATAAACAATATTACAACACTTACTTGATTGATATCAGCTAAAGGTTCATCATCCTGAACCAACATTTGGGCAAATGCTACACCCTGATCAGGATTTATTCTCATGACATTTCTTAATAAAAATATATAATCCGGAGTGTAGGAAACTTTCTTTGCATATAATACAATTTTTTGGAACTGACCAGTTTCTGCAAAACATTGTATAACTTTATTGGGAACATTAGCTCTTAAGTAAACACTAAGAGCTAAAGTTGGATCAGCTTGTTTCACCAAGTCACCCAATTCTTCACTACACTCTAGCTTATCTTCTTTCAACCATTTTTCAAGAAGTTGTTTACGTCCTTGTACAAGTACTGGACGACATAATTCTAAAGATTCATATTTGTTTAATTGCCCTTGATCCAGAAGTATTCCAAAATATTGCAACAAAGGAGATGTTTGTCCTTGTGTTGCCGGTACCTAACATACAAATAATTATTTTTATGTTGATACATTATACTTAGAAATTCATTTCAAACTATAAACATACTTGTTGAAATCGTTGAATAGTTGTTGGAGTTCGTAGTATTCCTTTTGGAGCGTTTGCTGCAACTTTTGCTGCTTCAGCATACTGCCCATTTTGAAAAAGCATATTAAATTTCCTCACAAATAAATCCTCAGCTCCTGACAAATTATTCCTTACAGCCATTCGCAATGCAAGTTCAGAATTTTGTAGTACTCCATTTATGTATGGAATTATATTTTCTTCGTCAACAGATACAGATAATACTTGACCTTTTCGATTTACTCCTATTATTCCACCAGATGCTTCATGCGGAGCAGTAACAAAAATTGTTTCCCCGGATATGCGATTCATAAATATACATGTTGCAGATTCAATATCATACATATGTATATAACCATATTTTGTTATTAAATATATAACATCATATTTTGAGCTGACTTGCATTGCAACAGGAAAATCATTTCCAGCTTCTGGTGGGAAAAACACGTCTACTGCCTTCTTTGGAAATGGGTGGTTACCAGCAGGAGGTTGACCTACTTCGATAATGTGAAGTTTTGCGCCTTGTACTGTTCTAACAGCAAAACAGAACAAATTACTTGGTTCTGCATTCCCTTCCATTTTAAATTGGGCAAAAGAAGCTGCATGTCCTTCGATTGGCTGAGAACACTTTCTTTCAACAGAATAAAGTTGCATAGCACCAACCACTCTATTATGCTGAGCAGAAATACCAATTAACAAAAGCCAAGTTTGCTTTGGATCAGTTCTATAGTTAATTATTTGGCAGCCATTTAATGAAGAATGTCTATCAAACATTTTATTTGGAGTCGATTCTCCTTCCATGGACCAATGATACACTGCAGTCTCTGTTACCAATGCCAAAGTATTTAAAGATATCCACTTCCAAAAGACTACATCTTCTGTCATTGTATGAGCTTTCATTTTTGATTTCATCTCTATGTTAAATATCTGAAGTGTTTTCAACGCTATTATAACAAATGTAAAATATATATCATTATGTTTTTCATTAAAACACAGAATCTGTTCTCTTTACAACCAAATATTATTTAAATATCACAAAATTAAAAGTACAAATTATTATACTTTTACTAAACATTGGTAATACTAAGTTTTATTCGTATTAAAAAAAAAAAACATTATTCATTACCTTTCAAAGCAATGACTTTACTCGCAGGATTCATAATTGCAGAATCTGCAGAAATGGGTCTTCTAATAGGATTAGCAGAATCATTCATATCGATAATAACTACCTGTGCGGTATCACCAACTTTCTCTCTGACACAAATGAATTTATCAGATTCCATAGTAAGTGTATTGAAACTAACATTATTAGCATTAATTCCAACAGCTGTAAGCTATAACAAATAATAAAACACAAACTTATAAAACATATAAAGTAAATTAATATTACTTTTAAATATTTCTTTTTACAAATAATATCTCCTATATATTCTTTATTAATACTATTATTATTCATTAATCCTTTTCTGATCTTTAAACTATTTTCAAATCAAGAAACACAGAGATAATACTATTATATTGATTATATTCGTTACTTGTTTAATTATAACCATTTAAAAAGTAACAAGGTAGAATATAGTTTAATAACTATCTAAACATCTATAAATCAATGCAACGAAAGAATACTTTGTATTTGTTCATTCTGAAAATTTTGTGAAAACCATATGTTAAGGTAATTATAATGTAAAGTGAATAGTAAAAATCGAAAATGTTTCATCTAGAACAAGGAACAATTAGTGTATAATTATTGTATATCAATGCAAACATTAAAATGTGTTCTAATAAAAATTGTAACTCGTCTGTAAAAAAAATAATTAACGAAATACTATCTCAAATTATATGTTTCTTCCACGCTATACTTAAGTTAAATACAAAAAGATGAACCTTTTAATTAGAAAATTCACGACATATAAAGACGGAAATAAGGGGCGTATATGCCGAGTAGACATGGCCCTCATTGATAAAAAAAAATCAATTTATTTTTCTCGCCAACTTTCCGATATAGAACGATATCACTATGTTCGGTTAACCTCTACATATTCTATCACGAATGTACTCTTAAATTGTTAACATTTTTGCATCCCGAAAAACGTACAATCGTATTATACCTGTCAAAGTAATGTCAATTTGAAAAGGTTTAACGGAACTTCCGTCCTATCATCGGTGGAACAAATAGTAACCAAAAAACTGAATAATAAAACATTACAAATGTAACATAAAGTTGATAATACAACATAAAAATGAATATCATTGACGACGTGTCGAAATAATTGAGGAACCGGGCATGAAAACAGGTCACTTACCTGGAGATGTTCTTGAAACCTTATGGGTAGTAACTGCGTCATTTTTCTGATGTTTTCCAAAACTTTCCGAGGTTTTCTAGCCGCTGTTATTTAGTCGAAATAATATTGCGGCTATCTACCGTTTCTATGTACAAGTGTTTTGACCTATGGTGCGCTTCTCAACCAGAAAACCTCAGCTCAACCATCAGCGCACAAAACCAACTGACGCAAAGTGAATGCCGTCACTACTTGCCGCTGACACCCATCATGGCCGCCAACGACCGCCCCTCTGTCTAAAAATAGTTCCTCAAGTACAAAAGTGTTTCGATCGATTCTATATCTTGATATTGCCAAACGTTTTTAAATGCATCAAAATAATAACACTATATGATTCACCTAATTTGACACCTAACAATATTACAATCAACGTTGAAACGATTATAGTACTTTAAATATTCATCAGCGTAAGAATACATACAACTCAATTTTGTGATAAATCTCGAACACCACCCCTTCCTTTCTTCAATCCACATCCCCCACTACCTACTGAGAATGAAGCCGCAACGACGCTTAAGTGTACACGTAGTATACATCCTCCTAATAACCTTTAGTGTATGAATATACTTTAATCTAATATATAATTACAATTATATCACATCAAATATTTTGGCGCACTTCTCTAATATCAAATAAGTTACGTGCACAAAGAAAATGCAACAAAAGTCATATATCGTTTGATCGATTAATAAAAATTGGACACTTCCAAATTACGTTTGTACGTTTCTAAGATCTGATTAACACATCGTTAATTTCATATTAATCAGTAACTGAAAATGCAAGAAATACTTGCTTCATTTGTAATATATAGAAATTTAAGTTAGGCACGACAAATTAAAAATACAATTTATTTTCAAATCATTTTGTAAAAACTGTATAATACATGTATTGTACAGGTAGTTCTTTCACAGTTATTGCTATTACGCATTTTAATCAAAAAGACCAAAGCCCATATCATCATCTTCAGATTCAGATTCTTCCTTCGCTGGCTTTTTCTCTTCTGTGAACAAAATTGAAGTTAGTAACGTTTACAATTTTGTTTTCCTTAAGAAATAATGACAAATAGCAAAATGTAAATTTACCTTTCTTTTCTTCAGCTGGAGCAGCAACAACTCCAGCTGGTGCTACAGCTGTACTAGCAACAGCAGCACCACCAACTGGCATAGATGACAATTTTGTACGTCCTACAGTAAAAATATATATAAAAATATATACATACATATATATTATTCTATGGCGAAAAAAATTAAAACTATTACAATTATTATTTATATTTATATGAAAGTATACCTTGCGCAACAAGTTCTTCGATTGATTTTCCACTCAATTCTGATATGAGTATCTTAAGCTTCTCAGCATCAGTTTCAATGCCAACGGATGATAAAATTTTCTCGATATCATTTTGGCTAGGTGAAGTTTTGCCTCCCAAAGCAGCCAAAAGATAAGCGGCCACGTAACGCATTCTGAAAAACGTAAGGTTCGATGTTAATTTTTATTTTAACTTACAGTGCATTTTTAATCGAATTGATTCTTTTCAGTAGAAAAAATTACCATCATGGTCATCAGTCGAAAGATGGTGAATATTTAAATCATCATATAGATTCAATTTTCAAGTAAAAGAATACATATTTTGGGTTCATTCATAAAAGAGCTTCAATTTAGTTAACGGATTTTTTAAAGCAACGTGTTGTACTATAATTAATATTCGAAGTCGGAACATGCTTGTGTACATCTTTATGATATAATTATAAACGTGTAAGTACTTTTTGTTGAGGTTACTCTTATGAAAAATGTTGAAATGTTCCTCTACACATGCGTTCGTTGAGTATGTCTTTATTCTTCCAAACACCTTGTATGCTTTTACTTTGAATAATGTGCCAAGAACGTATTCTTGTTAAAATGAATTATTGGAACCATTAATCGAATCGTAAAACATCTTCAATTATGATGTATTATTGTGTAAATAAAATACGTCGTTTGGTTCGTTAAAATATGATATATTTATAATATTTAATATTATAGACTAAAATGTTATAGAGTAATGTTTATACTTACTTTTAAGTCTTACGACACGAAACGTGGGTAACGCTCAAAAACAGAATGTGCGACCGGCTTGTAGCGTTGGCAGAGGGTAAAGAACGAGGACAAGCAAAACAGGAAGAAGGCAATACATATATTTTTCTGAACGATTGCAGTGCCATCTGAAGTACTTAACAAACGTACAACCGGTACAAACGTATTTATAATCTATGTATAGATAGAATCGTAATTTTATAAATAAATCTTTTCATACGACGATATTTGTATGTACGCAATACCGTATATGAGATTCATGCGGAAACATTGATCTCATTGTAAACTACGAGAATCGTTGGTGAACATTTCTATTGAGTTTACATGTACGGTCAGTATCCAATCATATTTGCATCGCGTACAAGTATCGTTGTGTGAAAAGGCTCTTCAAAAATTGAGAATGCAGCAGGTTTATTATTTCAAGTAAGATAATAGCCCCAAGTACATAGTTCGACTATACAATTTAAGTTATTAAAGATATTTTCATGAATTATCTGTTGCGAAATGAAGTATATACCATTTTTTCACTCTGTAACATGCGTGTCAGACTTACACAGTTGGTCAACTACCCTAACTTTTGTGTCGCTGAGATTTTATGGGGATGCATTAATAATATAACAAGAGCATGACGGAATCCTATATTTGTATAATGAATTAATGTATTTATATAAAATTAGTAGAATAACTATGAGGATTACGGAATCTAGAAACAAAAAATTCTATTGTGAACGTGAAAATACGCGTTATTGGTATTACTAAAATTTCCCGCAAATTAACTCATGGTTACATTGGCGACACAAAGATCAAAAGAGTCGACGGGGAGTAGACCAACTGTATAAACTGTGACTGTACATCGATATTATAACTTCGACATAAATTTGTATTGTGTAAACGTAATCGTCATAAATGTCATGCATATTGCAACGGAGAATGTTTAGAACGAAATATTAAAGTTAAACGTGCCAAAGGAATTTATCTCGACGGAGATTAAAATCGATCGAGAATTGTGTTTATGAGAATATTATAGATCCCTATCTCTACGAGTTTTTGGTTAGTGGTTCTGATCATGACCATCTGGATGGTACCAGTCAGCTGTAGCTGGGAACACGCGTTTATGTGTGTGATTTATAATTCGTTCGATGATTAGTTCGAGAAGTCTCGTTTAAAATATTCGATCTTGATTTCAAACAATAAATTAATCAATTTTCAATAAAATATGATCATTCGCAGTGCATGTTCGATGACGATTCGTTAATGATTTTTGTCGTTCGATCGAAACTTACAGTGCTGTTGATAAAAAAAAAGATATTCCAAAAAATAATTTCTCGCGTATGTATATTGCGCGTGAAAAATAATAGAAGCGTTCGAATCGAAAGAAATTTCTCGATGGTTGCGGAGTGAAAATGCGCTCGCTATGTATTTTACTTTTGTTATTTTTAAACCACTGATGCATAAAACGTTCGAAGAAAACCTTGTAAATTCATCCTTTGTCTATAGTTCAAAGATTATTCTTGGAATATATTTCAGTCGTTCAGCTTTTAATATTATTCGTCTTTTACATTTTTAATCTCTTTCTAATGAACTCTTGATAACTTCTTGTTTCTCTTTCTTACTCTAAATTAAGTACAATTCAGCATAATCTATTAATATAATTTTTTTCTAGGGTTACAAATTTGATACTTGTATTATAGAATTTATATACTTAATTCCTTGGTGCTCTTTTAATTGTGCAAAAGGATGTCACTGAAACCTAAACAAATTAATTTTAAACAAACATGGAATCTATTGGAAGAGACTGCAAAGTGTATAATAACATTGTCAAATGTTCCACGTGCAACATGGAATGCTAGATTTAGGTATCAGTATTTGATATTACAATTGAAGATTTACGACAGTCGTTAAATTTTGTCTTAAACCTATCGTTTGTATTTCATTTTAGTGATGTCTATTTTATGTGCGTGGCATACCCAGAGCCGCTTGCAGATGAATTGTACGACGAGACAAAAAAGTTTCTAGACAATCATGTCTTCCAGCTATTGACAACAGTTTGTTCCCAAGGCGAATCTAGTTTGCTACAGGCATATCATCGTGCTTGGTGCGAATATTCGCAGGGCATTAACTACTTACACAGCTTATACTTATACCTAAATCAGCAACATATTAAAAATCATAAGCTTTCCGAGGCAGAACTTATTTATGGTACGTCTTCCGTTATGACTGCTGATTATCAAGAGCAACTGGAGATAGGAGAGCTTGGCTTAGATATCTGGAAGAAAAGAATGATCCTACCATTAAAAAAACAATTAGTCTCTCAATTGTTAGACTGCATTCATGCAGACAGAGTTGGTAAAGCTCAGCTAGCAAATACAGAAGTTATTTGCGGTGTTATACAAAGTTTTGTTCGAGTAGAAGAGTATAAGTTAGTGGGACAACTGGATGTAATTATTCATGTTACATTATTTTTTGTCCAGCATGGGTATCGATTACAAAACATTCTGATACGAACAATCTTGTTCTAGATGTATCAAACGATATTCGAAGGCCCTTTCCTCGAGGCTAGCGGGGAATTTTACATGAGACAAGCATTTGCGTTACGCCAACAATCGGATGTAACGCACTATATGGAGAAAGTAACATCGCAACTCATCCAGGAAAAGCTTCGTGCTTTTAAGTTCCTTCACGCGAGCTCTGTACCCAAAGTATGCTCTTTTTCTTGTATGTTAATCGAGAGGTCAATCAATTTAAAGTAGTTGGTTGTTCGACAGTAATATTTTCCAGGTAAGGCAGTGCTGCGAAGAAAAAATGATAGCCACGTACGTGACCTGGCTTCACACAGAAGCAGAAAACATGATAGAAAACGAACGTAGAAGGGATTTGTCTCTCCTGTATCCATTATTGAAGCCATTGCCTGTTGGCTTGACTCCACTTGTACAAAAAGTTACAGAACACATCACTCAACAAGGTTTGAAGGCAATCGGAAACTTACAAGGAGAAAATGTAAGGAGAGAGACAATGATGAATATATATTTAACATTTACAAAAACGATACAGTACTCCATAATAGGTATATAATAGGTACACACGCAGTTTGTGGATGGCATGCTGGATGTACATCAAAAATATTCGGAATTGATTAAAGATGTGTTCAAAGCTGACCAAGCCTTCGTGGCTGCTCTCGATAAAGCTTGTGCGGCTGTTGTAAACCATAGATCCGTTCCACAGCAACCAGCAAGAGCACCAGAACTAGTGAGTAACTTTATCGTTGCTGGTAGGGGTGTGTGTCCTGAATCATGTTTACCCGCTCACTCCTACCTGAAAATAACTTCTACAATAATTAACGAAAGTTTTGTTACATACAACGTTTCCAATTTAGCTGGCAAAATATTGCGATTCTTTACTGAGAAAGTCAGCTAAGGCCGCGTTAGAAGTGGAAGTTGAAGAGAAACTGGGTCGTTGCATCACCGTCTTCAAATACGTCGACGACAAGGACGTGTTTCAGAAATTTTACGCGCGTATGCTAGCGAAACGATTGATTCATCAGCAATCGCAATCGATGGACGCCGAAGAATCCATGATCGATCATTTGAAACAAGCGTGTGGCTACGAATTCACGAATAAACTTCACAGGATGTTTACCGACATGTCAGTTTCAGGGGATCTGAATGCCAAATTTGCTGCTAGTGTACGAGAAGGGGACGGAGAGAATCAATTAGGCATAGGTTTTGTAGTGTATGTATTGCAAGCGGGCGCGTGGCCGTTAGCCTTACCCCCGTTTCCAGGACCATTTCATATCCCTCAGCAATTAGAAAAGTCTATACAAGCATTCGAAACGTTTTATCACGCACAATTCAGCGGAAGGAAACTCACTTGGCTTCATCACCTTTGTCAAGGCGAATTGAAGTTTAATTATTTAAAGAAACCATATTTGGTCACTGTGCAAACGTATCAAATGGCATTGTTGCTTCTTTTTGAGCATTGCAATTCGATACAGTGTCGAGAGGCTGCCGCGTCGTTGCGTTTGTCGCACGATCAACTGGTTAAACACGCGGCCAATTTGGTCGATTGTAAAATTTTGAAGAAGTCGACGGCGGGAGATTTAGAGGAGGACACAGTTTTGACGCTCAATTTTAATTATTCTAATAAGAGGACAAAATTCCGCATAACCGGCTCGTTGCAACGGGATGTACCTCACGAAACCCATGACACAGAGGCCACGCATCGCAGTGTCGACGAAGACAGAAAATTGTACCTGCAAGCCGCTATCGTCCGTACCATGAAAAGTCGTAGGATTTTGAGACACAATCAACTTGTACAAGAGGTGAGATTTCATTTTAACTTTGTGTTCTTAATAGATCTAATTGATATAATTGATGTTTATCGTTTCAGATATTAAGTCAATCTAAGGTTAAATTTGCTCCCTCGATTAGCATGATCAAAAAATGTATCGAAGTACTCATAGATAAACAGTATATCGAACGTACGCCGAATAACGCAGATGAGTATTCGTACGTCGTATAATTTTATTGTACCATCCATTACCATCATTAATTTATTTAATTCGGGATGCTCCTTGATTGGTCACGATACAAGAACATTTAATAAGGTTTCGATAAAACGGCTGCTGTAGGTTATTCTCTGCTCGAGCATCACAGATAATTCTCTAAATTCAATGTCTATCTCGCGTTTGAAAGATCAGACGAAGCATCCCGAATTGCTTACTTGCTCCTGAATGAACCAATTAATTAACTTAGTTAATTCAATGATTTATAATATATGCACACCGAATAAAGCTAATGTTACTATTTTATGTTTGGGACAAATTTCTTTTTATCGATCGTTCAAGGGTAAAAATTTAATTTCGATTTGTAACATACAACTAACATTGCTTATTTGGGGATTCGTCGACCCCCGAAGAAGAATAAATCTATATGTATATTCTTACAAAATCTACATAACAATATTCAAAGTGTTTTTAGTTTTAAATGTTGTTCCCTGTTATTAATGATAAACTTCTGGTGGTCCCGCATATTTAAATTACTTACAATATATGAATAAAAACTGATAATAATATTGCACAATATACGACGAAACTCAAGTGACATTGTAAGTGGTCATTTACAGTAGAGATGTTCTCTTCTAAAAGTAATATTCTTGGCACCCTACACTATGGTAAATAGACTCGGAAGTGGTATCATTAGGAACGTGGAGTTTTTAGTTGCAATAGTTCTGGATCCAACAGGGGATTGTCATCTGATTCCAATTCTAACGGTTTGTTCATACTATTGACTACAAGAGGCGATGCAGTGGCTGTATTACTGTATGGCGAAAATCCAGCCCATTCCATGCCAAGATATATAGGTGGCGGACTGCCCAATGGCGGTTCCAGCAGCAAATGATCCGACTGCTGTTGCTGCTGCTGTTGCTGCTGTTGTTGGATTTCCTGACAGTCCGATGGCGGCAAATGCGAAGTTAAGTGAGGCGTTACTTTACACTGTTTTTCTTGCTTTCGCCATTTTGCTCTTCTGTTTTGAAACCATACCTGCAAACAAAAAGTAGAATAAGTAAAAAAAGTAAAAAGTAGAGTAAGGTTTTACTTCACTGTTCATACTCTGATGCACGCATTGGATAAAATACAGATGAAAGCAATGTTTGTTTATACTTTTCACTTTAGATGATAATTCCCTAACACCCTGTACAACTATTACCTGCACTCTGGCCTCCGTCAACTGGATACGCAGCGCAAGTTCCTCCCGAAAGAAGACATCGGGATAGTGTGTTTTCTGAAAGGCTCTCTCCAACTCCTCCAACTGAAAATTCGTGAACGTAGTGCGATATCTCCGCTGCTTTCTTTTGCCAACTCCGGACGATTGTCTGTCCTCGCTTCCGGGACTTTGTGAAAAGTCGTAGGCTAAAAAGAAACGGCACAGGCGTGATCAACGTAGCGATTTATACTCGCTAGTTCCTCCGTGTGAAATCAATCCGCACGATAATACTGTACAATTGAAGTACAAGTTCAGGAATTGATTGGAAAATCATGCGTAGCTTCAGTTAATCGCGTTGAATTCACACGGAGTAAAATAGTTCATAACTGTTAAACTGATTACCGCTAACTCTATTTAAAACAGGGGCTGCCGATTCGCTTAATGCATTTAGCAATAATTTAATTGAGGACTGCCTCAACTTACAGGCCGACAGGTAGAGAGTGGCAGTTAATTAAATCAGGTCTGGGGTGGCAGGGTGCACTTACAGAATTTTGTTGGAAAGCAAACCGAAGACGATTGTGCTCCTATCAGACTAGCCAGAGCGGTCGACTGCAGATCCCCGGAGTTTATTTCGTCTGGTGCTCCAGAGGAAGCGACGATAGCACCGGTTGATACCAACGGATCACGCGGAGCACCTACCAAAAACAGCTGCCTGCCACTTTCGTTCCCACCGTCGTCTTCTTCTTTCAAATCCATCGCGACGGGGCTCTTGATCTTCAGTGATCGTGATTTAATTAATTAATACACCAAATAGGCTAAACGAACGGCACACCGACGTAGGATAATGGTAATTGAATCACTACCAGATTGAGAAGTTCGTGTGGTTACTACAGCAGCTCCACAACTCCGCTATTTCTTTTCTCTTTTCTTCCTTTTTTTTCCTTACACCTGTGCAATGCAGACAGGGTAGGGGATAGAATATATTCAACATGAACACCCTCAAGAGGGGTAGAGAAGCCTCAAAAATGTATTGCTTGTACACCACGAATCAATAGCACGGGTGTACAGTGGGAAAATAGGCAAATCCAGGTCTTTCTCTATACCAGCTATATTTTCTTAAATCGTGTATAGTTTTTAAATGTCCAATGATTATTTTTTTTAATGGTAATAGCTGAGGGTGTGCAGGTCCTGAGATCTCAATCGGGTCGAGTCGGGGACCGGAAAGTTTGTAACAATTACACAGATTGTAAAAATTAAAGTAAAGGAGGGGAATGAAGGGATTAAATAAATGTAAATATTTTCTAAAGTACCTCCTTCTTTCTTACACTGTCGTCACTTGCATTTTTGATGGTGGGGGAATCGACTAATTGAAGGGGAAGATGTTCGTCAAGCATGCTCTGAAGTAATTGTTTCTAAACATCTACAAATCGGAAAGAATAAATGTAAAATGTTTAATTCAAAACATATACTTTTCATATATATATATCTTTATTAGATTAGCATAGCGTATTACAATATGTACAAAATTTACTATGTCTGTCCATAGTTAATAAATAAAGATGCATTGTGCCTTTAAAGGTGTCTCACGTTTTTAGTGTTACCACGAGTCTTCGTCGACTTCATTTTAAGCAGAAACGGTGCTCTCGCTGTCAGGTCTTTGTGGAATTACATTTAGCACATGCGTATCACAGTAGGTGCATAAAGTAAAATGCTAGATACAAACTTTACTTAAAATTATTGTTTCTAGTATTCCATCCTGAGTGCACATTGAAACACATTTGTTTGGACCCGTTGTCAGGATAAAATGAAAACGTTTAGATATAGAACAGACGGACTTTGCTCGTAGAGACCAATAAATCGTCGTCAAAGAACTTTGTCTCTATCACAACGTTACCACTAGACATAAATAAGAGTTGATTAATATTCTTACTGCTTAAACGTAAACTTTAACAATTATGTTACATGGAAACTTTACTTTAACACATCGGCAGGCATCATTTGACTTTCGGGTGCTGCTTGAAAAGCGCTTTGCCATGTGTTTGTACTGTTAGGTATTACAAAACCGAATTCGAAAAACCATTCCTCCAGGCAGCGTCCTTTAAACAACACTTTCTGTTCTAACCTAAATCTTTCCATCGGTTCGGCAGAACTGAAATTAATTTCCCGCGACACTGCTCGACATTTTAGAATCTTTTTAGGCACCCTTGCTTCGTGTTCTACTTCAGGCACGGACCTTTAAACAATTCGTATCATTATCTAGAAAGTATTTTACATTGTAACGACATTTACAATCTGTCATACTAACAAATCATCGTTTGCTTGCCACAATATTTTACCGTTATCAGCATCTCGTAAATTCATCCAGTTTCTGTAATAAATGACGGTCAAGGAAACTAATTGTATAAATGGTATAAGACCCAAATACGTGAGACAAGTACCACAGTTTATTCTAACCTATGAACTGTCAAGTTTGATTATGGCTTATTTGATAGAGATATACACGTTAATATATTAAAAAAAGGATACACTTGAAAACCTTTTAAAATATCTTCGCTTCGAGAAGGCATGATTTATTTTAAACGATGTTAAATTGTTTGTATCGCTTCCGAATACAAACATATAATCAGTCTGAAACTCTGAACCAACGACTGCCAACCAGGCGAAGAAATAGTCCACAGAAAACCTGAAATTATGGCAATAAACTGAATGAATTCGATTTACAATTGATATTTGTTGTTAAAATTGATATTACCGCGAAATTTACATTATATACATGTTTTAGAATAAGACTAGAAGATAGAATTGTTCAAAATATGTTACTCAACGATTTAATTTATTTATAAAAGTGTTTTCAAAATTTCAAGCCATGTGTTTTTGTATAATAGAATTTGAAAAGCGTTAAAACATTCCTTATGTTGTTATTAATAAAGAATTAAGACCTTATTATTTATTCTCCATGCTTTTTATTTACATTCTCTGCCTTTAGTCGCATTTTTTCACGTAATTAATTAGTTATAAACAAATTACTGGAAGCCACAATATTGGGCAAAAAAGTGACAAACTACGGTATCGCCATCTAATATCAGAAATTCGAACTCAAAAAATCGTGCCAGGATCACAGAATGTTGGAGGAGGTATCGCACTTTGGATGCCATCTAGTGGTGAAAATAGTGTACCATTGCTCGACAAGTTTCAATGTTCCGCAACTAGATGGCGCCACAATAGAGACCCCCCACCATTGCAATAAATCGTAGCTGTCAATGAACTATGACTCGATAATTTGCTAATTACTCTTTTCCTGGGATTCATTCATTAACTTTTAGGGTTTAATAATATAGCTGAGACCCTTGGCAACATTCAAGGATACTTTTTATAGCCATGGCATGCGTCATTAAATAGTTATTAATCAATACCGGGAAGTCGGCACACCTTTTCGAACTATTTAACGCGACTTCTAAGGGATCTATCGCTAATAACTAATTAATTAGAGCATGGAGCGAGGTAAAATTGGTCCTTATATGTGGCCAGGGATGTCCTCTAGGTTCCCTAATAGCCAAAATATGCGTGTCATTGTTGAAAAGTTGATAATTAATCGATTAAAGGAGGCAGTGACACCGCCGTAAATGTTCCGACTTTCTATATTTGTTAATAACTATTTAATAACTCATGTCATGGGTATAAAAAGTGTCCTTGAATGTTGCCAGGGGTCTATACTACATTCTTCAATTCTAAAAGTTCATATCTTATTCCTGGAAAGAGAGTTATTAATGAATAATCAAGAGTATGTATATTAGGTGGTGGAGGAGTGGGGGTAGCTGTACTTCGGATACCTCCACTATCATTCTGTGATCCTGGGACGATTTTTTGACTTCGAAACACTGATATTAGATGGCGATACTGTCGTTTGTCACTTTTTTGCCGAAATATAGTGGTGCCATCTAACAACAGGGTTTCGAACTAAAACTCCTACTCCTGATATACATAGGCTTGATTATTCATTAATAACTCCTTTTCTGGGAATGAAATATGAATTTGTAGAATTGTAGGATATAGTATAGACCCTTGGCAACCTTCCAGGATACTTTTTATAGCCATGCCAAGCGTTATTAAATAGTTATTAACAAATATCGGAAGCCGGAACATTTACAACTGTATCACTGTCTCCTTTAATCGATGAATTATCAACTTTTCAACACTTACAGGCATGTTTTGGCTATTAGAGTACTTAGTAGACATCCCTGGCTACATTTTAGGACCAATTTTACCTCGCTCCACGCTCTAATTAATTAGTTATTAGCGAAAGATCCCTAAGGTGTCACGTTAATTGTTCGAAAACGTGTGCCGACTTTCCGGTATTGATTAATAACTATTTAATAACGCATGCCACGGTTGGAATAGCTATCCTAGAATCTTGCCAAGGGTCCATACTATATTCCTAAACTCTAAAAGTTCATCATCCATTGCCAGGAAAGGCGTAATTAATAAATTAAGGAGCAGTGATTCATTAAAACCGGCGAAGTATTGATTTCTGCATTGTGGCGCCAACTAGTGGCGAAAACAATGTACTATATGCTTTCTAGGCTTTTAATGAATTGTTGCTCGTTAATTTACTAATTACGCCTTTCCTGGGATCAACTGATGACCTTTTAGAGTTTAAGAATATAGTATGAACCCTTGGCAAGATTTAAGGATACCGGTTCTAGCCATGGCATGCGTTATTAAATAGTTATTAACAATTATCGGAAGTCGGAACACTGTTTGTAACCTTTTAACGTGACATCTTAGGGATCTTTCGCTAATAACTAATTAATTAGAGCATGGAGCGGGGTAAAATTGGTCCTTAAATGTAGCCAGGGATGTCCTCTAGGTACCCTAATAGCCAAAATATGCGTGTCATTGTTGAAAAATTGATAATTAATCGATTAAAGGAGACGGTGATACAGCCGTAAATGTTCCGGCTTCCGATATTTGTTAATAACTATTTAATAACGCATGTCATGGGTATAAAAAGTATCCTGGAATGTTGCCAAGGGTCTATACTACATTCTTCAATTCTAAGAGTTAATAGTTTATAACCAGGAAAGGTGTTATTAATGAATAATCAAGGCTATGTATATCAGGAGGAGGAGGAGTGGGGGTAGCTGTACTCCGGATACCTCCACTATCATTCTGTGATCCTGGGCCGATTTTTTGAGTTCGAAAACCTGATATTAGATGGCGATACCGTAGTTTGTCACTTTTTGGCACAATTTTCAGCGCAATTTTAAAATATGAAGCGCTTCCAGTATAATTGTTTATAACTAATTAATTACATTAAATAACGCATAGAAAAATGGTAGAAGAACTTAATTAGATACGAATAATATTTGTAATGGTTTTAAGGGATTATAATACTTTAGAATTAAAAGAAATAAGGAATTAATGGGAAAGGTAGTGGAGATTGTAAATAAAGAGGATGGAAAATAAGTACATACTATGATTTTTTATTAATATAAATATAAGGAATGGTTTACACATTTCTAACTCCATTGAATAACAACGTTTAACAAAAATTTTGCACGATTGGGATTGTATTTTGATGTTGTTATTAAATGTATAGGCATACAAGTATTAAACAAAAATAAATGTACACAGATTTGAATATTTATTTCCACCTGACACAAAATGTGATGAATGTCGACATATGATATTTTTCTTTTATCAATGGTTTACATAAAATATGTTACAATAAATTCATAACCGATAAACAGATATTTTTACGAACTGTAATATTCATAACCATCTAATAATATTGTGATACTGATATTAGTTTTACATTAAATGCTTATAGACATAACATGATCATTGTTAAGTTATTGTTTTTCGAGTACAAGATATACTGTATGATTAGAGCTATTCGCAGTAAATATTTCAGATCCCAATGTACACGCGTTTTGCCGAGGACGGTTTAAGTGATAAGAAGTGATATGGCCTTGCAAATAATGTAGAATGATCATTTTCTCACATAACATTGAAATTTTATGCGAACAGCTCCATTTAACTAGCTTACAATTGTATGACTATATCCGTCCACCGCCCAATGATTCACATGAAATCTCAAATGCAAGTTGATCATCGCGTACACATACCAGGGCATAATCAAATCACAGATTAATTGGATAAACAGCAGTCATTTAACCCTAACTTAAATAAATATAATATATATTGTAAAAACAGTGATTCTTAATCTGTGGCCCGTGGACCCCTATAGAAAATTTTCAACATTTATTTTCGTTGCATACATTACACCTAACAATATCACTTTAATCGTTTCAATGCTTTGATATTATGATAGTCATTGGACTGAAATAAATCTTTCCAAGTTCTCGATAGAAGTATATCGCTAAGATGGTATTGAAATCTTCGTTTTGTGCGTTATAATTTAAGACAGTGATTTAACTAACATTTAAGAAACATGGCGTATAAAAGGTCCATGGGAAAAAAAATACGGTTAAGAACCACTGTTGTAAAGAACAGTTGTACGTGAACCTATGATGCATGTTGATATTTTGATTGAATATTTTCTCCTTAGAAATATTTTTATGAATATGAGCTCGTTCCTTACTTACAACACTTTGTTGTATCAAATGCCATAACACGACATCCATTTGTTCATGTAGAAATTAACGACATAATAAGTACGTTATTTTTCCTTACTCGGGAGACGCACGTAAGGTTACATAAATACATACTAACCTAGTAAGGAAGTAATTAATAAAAAATTGCGTTGGACGGAATCTACACATTCACTTATATACATATATCTGTCGTGCCAAGCTTCGGTTGTTAAGCTATTTCACAATGTCTATTATCTAGCATTTTTTGATTTTTCTAATAATGAATCTAATGATTAGTTTGGGGACCACAGGTTGGCAACGCACACATATATACATGCACACACCAACTACAGGGAAATATTTATTCCAGTAATATTGACTGTCATTCGTCGTCGCTCTTCATTTTCTATTCCCCGCTGTCGCAGAAGAGCTCGAATGGAAGTAGTAAAAGGTACACAGTTAGGGTAGAATTTTCCTGCATAATTCGGTATACTTCACGCTCCGCTTATACACGCGTCTATTCGCAGAAAAAACCTAACGATATCATCGGATTATTGTCGAAAAGGTGTGTGCATGCGAGTGGTTTTTCTTTTTCTCTCCTCGAAGGCGCGTGCAACAATTAGAGCTATGAATAAAGAGGTACAACGTACGGCGATGAAGTTATACATTGATTGGAAAAAGAAGTTTTGGCGCGAAACTTAATTTATACTAGCCCTGAAACAAACTGGGGTTGCCCATCGTGATCAAGTGTAAGTTGTGGCATTACGTTCGAGGATGGCTGGAAGGTTGATCCTTGGAAACCCATGGCTGATTCGTAAAGCTGTAAAAAAACAAGATTTGATAGAAAAACAACTTTAAAACATCAGGTCGGCTCGAGAGAGGAATCCTTCTTCGGGTAATGTCTAGAAAACGGTAACAATATTCATACATTATGATTTCCTGGTAGCGTTGTGTAATCTGGCGTGGTTGGACGGTGCCTGTTTGTAGGCAGTGGACGTTGTATGGTAGCATAAGTGTTATCTTGAGACGTATCGCCCATACCAACGCTGACACCACTTCCTCGTCTTTCTGTACCTAGGCCACCCTCTGGTTCGCTGAACACTTGCATCGTTAACTCTTGTTCCTCATATAGTTTGAGTTTTCTAGAATCGTAAGAGAGTTTGTCAAATTGTCTGAACTATAATTGTACAATTAGAACCTTTTGTTATCAAGTTTCATCAATGGCCATTGCTGTATCTAAAAATGTATGTTTAAACTCACTGTTCGATCCATAAAGGATTCTCTGTGGTATTTAGCTCGTCGATGATTTGTTTCTTTATTAGGCCGTCTTTCTTTCGTATATCGTTTGGAACAGTGATCACCCTAAAATGCATAAGCTAATGTATCGAACATATTAAAAGAACAAAACTCATATGGTTTTAATATTTACCAATGACGCAAACAACAACAAACTACTGTTACTGTGACTGCACCGACCAATAGAACTACCAATAATGCTATCAAAGCTGCTAGTGCAGGATCAAAAGGTTCCTCCTGTACTCCAGCATAAGCAGGCTGAAAATGTTTTAAAGTTCTCGATAAATTCTGTTATATTTTTTAACATGGAAATTACTTACCACAACATTCTCGATAGCAAAACCTGCGTAATAATCTTTCAAGAAATCGTACTTTGCATCGATGACTTTAAGTACTTGTGGTACAGGGGCGATGGTCTGAGCCTTTGGTTCCACGACGTGTAAGTACATATCGCACCTAAGGATATATTCAAATGTTATGAAATGTTAAAATCTCCGGAGAATAAATAAGAAATGTCCCTTTACCATTCTCTACGAATATGACCCGATGCATCGACGTGATACCGGATGTCATCGACAACGACTCTGTTTTGCGTTGCGTTCGACAATTCCGACACAATTTCATCTCGTTCGCGATTCACTTCTTCCGGTGGTCGCGACAGGATGACTCTGATTAATTGCGAAGGTTCGAATACCCAAACCTTCACGGAAATGAGAAATAATTCGTCTCGAGATGAAACGCGTACGACACTAAGAGGCTAAGAGACTACTTACGTGTACCCTGGTTATGGCATATTTCTCTGGAATGGCAGTTTCTTTCGCTATAACTTCGACGATGAATCTGTCTTGATTATATTCGGCCATATATCCGCTCGTGACAAGTTTACCATCTTGAGTCACGTTAAAAGGACTCGGAACTATGGAGCCGCTAGGTTTCTCCGATCCATACTTGTAGAGATTCGCACTTACAACGTAATAATGAAGAGTACCATTCTCGCCCACGTCTAAATCCGACGCTGTCACTTTCGTTACAAAATCGTTCACATTTGCCATTGAATTTACGCCAGCGTAATAGTCGTTACGTTCGAAAATGGGTGGATTGTCATTGTCATCTAGAATAGTTATGGTTACATTCACGTGTCCGTGGCCTGCGTTTTGCGTCAATGGACGACTCGCGTCTATAGGATTTATATAAATATCAGGATCGTTGGAAGCTAGAATCGATAGAACGTATTTATCACGTATCTCTCGGTCGAACGATTTATTCGCATAAATACTGCCATCGGATTTGTCCATGTAAAAAGCGTAGTCTTCGTTTCCTGAAAAATAGATTCTGTGACATTGTTTGATAGTATTCCACGAGCATAGTACTAATTACCAGCTTCTATATAGTAGTAAACTTTTGCGTGTCTCCCTTCGTCTTTATCCTCTGCGGTCACTTTTCCCACGGAATAATCTTTCGGGCGATTTTCTGACAAGTGAAAATGGTATTCGTCGTAAAATTGTGGTAAATTGTCGTTGGTATCTACTAATTGCACAGTAAGGAGTCGTAAAGTCTCGTAGGCCGTAGGGGTGCCATGATCGGTAGCTACCAGTACGAGCTAGAAATGTTAGTTGTGGATAAAAAATTCTTTAAATAAAATACATATAAATACATAAATATAACTTACCTCGAATTTACTTTTTGCCTCACGATCCAAAATAATTTTTGATTTTAATTCGCCCGTTTCCTTATTTATTGAAAATTCTTCGGTCTCTTGAATGTTTCGATTCCCAACTTTCAGATAATAACTGACGCGTCCATTTTCACCGGAATCTCTGTCGATTGCTTTTACCGTCAATATCAGATAATTTGGGACACCTGCGTTCTGAAAATGTTTTATGCTATTTTCTTCCATCTGATTAAACGAGTAATCGATTGATTGATTTATCACGTACTTCGGGAACTTCGACGGTGGCGTTTGTTAATTCGGGTATAACAAACTGAGGTTTGTGCTGATTGACTGGCGTTACTCGTATATCGACATAGCACCTATCCGAGTGTGGTCCTGCACCAGCACCGTCTCTAGCTTCCACTTTGATCCTGTAAGAGCCAGCTCTGCCAAGAAGCGCTGCGCCAGGATACAAAATTCCCGTTTCGCGGTTCAAAGAAAACGATTCATTTTCATTTCCATAAATAATCTGATACCAAACTTCTCCATTAGTTCCTTCATCATGGTCTACGGCTCTTACCTTGTAACGAAAATATTGTATATCAGTTGCTTTTCATATTCAATTCTTTAAACTTGTTTTCTAGGTTTTAGGTACCTGCAAAATTGGCGCAGGTGGATTTACGGGTAAATTTTCAGCAACCGAGGCTCTGTAACTGTGTTGTGTAAATATTGGTCGATTGTCATTAACGTCGATAAGTTTAACAAGTACTGGAACGGTCGTACTTCGACGAGAATTTATATGGGCCCCATCACTGGCCATTACCGTTATAGTAATCTCTGGTGTCATTTCTCTGTCAAGGACGGTCGCTCCGCCAACAGTAATTTCACCGGTCTCGTGACCTGTTTTTTAAATATAAATAAACCATTTAGACAAGTAAGGTAGAAAGTAAATTGATTTAATTTCGCGGGAAAGTTTCGAAATTTACCGATATTAAAGTCAGCGGCATGATCACCGATAAGACTGTAACTAATTTCCCCAAACAGGCCTTCGTCTCCGTCGACTGCTTTTACCACGGTAACATGCGTCCCTGGAGGCGAATTTTCTTTCACAAAAGTATTGTACAACTCTTTCTCGAATTTAGGATCCTGATCGTTAACGTTTATCACGGTAACAGTTACTTTCGCAGCGGCGGATAATTGAGGGACGCCAGAATCATAAGCGACTACCGTGAACTCCAATTGTTTTGTTTCTTCGTAATCGATATCCTGACTGGTTCGTACGATACCTACACGGGAAATAAGTTTTATTAAATATATTTCGTTTCACTTTCTTAAGGCGAATTACCTGTAACATTGTCTATGTTGAAATAAGGACTTGGAGGTTCAATTGCGTATCCCGCTATGTTGCTATCCGTGTCCACTGCTGTGAACGCCCCCACAACGGCACCTGTGGGTTGTTCTTCCTGCATTTCTATCAAATATCGTGGATTTTCTCTTGTCCATGGCTTCAAGAATTCCGGCGCCATGTGATTCACATCAATAATCGTAACTACTAGAGTCCCTACGTACACATTCAATAAATAAAACAATTTTAATTCAGCCCAATCATATCGGTATTCTTAATAAATTCTTAATCTGATTGGTAGAAGACCCCCGTGTATTTTTATATTAATTTACCTCTTCCTTGCTGAAGCGTGGGTGCCGTTGTGTCGCTGACAACGACGGTGATGCTGACAGTCGCTGCGCTGTCACGATTTAATGGCCTAACTACAGAAACTTGACCGGTTGCACGATCGACAGCGAAGAAGTCCTGCGATTGTAATTAATTTTGAGAACAGGACTTGTGGGCAACCCAGTATGATGAAAATAACGTATTTGATTATACCTTGAAGGATTTGCTGTCGTTAACCCTTTGACCGTTTCTATCGATCGCCGTGATCGGCTCGGAAATGGCAAAATTTAATGCCCCCAAGTTAGTACTGTCCGGATCCGTAGCTTTTAGAGATGTGAAGACGGTACCGATCGGCGTGTCCTCCGTGACTTCTGCTCGCTGAGTCTCCGGTGTAAAGTAAGGAGCCTTGTCGTTGCTGTTTTCAACGCTTATCATTAAAGTCGTCGTTCCAGTTAGACTGGGAGTTCCTAGAAATAATGGAATTATAATTATCAGTTGTAAAACCGGTCGAATGACAAGTGAAAAAATTAAATACTTGGGGGAAGTACTTCGAAATGCAGAAAATGAATTGAACAAGGAACGATGTCACGGATGCTATGAAAATGAAAAGAAAACCTGGTGAACTTCCTGCGTTAAAATAAAACTAAGCAATGCGTCTACACACCTTTGTCAAGCGCTATCACTTCCACGTGATAGGTGTTTTTATTATCATAGTCTAATTTCCTGAATACTGTTATTATTCCTGTCGTTTCGTTGATGGTGAAGTCATCGAAAGCTCCTTTCTGTATTCTATAAATAAGTTCTGCGTTAATTCCTGTGTCAGCATCGGTCGCTGTGATTTCCTCCACGACCGTTCCTAAATATAGAACACAATGATCGTCAGATATAAAACGTTACTTATGGATCATAATTACAAGGAGTTGATCAAATTACGTACCGATCGGCGATATTTCTGGTATGCTAGCAGTGTATAAATCGTTGGGGAAGATCGGTACGTTATTATTGACATCGCGAATTGTAATATTCACGATAGCAGAATCGACGAATATTCCATCGTTCGCTTGTATAACCAGCGCTATCCAGTCGCGAGTAGAGTTCGTTAAATCGACCGGGCCTTTATTCGTTACTATGATTTCACCAGAATCTTGGTCTATAGCGAAAAATCCTATTCCATTACCGTCCACTATTGCGTACGTGATTTTCGACGTTTTATCTTTGTCTCTGGCCTGTACTTTCAACTCGGGTTCAAATTTCTTAGCGCCTTCGTCTATAACGGCGCGATATTTATCTTGCAAAAATCGTGGAGGACTGTCATTAGCATCTGATAAGCTGATACGCAATGAAACGCTTGTTGTTTGTCCCTGTCCGTCATTGTCAGTCGCCTGACGAAAAAGAACATAAGTGCTTAATTTAGTACACATACTATAATGTGTATAAATAGAAAAGCTACCTTATAAGTGAGGAAATATTCTGTCTGTTCTTCATAGTCTAAGCAAGGTGATATACCAGGAGTTGAGCAAGGTGCCACTGTAATTGTTCCAGTTTTCTTATCCACAGAAAAGTGCTGAGCGCCTTGTCCGAGTAACTGATAAGCTATTCCAGCTGTACCGAATCTAGAGTACAATTTGCTTCTAATAATTTTATCGTCGAATCGAATTGAAATAAAGGTATCATACGTTTCAATTTTTACCGATATTAAGTATCTTTAAAAATTAAAATATGATCGAAATATCAGCAAGATATTAGCATGAAAAGACTCGGGGACTAAATAGGAACTATTCGCACCGTCCACTATCACGATCTTTGGCAGTGATCGATATAATTGGCGTGCCTGGTGGGGCAGTTTCCAGCACCTCGGCTGTATAAGCGGGTCTACTGAAAGAAGGTGGATTATCATTTGCATCCGTAATGGCGACAGTTACGGTTGCAGTAGAGGTAAGCTTGGGATTTGTGTGAACCTCCTCCGCCACTACCTGAAAATCAACAGAATATAACTTTTGAGTTATAGCAGCCAAGATAAGAATACAGAGTTACGCGAACATAAGATCCCTAAGTTTACCAGGATGATGAATTTCCGCTGGTTAGGATTTTCATAATCGAGCGAACCATTTGCAACACGAATGTTCACGGAAGTGCTGCCAGTTGCCATGGTCGGCTCGATAATAAATGCGCCATCCGTAATGTCTTCCAAACGCAAGGAAAATACGGAGTTTAAACCCTGCAACGAATGTAATATTATACCAACCTTGAAATGACTGAAAGTTACAAGTTAAGAAAATGTTATAAGGTATCGTGAGAAACTCACGACGTCAGGATCTTTGACAGTCATGTCCAAATATGGCAGGGGCGTTCCGTTTGGCACGTTCTCAGGAATTTCAATTTTATATTCGCGACGATTGAAAGTAGGAGGTTCGTCGTTGACATCCTTTATCGTCACTGTTGCTTCTGCAGTGGATACTGTCAAATCGTCGCTACCTGGCATCCCATCGATCAATTCTCGTGCTTTTACAGTCAGCGTGAGCACCCCGGTCGAATCCTTTAACGCTTCCCTATTCAATGGCTTCGCTGTCCTAAGTTCGCCCGTTTCGTCATCCAGTAGAAAATAATCGAACGGGTCTAGGCAAGAATTGTATATTAATAAGCACCTGAGACGTACCTTTTTAATTAACCAGTGAAAATACAGTGTCGACTCACTGGTTACTAATTCGTAGATCATTTTCCTTGGCATCCCCCTGTCGCCGTCTCTGGCTTTGATGGTCATAACCAGGGTTCCAATAGGATCGTCTTCTTGCACCACACCCGTTAGCGAGTCCAGAAACTCCGGAGGGCTGTTTTGAATATCCGCCACCTTGATTTCTACCCCCGTGGTTTCGTTGTTCAGTCCGTCCTGTGGGCAAAATTCATGCATGTAAAACACACTTCTAATCCAACTTCTGGTTATCCAGAGAACGACATTATTTCGTGTCATTTTATATAGATTAAGATTTTCTTAACGCGTCTGACCATTACGCTTAAGCAGATGTTCTTTATCGTATACGTAAATCTCAAGAAGAAACAGTGTATCAAATTTTATTTATATTCTCAATCGTGTACTCGTTAAAATAAGTCGAAAAGACTGAACAACACTTTGAGATAATTAAATTAGATCGCGCGTCTGACCATTATGCGTTATTTCTACTTATTCTAGAGCCCAAGTCATACTGTGTTAAAAAATCGAACGAACTCACGTTTGTTATCGAATAAAGAACACGATAACAGCTACAGCCGGGTAAAAGAGATCCTGCATTCGCTGTACGAGTGTTAACAGCATAATTAAAATCAATTTTCAAGCTCTACTCACGCTCGCCCTGAGCAGTAATTGGTAAAAGGGTCTTTCCCTGTAGTCGAGTGGCTGTCGCAGTACCAGAGCACCCACATACGCGTTCTGGCCTTTCTCCACGTTAAATATCCCGAACTTTTCGCAGGCGTCGAGGAACTGCAACAGAATCACAATATTCGCTCTTGGGGTCATTAACCTTTTCTCTGGGGCGCACTCTGACCCAGAACAATCAATTCCATGCCTTCGTTCGATAATTGACAACTGAATTGAGATTGAATTGCAGTTTAAGGACATGGATACATCGAAACAGTTGTCGATATTCGGTTTAGCTTCTTTAGACATCTTTAAAAAAGTGTACCATTATAGCCATATTATCAAGGCAGCTGTTGGTCATTTGGAGAACTGATTTTAAGGGAAATATCATCGGTATCGAGCACAATGTGGAATACTTTTTGGACATATCTCGAATTAATGGCTCACCTGTGGCTGGGGAACGCAGGATAGATCTATGATGTCGCCCAATAGGTCTGGGTCCATTACTCTGATACCAGGAAGGATCGTCGAGCCAACTGGGAGGTCCTCCTCGGCCACGGCTTCGTACGGTACGCCCAGAAAGTGCGGAGGATTGTCGTTCTCGTCGAGGACGATTACGAATGCATCGACACCGACGATGTTCGGTTGTTGGCCCAATGGTACTTCGTCTTCTAACGTAACACGAAAACGTATCGTGTCATTCTCCTGAAGCAGACAAACAATCACACGGTCAGACACCATTTGTCCATTTTTCAAAGGTATAGAAATTACTATACAAGTACGGTGGCTGTGATCGACGATTGAAAGTTCTATCGCATTTATTGGAAAAACTCTATTATACTTGTCGTTCTTTTATTACATCCCAGGCTGTCCCGGAACGCTGTCCTCTCCATTCACCAGCAACAAAATCGTTCTTTATTACTTATCATCGGGCTGCAATATTGGATAGTTCAGCGATAAAATTATTTTACGCCTGCCCGGCTCTATCACCGGGCCAGTGTAAACAATACTTGACGATTCGCACTGCAATCTGCTGGACAAAGGGTGGCCGACCCTTGATACACTTTTATTGCGAGTTTGGTGGACAGTTGACCATCAAACGAACACCGCCTCTTGTCTGCATTTCTTTTGACGTTTCGAAAAAAATGGTCAATGACGTTATCCGTCATAGATATTCTTCAATTTATTGCCTCTATCGCTGCACCAACATTTTATTTCCCATATATTCGAACGAAACTAAAACAGTTTTGGATCGTACGCGACTTAACGATAACGACCAAGAGTTAATCGGGTTACGTTTCGTTCAAGTTTGTCGCAACGCTGTTAAATGGATTCGCGAGAGACTGCGAGGAATCGTAACCATGGTAAATTAATTTCAGCTTGAGGAGACGTTTACAGAACGTAATCCGTCCGGACCGATCGGTATCGAATTCATCCAACGAAATTTGTTCCTATGGACATTCGCTCCATATTGCGCGTGGTCGCGTTAATTCAGCAATGTGCGTAATAACCGCCCTTGCATTATTCCGATTATCTGGCGCCCCTTTGACGGCGTCGCTTTTCGCGCTTCAAATTTCTCGCTTTGATAGAGTAGCGTGCCCCAACTTAATTACGTGGCCAACCTGCCATTTAACACCTCCCTCTGTGCAAGAATTTCACGTGACCGTGCAGTGGACGAAATTTTTAGAACACCATCATTTACAGACAAAACTTCACTTATTCCGTAAACGATGTTGCTCGGGATCCCGTTCTCATCCCTTAATTACTTCTTAGCGTTGATATTTATTTTAATAACGCGTTTACCTCGCGATTTAGTGGTTTCGCCAACGTGATGACCCCGGTGCGTGGATTTACGACGAAATGGTCCGTGAGTTGTATGCCATATTTTACAGGCGATCTTTCAGGATCGTGGCCCTTGAGGACGAACACTTCCGTACCGACTTTGGTTGATTCTAATAGCGGCAGACCCGCGGGATATCCCCCAGCCTCCAGGATCGGTGGCTCGTTCACGTTGTTGGCGCCTGAAACAGCAGAAAAACTCTCGAGTTGAAATCTTTGGACATAAGTATATAAAATTGGAATGTTCGAAACGTAACTTGATTAAAAGGAAGTAGACGGAGGGGATGAGGGGGAAGAAACTATCAGGAATTGATTCTGTCTGACGTTCAAAGGCTTTCAGGAATTCCCGAAAAGACGTAAGATGTACAAATAGTAGAATCAAAGGGAATTTCGACGGGAAATTACGTCATTTGCTTCAATGGTGTCGCGCTAAACGTGCTGGGAATCTTTCTGACGGGTCATCGATTGAAAGATAAACGCGCCCAAGAAACCCGGAAAATCATTTTACCTTTGATAATACAGGAGGTAGGCGAACGGGTAAAAGCGTATCGAAATTCTGTCGATGCCAAAAGAATTGAAAACGACGGCCAGGATTTATGGTATCCGAGCTGATTATTGCAAGATGGAAACAATTTACGAGATATAAAGAATTAAATTTTATTTAGACGAATACGACTTCTTCGAACACTCTGTCAACAATTTTGCAGCTACTTACATTTCCCAGCGAGATGAACTTTTGTTCCAGCCGTTTTCATAAAACAAAAGACGTTGTGTACTTACTGTTCCTAAACCCCGACAGCTACGGATGACACGAGTATGCGCGCGTTTATGTGCTGATGTATCGCGGCGGCTTTTAAGGAAATTGCATTAACAAGTCTAAAATAATTCCAGGACCGACAGACCCGATACAAAAGGGTCGTTACGTCGTATACATTACCGCGGGAATTCATTTCATTCTTATTTCCCTGCTCCGTCCCTTTTTCATTCGCTTCTTTTCGCGCTCGAGTCTCGTTGGAGCACTTTGTCCGATGGCGAAGACGGCGCGAACGTGTCGCCAAAAATCCGATTTCTTTTGCCGGCAGACACCTCGGAAAGAGCCATCGCGTGCTTCCTTCGTTTGCTTCGTTTCTTGCAAAAGAATTTTTCGCCAAAGGTACACAACGTCTATAAAGCCACGGATTTCTCTTCTACAAACATTAACAATTTTCGTGAACTTTTGCTCCGACGCACCCAGAAGTTTATTCGTCGCCAGGAAAACGCCAGAAATATCCATTATGAAACTTTACGAGAATGATAGAATTTAACCCTTTGCGAAAGTAAAAAAAAATTATTCATTTATTTTGTTAATCAAGATTGTGTTTCTAAAAGTATTAAAACAATAATTCCGCAAAGTGTCTGACAACTGGGGCATGTCCAATTACTCGGATAGCTGTTTTAATTAATGATTAACGGACTAGCTAATTAAGTATGAAACGCGAGATATTACAGAAATGGTTCTTTGTAACTTCCGGTGGAAGCAGTGTATAAATTCGTGTTCGGTAATAACACATTTCGAATGCATATAAATCGATCGAATTGAACTGCTCTTTGAACCGAAATATCGTTAAATCTAATAAATGAAATTAAAGGAATCATTTCAAATTAGATATCTAATTCATTTATTTATTTCAGATATGGAACATATTTCAATTTCGATTCGTTGCAAAGCTTTCCTAAGGTATTAAAAAACTTTGAAAAAAATATTTGAGTTTCTAACGCTGCCGCGATATATTTTTGTAAAGGGAGTGGAAAGTTTCAATCGAATCGTTGACCCAAAGGTCTTGCACTCTCGTTGTAAAAGTAGAAAGAGTGCGCGAAACTTCTAAATGCCAACGTACCGGTCACCGAGTGATAATAATAATCGAGAATTTGTCCGAGAATCGGGAAACATCGCCGAGCAAAAATAATATTTTCCGTGCTCTCGACGAGCAGGCATTTCCAACGATAACTAATGGAGAAACATTCATTTTTTTTACGCGTACGGATTTATTTCTTTTCGAGCGTGAGTAACACGACAGAACTACGTATACCGTGGAACAAGTTGCCCAAAGCTGTCCGCTATAGTTATTCCAGGAAAGTTTCGATCACTGAAACTGTTAACTTTGACCACTTACACTCGCAGGAAAGTTCCCATGGAAACCATGAGACTGCGGTACAAGTAGTTAGGCACTGTGTGCGTGCACTAGTCGCAAATTGAGACAATTTCCCAATAGTGCAACCTTGTCCACGATGAACCAGAATACGATCATTCCATCGATCCAGAAATACAGTAGAAATCGAACGTAATACATTTTTTCTTATAATTTTATTATGTAATTCTAGACATCAAGCACCAAAATCAAATGGCAGAATTGACAGGGGGACTGTAATTTTAGTTTCCAAGGGTTTCGCGTGACTTTTCGAACTAATAAAAGAGAGATTACAAGTCCATAATAGAAAAACTTTGCGGTTGAAGACTGACAGTTAATTTTGACGGAAAATCGATAAACGTCAATTTTGATGTTAACCAACGTGTAGGACCAATTCGTCCAAGTCTTACCAAATTTAATTGATTTTCGATGCTGATGTAATCGTAGAGAATGCATCAAGTGTACAAAAAATGAAATTGCTCTCGAACGCGATGCCGGTGGAATCCCGCAGATTTCCACGAATCAACGAACATTGTCTCAGAAATCATGGTGTTAACGAGAGTATTAATTTCAATGGTGGGCGTCAACAATGTCATCGTCTCTCTGTACAAACGATGACGCATCTGTAGCTGGCTCGTACGACTTCCTCGGCAATGTGTGCTTTGCCTACCGCGTTCGTGCTGTAATTTTGCGACGTTCCCCGAGTGCACGTTTGTTCTGAACTCCCTTGACTCTGTCCTGGCTAACTTCGACCAACGTGTACGAATCCAGCCGACGAAACAACGCGACAAGTTATTCTTTTTCCGCAATCGAGCACAGTTAATTATTGCTCGGACAAACGGGGGCCATAAACGCGTCTTGTTTACGTATCATCAACGAGTGTTTATGGAAAATTAATTACGATACCCAATCGATAATTCGTCGGTCTAAAAAGTCTCCAAGGGTCATTTTGAAGGTTCGTTAGAGGGGCGAAAGTGTCCTGGCGTTGGAACTAATTATTTTCAAGTCCGTGCGACGCACAATGGCAGAACGACGGAGTTTCTTTTGTAACCGGGTGCGATTAATTCCGTAAAATGGTACCCCCGAGAGTACTCAGAGCCTGCTCCCCTTGCGACGATCCTTTTGGCACGATTCCTCGCTCCGAAAACCCCGTCCGCCATGCAAATCCATGCGCCACGATTCCCATTAAGCCTCAAAATTCTCGCATCCTTCGTTCGTTCGCCTTTTGACTGTGCCCCGTCTTCGCGCGACGCCCATTTTCTTTCCATTTCGTCCCTCGTTCGAATGCACGGCTCTCTCGTAATCACTCGAAAGCTTTTTGATCAGAAAATCGCGCCACGCGATACACGAAAATTTCAGCCTTATTATTGTATCGTCGCAAAAGTGCACGGATCTCCGGTTGGAGGATTGCGCATCGGGGGGGCGAATGCATTCGAGACACCGTGGAGAAATCATTATTTCAACGGCGCGCCGATGAGAATAAAGGCGAAGACAATGGCGCTGGGCGAAAGATTTAAATCGGACAGCCACGTTGAATATTGAAGTAGACGTACCTCGAGTTTCGCGTTATTCTGGAAACGAGGTAAACCATCGTAGACGTTACATTTTACTCGCCGGCGTATATTATTATTTCAAGAAAAGAACTTTCCCCGCGGTGTTTATATTTTATCTATTATTAAAATGAAGCATCCCTTGGATACGAGTGCTTTAAAAATGACCAGAATCCTTAATGAGACAGTCTCGCAGCTACGAGGCGTTCCGGTTTCGTGCATTTTTTAGTATATTAAAAATACTCTTGTGAAATTATGATCACTTGGATATTAAGACACGGTACGCGTAACAGTGCGATAATAAAAACATCGCTTAATTACTTCTTCTCGGACTTGATAATATCGAATATTTTTCAAGTTTTCGAACTAAAGACTGCAGCTTTCATGGGTAATTGAGTTATCGAGGCAGCCTGTATACACGGCGGAAGAAAATTGTGGTACATTCGGTTTGTACGAGATAGAAGAGTTAACCACTTCGTGCAGGGACACGGAACATTTGCAATTTTTAACGGCGGATGTTCCCTCTGGACCTTACCTGCTGCATTTACGTTGCTAGCCATTTCGTTCGTGAATCTCGAAGTTAAATCAAGTAGCATAATTTAACTATAGTTGCAGTCTCGAATAGACGAGTCTCAATATTTCAAGGGTCGAAAGGAAAGAGGAGCACTTGAAATTTTCGGACACTGGGTGGCTTGTAGTTCTCAGTGGACCATTTCTGATAATCCGTGGGTAAAAAAAGTACGGGAACAATATTTTTCTAGCCAGTCATAGGGCCCCGCGTCCATATTTACCCATTCTCGTCTTATGCAAATGAGAGGATGGGCGCTGAAACTCCGGGGCTGATTACATTTCGCTCCGGAGCGCTGAAATTGCCACGGCGGACGTTGGTAATGAAGCGACAGGCGAAATTGAACGTGGCCCTATTTGGAAGAAATCGATGGACCGTTCGGTCAAAGCCGTAGGATAAGCGACAGGGGAGGGGGAGGGAAAAAAATAAAAAAAAATAAAAGCGGAAATCTTCCTTTGCGTCGTTGAAATTAATGCAAAGCGAAAGAACCGGTCTCGTAAGTCGGCAATAATTTAAAAGCTTTCTTCCGATGGCTCGCATGACCGAACAGGAAATGGAAAGGGGGTCAGCGAACGATAGAAAAAGGGGGAAGGAAAGAAGCGTCCTTTTTCTTTTTCTTTCGCTCCTTTTCACGCAAGCTTTTGGCTCCGAACTGTTCTTTCCGTGCTACTCCAGATTCGATCGGTTTCGACCTAACCGAGGACCTTTAATTGCCTCTTCAGAAACGGATCCTTTCTTCTTTTCGACGAAATCGACACGCCAGTGTCTGCATTTCTCGAACAGCTCGGCTAACGGAATTGAACCTTTTCGTGGTTTATCGTCGATATAACGGAGACGTTTCCATTCTTGACGCTGTCCGCAATTTTCTCACACCGCTACATCCTCTGGATATTCGT